GCAGTGTAATATGAAACAGTCTTTGCCTGCTAAAAATTGGTTTTGCGGGTACATGTGGCCCTGTGCAGCTATTGTAATCTTTGTAATAAAACTATCTTGAGACGTCTTGACGATATAAGGTGCTATTTCAAATGCCATTATCATTATTACCTGAGTTTAACCAACCACAATTTTCTGGCCTGTATCTGCATACTCACCAGATGTTGAATCATCTTGCAGTCACGCTACAATATATGCACGATCACCTATAAAACAGAGTCAATGCTCTTTACAGTAAATCCTGTGAATCTTGTGTTTATATAGGACCCTATGTTCAGGATAGCATCTCAGAGTGCTGATACTTCATATTTGCCAGTTATTGTCCTTAAATCTCAGTCATTCTTCCAGCATTGTTTATCTTACCTAACAGAAAAATGCGTTACCAAAGCAATGTTTGCCTCCTTTGGGAGTGATTGACTAAAATGTGTTGCTTGTGATAATAATCTTCTGTATACTAATAAAATGACAATGTCTGTCTGCTCTTCAAGAAGGATCTCAGTAACTGATTGACATAGAGACATGATTTATACCTCATCGGAAAGGTCTTGCACCTGGGAGTGATATGGGAATATTTGTTTTCAGGTATTTTCTATCGTTCATGAATTATTTTCAGTTTTTTTTTTTTCGTAGAGCACGCATGTAGCTAAATGTCAGCAACAAAAAAATACATAGACGAACCTAAGCCGCGACAACAAAAACAAAATTAAATTTTTAAAGGGCTGAGTCCTCCCACTGAGTCCTCCCAAAAGAAGTCTTCCCAGATGAGTATAAATATGAAATGTCTGTCTGTGTGTCAATCTACATTCCACATTGGATCCTTTGGTTGCAAGCGAAGCTGCAACGGGTACAGCTGGTAATATAATAATAATACTCCTTGCATTTGATATAGCGCCTGATTACATCTTTGAGAGTCTCAAAGCGCTTCACAGAATATACTGTAAAGTGAATTGACTGTATATTTTGTGATTTAACAGCATGAAGATATTTAATTAATATTTGACATCTCACAGGATGATCTGAATTATACATATGGCACAAACACATTTGCCTTACTGTACTAACCAAAAACCTGTGAGACAAAACATGCTCACTTTTTAATAGATGACTGTAGGTGCAACAATAAATTTAAAGCATGAAAATACAGTTGCAGCAATACCCTAACTGCCAGTGTTAGTTCTTATCATCAAAAACCAGGCTCGCAAATGTAAACCTTGATCTATATTTCAACACATTGTGAGAAGAGTTGACGCCCCATTAGTCATTGTTCCAGATTTGCCAGAGACACTTTTTCTTTGAAGACCATAAATCCCACACAGCCAGTGTGATCACGTCATCTTCATATTTCAGATAGATCTGTGGAAAATTCTCAAATTTAATCCTAATTTGGAAACCAGTTTTCTGCAGATCTTAAAAAGAATGAGCATCTAAATTAAGAACAGAATTTTAAGATTTTTTCACAATTCTGCTCGGTCTAAATCTTTAAGACCTTTAATTGTTGATTTCCCATCTGTTTTTTAGTGAGGCAAGCATACAGCCTAGTCTTTGATTAAGAATTCCAGCTTTCTGCTTGGAACATAACCAATATTTATATTTCAAATGTAAAAATACCAAACGACTTGCAAGTAGGAATCAATATTCAAATCTAAAATACTCAGACACTATACTTTACAGTATATTCCTATAAATTGCTTTGAAACATTCTCCTGACATGGAAGGAGCTATGTCAAATGTAAGGATTATTATAATTACTATTATTATTAGGCACTCTATCATAAAACACAAGAAGTACATGGAAAGGAAGAGAGAGAATTACATCCATTTTCAACGTACACAACCTTGAATTTTGTTTAGCTTATTAAGCAGCATTCCCTTGTTCACTAGGGTTAGATTATTTAATAACAATAATTGCATTTAGTATTTGGCCGATCACAATTCAAAGTCTTTGTATTCGTAATCACTGTGTATTTGTAGGCAAATACAGCAGTCAATTTGCATACTGCAATTTCAGAGGAAAATCCCTTTCAGATTGTGTTTTAGGATCTTTAACATCCAATGAACAGAGAAGACCTCCGTTTAATGTTTCATTCAAAGGACAACACTAAACCAGCACTGCACTGGGTTGTCAGCCCAGACTATGAGCTCAAAGGCTTGAAATGGAGCTTGAACCCCACAGCTGACTGACTCAGAAACCATTCAACTGAACCAGGCTGACACATTCATTAGCCATCGCCCATCAGTTATTACTTGCTGAAGTAACTCATTGTCCTGTATGAGTCCTATAGCTCAGTGGTTAGAGCACTCGCCTTGCAAGTGAGATACCCAGCGTTCGATTCCTGGCAGGGCGAAACCCTGGACAAGTTTCCCTCCTCCGCACCTTACACCTAATAATACCTCATGAAAAAAAAATTATAAAATTGGTCACTTCAATCCACGACTGTTTGTGGGACACTGCTGTGTGCAATTGGCTGCTGCGTTTTGCCCGCAAAAAAAAATTTCAGACATAAATACAACAAAACCAGAAATGACTTTATGGGTGGGATGAATTGCTGTTGGGGTGGTGTAAATGGGTGGTGGAGAAAGCTCCTTTATTTTTTCTTGAAGAAAAAATATTGCTGCTGTTTTAAGTTTTCCACCAGAATTTGGATACGCCCACCTGAGTAATACAAAGCTTTGACCTTGGGGGAGTTGTATTCAAAGTATACTGTACTTACCAGAATTAACAACCCAAACAGTGTTATAGATAACATTTTTAGTATCAAAAAAACTGAGCTTCACCACAAACCATCCTAACAAGACAGATCATTTAGTTTATCTTTACCTGAACTTAAAAGCTGAGAAGCCAGGTAGCAAATAGTTGCGATAAATTGTTGAGGCAAACTGCAATTATTCAACCACACCCAATACTGAAATACTGCAGCAGCATTCTGTGTGTGAAACCAGCTGTTCAGGTTAAACCAGAAGCCTAGGTTGGAGGTAGGAGGGCACACTCACCTGCTCTCACATCCCAGGATCCACACAGGTTGGAAGTGAAACATGATTCACCCTGATCCAAGCTGCAGCTTCATGCTCCCTGAACCACTCACAACCCGTACAACAACAATTTGCATTTATATAGCTTCCCTCACGCAGTGTGCGTACTCTAGCAGGTGTTGCGATGCTTCCCATCCACTTCATTTCTTACCCTGTGGAATGCACTTCACTCCGAGTGACTGGCCACGATCTCACAGCCCACCTCCATCCTACCCGATGTTACTGTATATATTTAATATATGATTTTCATATACTGTCAGAGCAGCGATGCTGCTGAGGGACATTTCAGATTATGATCTTTTCCTGAAAAGGCAAAGAGATTTCCACTTTAATAGTAATAATAATAATCCTTGCAAAATACTGCAGATGCTGGAAATCTGAAACGAAAACAGAAGTCGCTGGGTACACTCAGCAGGTCAGGCAGCATCTATGGAGAAAGGAAAGCGAGTCAACGTTTTGGGTCCACGACCCTTCGTCAGAACTGGGGCATTTTGGGAGGGAGAGGCTTTTAAACCGTGCCTTCAGCTCCCCTCTCGACTCTCTACCCCCTCCTCGCTCCCTCCCTTCCCTCCCCTCACCCTGACCATTTCCCCCCTGCTCGGGTCCTGACCCAACTGTCCAGCGCCTTGGGACGTCCTCCCGACGTGAAAGGCGCTCTATAAATGAAATCTTGTTGTTGTTGTTGTTGTTAAGGGCTAACAGAGAGGGGGAGGCAGGGCAAGGAAGACAAAGGAGAAAACGGGGTAGAGGACAGGGGATGATGGGTTAAAGAGGTGTTGATGCAAAACAAAGGAGGGGGAGAATTGCAACAAAATAGGCAGACCAGAGAGAGAAAAGGTATATCTGGGACCCAGATGATGTGGTAAAAATAATCCTTGCATTTGGTATAGCGCTTTATCACATCTTCGAGATATCTCAAAGCGCTTCACAGAATATACTGGGGGCAAAATGCGGCAGTCAGTTGCGCACAGCAGTGTCACACAAACAGTCATGGATTAAATGACCACATTTCTTTAAATTGTTTTTATTTTTTTGAAACAATTATTACCCCTGGAAAAGCGATCCGACAATCGACTAACACCTGGGTTCCTTCTTACAGATAGGCAAACAGAGTATGCGGAGTAAGGAAACTTGCCCAACATTTTGCCCTGCCTGGGAATCGAACCCAGGTCCTCTCGCTTGCGAGGCAAGTACTCTAACCACGACCCTACAGGACTCCACATGCCTTTTTCAACCATTGAAAAGGAAATAAAAGGCATTACTTTTAAGGCATTAAAATTGGGGAACAAAGAAAAAGAATGCAGATGAACAATCCAGATGGTGTATTGCTGTTGGCTCCGCTGTTAAGTGGAAACCTTTTTGTATTAATAATAATAATAATAATCCTTGCATTTGATATAGCGCTTTTCACGTCGGGAGGACGTCCCAAAGCGCTTCACAGAACACACTGTAAAGTGAATTGACTGTATATTTGTGGGCGAACGCGGCAGCCAATTGCGCACAGCAATGTCCCACAAACAGTCGTGGATTGAAAATGACCAATTTATTATTGTTTTTTTAAAAAAACCTTAAAGGCAAAAACACAACAGAAATGCAGGTGTTAGTGTGGGTGGGCAGGAGGCTGGCAGGTGTGGGCGGGGCAGGTGTGGGCGGGCAGGAGGCTGGCAGGTGTGGGCGGGCAGGAGGCTGGCAGGTGTGGGCGGGCAGGAGGCTGGCAGGTGCGGGCGGGCAGGGGGCTGGCAGGTGTGGGCGGGGCAGGAGGCTGGCAGGTGTGGGCGGGGCAGGGGGCTGGCAGGTGTGGGCGGGGCAGGTGTGGGCGGGGCGGGTGGTGCGGGTGTAACCTGGTGTCGCCCAGGTAAAGGGAGGAGTTTGTGAGCCAAAAGGAGGGGTTATTGCTGGAGCGGCGCAGAGGAGCCTCTGTGTGTGTGTGTGTGTGTGGCTGAGGGAGTCAGTCAGTGCGCGGAGGTGCGGGGGCTGAGCTGGTGCTGGGGTTGGGGTTGGGGTCGGTGTTGGGGTCGGTGCTGCTGAGCGGCAGTGATGGAGCACATGACTTGGAGAGGTTCACAGCCGCGGCTGAACGCGCTGAGCAGACGCGCGGGCTCTCAGGTGGAGCAGCGGCAGCCGGTGCTGTCTCAGGGCAGCTTCACCATGAGGAGCGAGGGGCGCGGGGAAGCCTACACCCACCACCGAGCCCCGGGGCCGGGGCCGGGCCCGGGGGACATGTACCTGCCCGGGGTCTGCGCTCCCGAGTTCAGCGGAAACCCGGAGACGATTCTGCTGAGCGAACAGCAGTTTCCAACCAGAATGAGAGGCCAATCCTTCAAACAGCTGCAGAGCGGCTTCGACCAGAGAGAGACCTTCCACAGAGGAGACTCCTACATACTCCAACAGCCCGGAGCAGCGGGAGGGGGAGCGGGAGGGGGAGCGGGAGCGGGAGCCAAGAACGTGGAGATCATCAAAACCATTAAAACCGTCCACAACAGGTAACCGACTCATCATCATCATCATCCTCATCATCAATGATGATGATAACCAACTCAACTGAAGGTCTTCCTTTCCGTGCCTCGTTGCTCTCCCGCCGACGCTTTGCGAGCGGACCAGAGACGACGGCACCGCGTTCCACCAGCGACCGCGCCCGCCCGCCCGCCCGGGGCCCCCGGTCGTGTCGGTTAGGGACGCCCGCCGGCCGTGGGGCTGAAACGCGACCGCGTTTCGTTTTTCCTGGCGGGGGCGGGGGAGGGGACGGCTCGCTGGCCCGGTTCTCACCCGGCGTTCGAGACGCGCGTTTTGTCCCCACCGGAATCCGATCCAGGCAAACGTGTTCTTTACTCTTACAAGGCGTAAAGCTGGATTCGGTCGCGTGAACGCCTTTGACGTTACTCAAGCTGGCGATCTGTCCTGGCCAACAATCCCCCCCCAAATAACAAAAAAAAAGGTCACTCACTCCCATGAATGTTTGTGGGACACTCGCTGTGCACAAACTGGTTGTCACCTTCGCCTGCAAAATCCACTTTATAACAATATAATCCCTGCATTTGATATAGCTCCTTATCACGTCTTCGAGACGCCTCCAAGCGCTTCACAGGATATACCGTAAAGTGAATTGGCTGTATGTTTTGTGGGAGAAACATGGCAGCCAATAGCGCACAGCAGTGTCCCACAAACAGTCGTGGATTGAGTGATTCAATTATCACTATTTTATTTATTTTTGAAGTGATTATTGCCCCCGGAAAATCGATCCTCCAATTGACAAACAAGTGGGTTCCTACTTACTGCTCGGTAAACTGAGGCATGTGGAGTTAGGAAAATTGCCTAATGTTTTGCCGTGGCTGGGAATCGAACCCAGGGACTCTCGCTTGTGAGGCGAGTGCTCTAACCAATATTTTACAGCACTCCATTTTATAGGATAACCTCTGAATCGCTTTGAGAAATCTCGGTGATGTGGTAATGCGCTGTACCAAATGCAAGAATTCTTACTCTTATTATTTTGTGGGGGAGGAAGGTGGGAGAGGGAGAAAGGTAAAGTTGGCTTGTTATGTGACATCGCTCAAAGATCAAGGTAGTTTCTCAGCAGGAAGCCTGTCGTGACCTGTCTGGGTGAGTTTACTGTCGAATGAAGTTTGTCTTCTCATCCATTTACAATTAAGCAATCATGAGCTGCTTGCAGGTCGATATATTTTGAGTCAATCTCATTTCAACGATTGCGGCAAAAAAGCCTGAAATAAATGCTACATTTTATTTGATAATTTTTGCCTATTTTGATTGTATCGAAAGCCTACAAAATAATCACTACACTTCACAGTAAATACCGTGAAATCCTTTGAGACGCCCTCCTGACGTGAAAAGCGCTGAATCGAATGCAAGGGTTAATAGTTTTAACCTATTTTTGTACATTTTTTAAAACAAACATGATCTATTATGTAAACAAAAATGTCTGCCTTTTATTGCATAACATTTGAGGAATGGAAAATCCCCAAGTTTAAGGAACTCTTTGAACATATTTTTATTAACTTCTCCAGCTGCCCTTTTCCTGCATGTGGTGGAAACTGTTTGATTCTCTTAAATCCAGTGTTGTTAAGGTGTTCAACAGCATTTACTCACAGCATATCTATAGTTACTGCACCTTACAACGAACTGTACCATAGGTCTTTGAGACGTGCTCCCACATGAAAGATGCTGTATCAAATGTAAGGATTATTATATTGCTTTTGATTTTTTTTATTTCGGAGACTATCTTCTGTGTTTGCCCATTTACTTTATGTCTTGGGAGTGCAGAACATTTGAATAGTTGCTTTTACATGCCATAGAAATGAGCCACTGTTTTAGTTTGGGAGATTTTCCTTAAATGTCCAATTAAACTAAGATGCAGCTACAGTATTTTTCATATACTGCACAACATAATTCAGGTTTTGTACGCTATTGTGGTGCAGGATGCATAGATTTTGATAATATAACGTCACATGCATATACTGCAGACATTTATATATTTTTGTATCTTTTCAAGTAATTCGCTGACAAAACGCTATGCTGCGGCCCGGGCAGGGGTGGACGAATGTGAATTGAAACTGAGACAAGCAGAGGTGTTGCTCCAAAACGTAAGTTTGTGCTCAGATCAAAGGATAAACGCAATTACATGGAAATAAATAATCATTTTTTTTTAAGATGTGGAGTCTGAAATTTCACATGGTTTTAGTCTTAGGGACATTTGTCTTGACATTTTATGAGTGAGCCTGGGTCAGTTGATAGCACTCTCGTCTCTGAGTCCGAAGGTTGCGGATTCAAGCTGTGAGTTGGCATTTTGCGGCCATTGGTTGACACTGCAATGCAATGCTGGGGGTGTGCTGAATTAGACATTAAACTAAGGTCTGGTTTTAATATTCAGATGGAATATTAAATATCTTATGACACAAATCAAGAAGAGAGGGGAGCTTCTGGTGTCCTAGCAGAGTGCACCCCCAGCAGAGTTTGCTACCATACGTCTTTCATTTGTGGAAGTTTTGGTTCTTTCTTTACTTGATTAATTGATTGTTTCTTTGTGATACAGGTTACAGTTGTCAGTTGTGGATAAGATTGCTTTTGTGTTGTTGGGATTTGGAATATAACTTATGCTGATTGCTAAAAATCATAAGTAATCCTTTTCCCTGCAAGACAGAGATTGCACCTTGTCACAGCGTGGAGTCCTGTACTCAGTGGTTAGAGCACTCGCTTTGCAAGCGAGAGACCTGAGTTCAATTCCAGGCAGAGCGAAACCTTGGGCAAGTTTCCTTACTCCACACAGAGCCTAATAATAATCCCTCCAAAACAAAAAAAACAATAATAAATTGGTCATTTTCAATCTACGACTGTTTGTGGGACACTGCTGTGCGCAATTGGCTGCCGCGTTCGACCACAAATAACAGTCAATTCACTTTACAGTGTGTTCTGTGAAGCGCTTTGGGACGTCCTCCCGACGTGAAAAGCGCTATATCAAATGCAAGGATTATTATTATTATTTGGTTTAAAACATTTAACTGCATGGAGAATTATTGAAAGTACCTAAATTTAGCCTTCATTTGGAACCATTTTTTAACAAAATGGTTTTCAAATGAAGGCTAGATTTAGGCATTTGCCATAATTTTATGTGATCTTAATTCTTTTTAAGATAGAATTGTTTTCTGGCTGAATTTCAGGCCTTATATGTTTATAATACCACTAGCTGTACCCGTTGCAGCTACCCAATATGGAATGTAGATTTCAGTATTATTATACTTTATATAATATTATTATACTTTATATTAGACATTATACATTATATAATGATAGATGATACCCCCCAAAAAATATACCCACGTTTTTTTCTGTCGCTACTTTGTTGCAGAATATGTAATACAGGTGTATCTCTCTAGAACATGCATGATTTCCTCTGTTGCTACTTTGTTGTAGGCATACTTCATATTTTAGGGCTTAATTAAAAATTTTTTTAAATATAACTCATCAATGATAGGAAATCCCCGAAAAAAATATATCTGCGACACTCGTGCATGCAAGACCTTTCTGATGAGGAAGTAAATTATATCTCTACGTCAATTGATTATGGTGTTATTGGCACACACACGCACATTGTTTTATTAGAATAGATTACTTATTAGATCCTGTTGTGTGTGAGAACAGTAACCCTGATGTAGCTCAAAATCTAAAAGTTCACGGGAGGTTTGGATGAAGTCAGCTGTTCAGCCCCTTTTGATTGTATTCTTCTAGAATACCACGCCACCATCTTCCATTACAGCTTCAAACTGTTTTCTAAATAAGTCCAGTGTCCTGGCCTCAGCCACGCTTCTTTGTAACTTATTCCACCATTTCAGTTGTTAATTACCCTTTAGTTAATGAAATACTTCCTCCGCTTCATCATCAGTGTCTGTGCCTTCAGCCACTACGCCCCAAAACTATGGAACTCCCTCCCTCAATCCCATTCGCCTTGCTCCCTCTTTCCCCATTTTCAGGTTGCGCCTGAAGACCTTCCGCTTCGTCTATATCGGACTGGCCTAGAAAAATAGAAGAAAAATTAGAAGAAATATAAAAGCGAGAAATAAATAATATGATCTAACATACAGACATTTCTAGTGGGGATTTTTTTTAATGAGGACTCCAAGTGCAATTGGTATCTGAAGTACGTCATGCTGGGAATGCCACTCCAGAAACATATTGGTAGAAGCAATGTTCCACAGGTCAATGTGGCATGCTTTCAGTTTCCCAAAAGAGCTGTCATTTCTTGAGTCATTATTAAGGAATCCCACTAAAAATAAACGGGTTTTAGACCCCATTATATGATTAAGATTGTTTTTATGCAATATCAGCTCACCTACAAATGAAGTGACACAAATATGTTTGTCAATTACCACTTTTAAAGAAAATGCAATGCATTAACATGCTCCTTAGGTATAGGTGAAGCGTGTGTATAAAGAGAAATTTCATCAGTGGTGATGACCCACGTTGTCCAGAATACTCAAGTTACTGGTATAAGGTTTGATGAGATCTCAGTTGCTCTAAGCGCTGTGGACAAACACTGCCTCTTTGTAATTAGTGTGAAGAGAAACCTTCAATTTCAACTTACTTGGTTTACAGTGGGTCCTAGATTATTCATGCCGCAGTTACCTGCCCTAACTTGTTGTCCTAAACACTTGCTTAGCTCTGATTAAATGCTATCATATATGTATTTGTATTATACTTAATCTTGTAAATTAATTAATTAAGTTAGTGCAATCTTTTGTAGCTGGAATGGCTAGTCAGCTGTTTAGTAAAATTCATGACTGCTCTGATAATTTTCAGAGTGAATAGCAGATCCTGATACAAGATATTAAAGGGCACGAAAAAAGGCAGGGAAATTGGATGTGCCATGATTTTCTGAAAAGGCTTGATCTGTTGAATGGTCATCCATCCTCCTGTTCCCCAATTCCCAGAAACTGTTCCCAGTAAAAGAAGCTGCACAAAACAATGGCAAACATTTGCTTGAATTTTTTCCAATTTCCAATTATTTCCCAAGGATGGAGAACAGTAAGTCCCACCAACGACTGGGATTTACATCCTTTTGAGTTGTGGCAACTTTTATTTTGGAGATGTGTGAGATGACAGGGAAGAAATACATGAAACTGTAATTGACCAGGAATATAATTGTACAAGTGACTTGCCTGTCATAATTATTTTTGGAGCTCTACACAAAACATATCATCAAAACTGTCTTTGCAAAGCAACAGAATTGTTCTCAGATGATAATAATACCTTGTAAACTACAGTTTATTTTTGCATTATTTATACCAGGATTTGAAAGGTTTTGAAGTTGGGCAGCCTGGGAGAAATCGAATAGAGATCGATAATCTGTTAAAAATGTGTGGTGATATGATCTCGGAAATTGAGGAAGCCATTGAAGACTTGAAATATTCTGGGCAGCCTTTTGAACCTATCCAGAATAGGTAAGCAAAATTTCAACTATTTAAGTTTAGTCTGAAGTGACCTGGCTTTTTCTGATGTATTTTGTAACAAGAAACTAAATTTAAAACATTGTCTTGGATGTCATTTGAATCTGATGACTAATCTCTAAAATCTCCAAGTTTATCAGTTGGTTTCCAGGATTCATATTGTTTTAAAGAAATTAACACGTGTCAAGATATTTTGTAAGGATTATCCTTTAACCTAAAATATTTACATTTCATAAATAATCTGCCTGAGTGCATCTAGCAAGTATTCAAGTATTTCATACCAAAGTCTTTTGTCAAAAGGACCCTGGAGTGAAGTACGAGATGTCACTATATGAGTGCTTTTATGGTACAAAATACTTATTATAAAAGTTTGAAGGGATATTTGTTAAAACAAGAAAGAGTAGTCCCTAATTGCGATCAGTCAGTCTGTAGTCTTTTCAAATTGAAAACTCTGTACAAAAATGAGAACTGGAAGGTCTTTTCATTAAACAGCAGGTACTTCAATGAAATATTCAATAATAACAAAAACCTAGAGATGCATCTTTTCATTGGCATGTAGTTGCTTAAGTTCTTTTGTGGGTGTAAAAGGCCCACGTGACTGTCCTACAAAGCCTCATCTCCTTCATACAAAATGCCATTGGCAGTGTGTTGGAAGCAGATCTTTACAGATTTGTGTAAACATAAAATATGGGGTATCAGGAGGAATTTAAGCTAGAAATGAAGGGGAAAGAAGCCCTCTGCTCTTGTGTTTAAGATGAATGACCTTCAATTTAAATCTTTGAACCTTTTTTTGTAGGGTGGTTCAACTTTATGATCAGCTGCGTGTGATTTCCAAAGCTATCTATGAACGATACAGCGAACAAGTTGTTATTGAACACGTCAAGTTACCCGGCCAAAGAGTATCGATCGGTAACAATTCCTGGGATGAATCATACTCAAGGTCAACTCATGAGCTGGTCAGCTGGATAAACCAACAAAAGGTGAACCAAATCTGATATTTTGCTTGTTTATAATTTTCAAAAAAGTTTTTAAGTATTTACAGAATGCAAGTTGGAAGAAGGATTTGCTCTGTAATTCAGTTTCAAAACAAAACATACAGAAGGGTTACAGTTTAAAACAACAATTTTGTTATAAGAAAGCACAAAATCACAATTGCCACTGTGATGTACTTCCGGTGCATTGCATGTACATATACACGCAGTGTGCATGAAAGTGCAGCATTTCCTGAATAATGGGTCTTGTATTGGGTGATTGTATAACTTGAACATAATATAATTTTATCCCACTTGTCACTACATTTCAATCTTGGTTTCAAAGTCCTTGGTTAAACATGAGTTGTGGAGATGTGCTGCAGAACTGTATGGTCATCCATCTGCCATTTACTACTTCCTTAATTTATCACTGCTGATTCATGTGTAATGTTAACCCATATCAACCTCTCCACTCAGCAGGTTCCGGCCATCTCCATGTCCCCCGCCCGGCCCACCCCACCACCTGAGATTGGTTCTCCAGTCTCTCTGCCTCCACCATTTGGAACGCCATCCTACATTCCCTTCGCCTTGCTTTCTCCTTTGCAAGGCATGTCTCAAGACCTTCCTCTTCGACTTCATCCACCATCCGGCCGTCCACCCTCCCTCATTCCAACCCTCTGCTCGGGTCCAAATCTCTGACATTCCAGCACTTTGAGATGTCCTCCACAGGAAATTATATCAATGACAACCATTATTCAGGAAATGCTGCACTTGCAGGCACAATGTTTAAATAAATGGACCTAAAACAATGTGGTATAATGGAGGTTCTTCTGTAGTTTATTTTCCAGCCCTATGTAAAGCTTGCTGTGCATAACCACAAGTTTAATTTACCTGGCTCCCCCCCTGCCCCCCCCCCAGTAAATAAGCTGAACAAATCTACAGTTCAGTTTAAGGCAGAACTTTGATATCTCTGCTGAGACCAAATTAATCTAGAAGCTCCTGCTGCCATCCCTTTATTGCTAACTGCCTTTGAATTGCTTATCAAAGTGCCCACTTTCTTAATCACCAACCGACATGTGACAACAACAACAAAATTACATTTGGATAGCGCCTTTCATGTTGGGAGGACGTCCCAAGGCGCTAGACAATCAGTGTTTTGGACCCGAGCTGGGGGTAGAGGCTGCGGAGGGGGCGGCGAATGAGTGTGACTGAAGGCACGGTCGAAGAGGAGGGTCTTGAGATGGGTCTTGAAGGAGGCAAGGGAGGGAGCCAAGGGATGGAGTTCCAGAGGGTGGGGCCCGAGTGGCTGAAGGCCTGACCCCCAATAGTGGGGCGAGTGAGGCGGGGGACATGAAGCAGGCCGGAGCCCGCTGAGCGGAGTTGCGGACAGGTTGGTAAGGGGTTAGGAGGTCACAGAGGTAGGGGGGAGCAAGACCATGGAGGGCTTTGAAGGTGAGGGCCAGGATCTTGAGCTGTATCCTCTGTGTGATGGGAAGCCAGTGGAGTCGGGTGAGGATGGGGGTGATAGGGTCACGGAGCCTAGTACGGGAGAAGAAGCAGGCTGCAGAGTTCTGGATGATCTGCAACCTATTGAGGGAGGAGTTGCGGAGGACGACAAGCAGGGAATTTGCGTAGTCAAGCCAGGATGTTATGATTGTTATGAAGTAAAGTTAGCAGCTAGAGAACAGTCCTCCTTTACAAGAATTCATTAAAAAAAATACGAGAGAAGTTTCAACATGCTTTGTGATTACCTATGTGCGTTTTAATCACTTTAGGTTGGCTGAGCACCAGAAACCTACACTTCATAAACTGTTGATTCCCAGGCTGACTGGGTCATATGTCAGCTCCTAAGATTTCTTGGAATCGGGGGGGGGGAACGTCAAAATACACTTTTTTGTTGTTTTTTGTTCTTATGAGTGGTTTGGGTGAGGCCAGTTGCGTGAGTAGTGTCGGTGTGATAAATCGGATTTCAGTGCATCTGTGAACGATTACTGATGTGTATCAACAATTCTCCACACTGTCAAATATACAAATTCGTTCGTAGTTAAGTGCAATGAAATATGAAGGGCAACAGTGGGCACCACTGCACTAAACACTAAATTATTCACCATGTAGTTTAGTTCCCAATTACTGAGTTATCAGTTAATGATGCCACACACCTTCAGATTGTTCTTTACTGTCACTTTATTGCTGTTCTGATAACAATTCAAAAAGTCAAAAATTAACGTTTAAACAAAGCTTCCAATTATACTTTACCAATATGAAGACACAGCAAAAAGTAACAATTTCTTGCTATTAATTTAAAGTCAATCCCACTGTTGCACAGCATGGGATGGTATATGTAATATTTCATTAATGCAAATAGAGCGTGAACAGGAAGTAACATGAGACTTAGCAAACATTAGGTAACATGAGATTGTTGTGGAGGCAAAAAATAGGTCATTCGTGTATGGGATCATGTGTTGCTTATTGTGGATTTAGACTAACCACTAATCTGCTCTCAGTAAGATTTTGAAACTTATTCTTGAACACTAATTAATTTAATAAAATAACTTAAATTCATTTTAAATTAAAATGCATTACAGTTTTAGTGCACTGTAATTCTGCAGTCGTCAAAACAAGGTGGGTGACTGTAATGTTGAATGAGAGAGGCCTTTGTATTCAGCATTGCCCCTCCCAGACCCTCGCTGTTGAAACAAGTGAACTCCCTTGTAAATTAGGATAGTGTTCACCTGTAAGGTATCTATTTAATCACTCCTGGACAAATGGATTTTTTAAATACTCCTTAGAGCTCTTGTAATGCCAAGTATGAAGAGGTCCTAGACTTCTTCGGCTCAAAAAATTTAAAACATCTGCTTGGCTGCATCGTCCTCCACACCACCCAGACCATCCACACCACCTTCTCCCTCTGCCACAGCTCCTGCCATTCCCCCACTCTTTACACTCCTTTGCCCCCATTTCTCACTCCTCCCTCTCAACTACAATCACCCGGATGAATTTCACCACCTGCTTCTAGCCACTCAACTCCCCCTTCTCTCCCTCCTGCTGGCCGATATGGTCAACCAGTCTCGTTCCTCAGGCTCTGTTGTCCTCAGGCTCTCAGGCAAGTAACAGTGATGCAGCTAGGACTGTAAATTTGGTGGACACCAATTTATTGTTGGACAGGCAATGACAATATTCCCATTCCTAGCTACACGCTACCATATCATAACTCCTGCTCCGGCTTTATTCCCATTGCTCTCTGCACTGCCTCGTACTTCTGGCTCCGGCACTCTTCCTGTCATCCCTTTGCATGGAGAGCAATGGGAAGAGAGTTGGAACAGGAATATGAGGCAACACGGAGAGTGACAGGTAGGCCTGGGTGCTAATTTGGTGGGACATGGCCTACCCAGCCCTACCTGTGGCTGTGCCCCTGGAAAATATTGTGCAATTCATGTTGGATTTTATTTTAGGATTGCATTTTGCGTTCTGTTTATTGTCGGATGTTTCAAGTATCATCTGATGTATTTCCTCTTCCCAAGACCAGTTTTTGCAAGTGGAATATTAGCAATAATGCTAGACCAAAACTTACTGCTTTAAATTATATTACTATTAATGTGAACGTAATATGTAAATATTAGAAATCAAATAATTCTTAAACAATACATTATTTGAATTGCTTTTGAAGNAAAAATTGAAGCCATGAAAGTGCAATCGGAAAGGTAAGTCTTGAGTGGGGAAGTTATAGGACAATTTGAAATTTTAAAAAATGAAATTAAAAAAAATTCCAATGAAATTTTGAACTGTTACTGCTAATGCAGTATTTAAGAGAAAATCATGTAAAACAAAATGGGGCTAAGGAAATCAAAGACCTGTTAAATCCCACTAGGGGGCATCATAGCGAATAACGTTAGAAGACAAAACAAATACTAAACGAATTGCACTATGTTCTTCATTCCCCTAACAGCAAGTAATGGGTGTACAAGAATGGGCTTTAGATGCAGTCTCTGTGGAGGAACAAATAAAGGAACAAAAAAGATACCACAAAATCATAGAGGACTTTCGCTGGAAGATAAATAAAGTCAAGGTGGAACAGGTAATGGTCTCAAGCAGATCCCGGCATGTTTTTATGAAAGTGTTGCTTTCTATTATGAATATAAGTATGTTATAGTCTGTTGTTTTCAAACCAATATGGTTGTCTAAAGAATACAATAAGGTGCATCTTACATTTATCTAGCAATAGGTTTGTTATATCATTTGCCTCAAAATCGTCACCACCTTACAGAATAAACCTGGGAAGTGATTTGAGATGTTTCAAAACGCTATATCAAATTCAAGGGTTATTATTGTTATTTATGAAAGGATTTCCCATTATACAGCTCCAGAATAAAATGACTTATTTTCCAAGGGATGATGACCCCAAATATTCAAAAGATAAAATCTATGTCCTTCTAGGATCGCCTATGTCTTTAGAAAAGCATTTTTTTTTGTTCCATGTACAGTTGAACTGTGAAAAGCACTCAGTGATTCAATTATACAGTTTGCCCTTTACAGCACGGAAAGATACTAAATGTGTCCCAACTAGTCCATGCCATTGTTTATACTCTGCATGAGCCTCCCTTCTTTCTAATTGCCTCTACTGTACCTATCTATTCCCTTCTCCCTCATGTATGTTTTCTGCTATGACAGAGGTGGTGCGACCAATTGAGTATTATACAAGTAGCATATTCAGAAACTATTAGAGCTGCATTAGTCTAAGAATAATATTCGTATAGTGCAATGAGACCAAATCATTAAAAGCTGAGTGATAACAATGGCAATGAGTGGCGTATAACTTTTGGAGATTAGTTCAAACACGTTGGCCTTGATTTATCACTCAGCAAGTTAATACCAATGGAAAATGTGTCTGCAAATTGTTGACCTATTTCCATGCGACGACCAGGATGGTAGAAGGCGAACTAGATGGACCTTAGTATTTTGTCACCTGGCGATTCCTATTTTCCATGCCTAATGTCGACCATCAGATTTCAATATTCAAATGGATTGTCCAAAATCCAGTGACTGATTGATGAAAAAATGGGCAGGAAGTGTACTTGAGTGGGAGATTTCCTTGGGAATGCCAGCATTGTAACAACTGGAATTTTATTTTGAAACCAATCCCTAAACTACACATGTTTAGGAGGCTACTAATACAACAAAACTAGGGACAGCATTACATCTGTTCCTGTGAAAATCAATGGGACTTGATCAATGCTGTGTGCTCAAAATATTAGAATGCCCTCTGTTGATAACATTCTTTCATTTTAAAAAAAAATTGGTCATTTTCAATCCACGAGTGTGGGACACTGCTGTACGCAATTGACTGCTGTGTTTGGCTCACGAATATACGGTCAATTCACTTTACAGCATATTCTGTGAAGCGCTTTGAGAATTCTAGAAGATGTGAAAAGCGCTGTATCAAATGCATGGATTATTATTATTTAGACTGATCCGATTTTATAGCTGCTACTGCAATCACTTTCGCAGAGCAACATTTTAACAGCTGTAACTCTAGTGACATGAAGTGGACTGTGAACATTGCATGGCCCAGGAGCTTTTAGAAGCACATTTTATATTGTTATCAAGAAGTTTATGCCATGACTGTCTCTTCACCAGCATTATAAAAACAAAGACCCAATTTTTTTGATGCTCTCATGTGATGTAAAGTATAAATCAGGTTTATTTCTGCACATCATTTTCCTCTTAGGAGCTAAGTTGCTGTGCTTCCAGTGGTATAACGTTTTTATAGTTCAGGGCATTGGCCTTTTCCTTACTTTTTTTATTTCTGTGTAGGTTTATCAGCAGACATTTGATAGTTGTGCTACCAATATAAGCGATTTGACGTGTCTTCTCAACGTGAAAGGCGCTATGTAAATGTATATTCTGTATTTGACATTCGGACACCTGGCCAACCCAAAGGGAAATTGTAAGCGATCCCATATAGTTTGTCATGGCTACCTCTCTTTTCGCATGATTCCACACCATCTATCCATGAACAGACATTAACACATGTTTGCATACAAATCAGAAATATTAGGGGCTAATTTCTGTTTTCTTAATGAGGAACTTGCAGATTGCCACTCTTGTGATAAATATGTTTTTCTGACCTGTGGGAAATTAATTCTGGAGTGAAGTTCCCATGGATCAATGGGCATTCTTGTTGGAATTCCTTATTAAGGAATCCTGTTTTGAAAAAATAAAATCCACAGGTTAGATCCATTTGGATAGAAATGCCATCAGGTTCTAGATTTACTCTATTTACTTAGCATTTCCCAATTTGGCAAATTCTTAATTTCAGGCTTAATTTTGAAGCTGGTTTGAAGTGTGATTTTTTTTTGTTTTGCTTTTACCTATAGAATGAAAACTATTCTGAGAACTACAGACTGGCTATAAGTGAAGTTGAAGACCAATACGAAGGCCTTTTGGTAAGCAAAAATCCTTCGATGAGTCTCGATCCATGATTTTATTTTCAGCGAGTGCGGGGTACGTGATTTTATTCAACAAAAAAGGAGATAGTTTCTTAATCTCTCTTTTTTTCTAAACAATTAGAAAGGTTCAAATGAAAGAATTGATCAGCTGATCAGGTTTCAAGACATAATTAAAGTCGCATCTAATGAGATTATGTGGATCAATGATCGTGAGGAGGAAGAACTAGTTTATGATTGGAGTGATAAAAACACCAACATTGCTGAGAAGCAAGAAAGATTCTCGGTAAGTCGGAGTCATTAGACTGAGCTAATGGTTTTGAAAGCTGTGTGTGTGTGTTGTGTATGTGTGTGTGTGTATCAAATCTCCTGCTATCACTCCTGCGATGAGTGCAGAGAAGTGATGAACTGGCAAAAATGTCAAAATGTAGGTTTAAAACAAATGCTTTCTTAACCACAACAAGCAACTAAAGCTCTCAAATCTACGATGAATTTTGTGATCCTTTCTGGAGACTATCTTTTGCACGTTGCCGCCCTTGCTGATTATCTGGTTGAAATGTAAGTAAACTGATATTAAATTGGGAGATACCTGACATGCATCAGTGACTGCAGGCCTGAAATTTCACCACTTCTTGGCCTTTAAGATCAAGTGCTCTGGAAAGCCACCCCACATGAAGGGCCTTATATAAATGCAAGTTGTTGTTGTGGTGGTGGTGTTTTTTAAATTTCAGATTGCATAGAATTGAATTCAAATACACACTTAATATGGAAGCCTTTTTTTTCGCAAATTTTAAAAAGAAACTCTCCCATGCAGGATCAGACTTGCAGGATTAAATAGACCAGACATTCAGTGAGCCACGGCAGAAAATATAAATGTGTAGATTTCTCAGCTTCATAAGTTTCCATTCTCAGTTAAGTGCATCAATTGGTGTTTATATCATTATTGTCTCTGGCTGCTATTTGCCAGGAGAAAAACTGGGTCTTTTATTTTAAGTGGTCAAAGTGTTTGTTCTGCAGGAACTCCATTTTTATCTCCAGATGCTGTTCATACATGAATGCTACTGACAGACAAGAGGACGAACACACACACACCTCATTCTGTTGTGGGGACAAAAGTCTTTATTTAACTTAACCGATTTTACTTTGCTACTTTTAAAGTGCACATCTTTTCTTTTTTTCAAATCAATTAATTCAATTATTTTTTTCACTAGATGTTGATGAGCAATTTGGAAGTCAAAGAAAAGCAATTAAACAGACTCAAACAGGAAGGGGACAAGCTAGTGGCAAATCAGCATCCCGCAGCTAACAGAATTGAGGTGAGGCGACTAACCCATTTGGTTAGGCAGTGCAAAGCTTGACCCCAAGTCTTTCATTGACAGAAGTTAATGTGAAAATTGACTTAAACCAACTTTTATTTAATTGCAGGCTTATGTTGATGCTCTGCAGACCCAGTGGAGTTGGGTTCTCCAGCTCACCAAATGCATTGAAGTTCATCTGAAAGAAAACACAAATTATTTTCAGGTATACCACTGATCAGTTCAATTTGCCAATGAAACAGGTTAAAAAATAATACAGATTATGTCATATCAACTATCTATGGTGTAGACCTCTTACATTGAGATCTAATTAACAAGATTTTCAAAAACGCTGTAATCCTGTAGGTACTGGCTATGTTCTCAGGTTGTCACTGGATCCCTATGCCAATCTCAATTTGACTTTCATGAAGTTAATTGATATCTGAGCAGAGGTCAGAAGATCAGTCTCAGGCATGTGAAGAAATCTGCAGGGTCAGATACTTCTTTACTTTTGACTAAAGGTTTTTTATATGCGCTCCCCTGTAGTCGACTGAGTAAAGGCATTGCCCTGTGGTAGAGCTTGGGTTCATACCGAGCATAAGGTCGCAGGTTTGAATTTACAGTGACTTAATTGATCTCAGTTGGGGCAGCAGTTGAGGTCCTACAAATGGTCTGAGTCCTTGGAAACTCAGCCAGGATTCCTGCTTCCTGACTACTCTTCAGTGTGGGGTGAGGACAGGAGTTTGTCTATGAAAGGATTCAATGAGGTGCACATTGATAGGCTGTTCCCACGTTGGTGAGATCCAACTGGGGGGGCCATGACTGCCAGTAGCAGAGCTCAAAGGGAGTTTAGGAGGAACTTCTTCATGCAGAGGTGAAAATGTCGAATTCCATCTGGGGAGCTGGGGTTGAAGCAAAAAGCATCAACATTTTTAAGAGGAGACTTAATGTGTACGTGAATGACTTAGGAGGGGCGGAGTTTGTGTGGGATGTAAACACCAGCATGGAGTAATTGGGCCAATGGCCTGTTTCCTTGCAATATCACCATATAGCACTCCGGGACATTACCCCGTGTGAAGGGCGCTACATAAATGCTGTTGATATATCAGGTGTGATACTCTCTAGCATGGAATAGTCTGCCACATTCACTCTCTTGAGTCGCACTCGAATGATGGCCATTTGGGAAAGGTAGAAGAGGAACCTGGCGCCCATCAAACCCTACCTCAGTAGGGTTCACCTTGAGGAGAGCAAAGGAGGGAGAATTTAATAATAATAATATTCCTTGCATTTAATATAGCGCTGTTCACAACTTCTGGACGTCTCAAAGTGCTTCACAGAATATGCTGTAAAGTGAATTGACTGTATATTTGTGGGCAAAACGTGGCAACCAATTTGACAAGTATGTTGTCTTATTGCAGTAAATGGCATTCTCACATTTTGTTCTGTAGTTTTTTGAGGAAGCTCAAATGGTTGAAAAAGACCTGAAGAAAATGCAGGACTCTATCAGAAAGAAATTTATCTGTGATAAGTCTACACCGGCTCTGCAGTTAGAAAAGATGATAACAGAATCCGAGGTAATCATTTCAATGTTGAAAGCTGAATTCCTCATTGTATCTTCATGAATGGAAACACCTTTGTAAAAAATTTTTGTCACTGTTTTAGCTAAAAGCGTGTGATAGACCCTTTCAATGATTTATAGACATACGTATCTAATTACATATATAATTTTGACCACTAATTTTCTAATAATATTGTTGTAATATAACAATATGGAACCATTACAGTATTTCCAGCAAAACACAGTCCTCGTAGAGACCTATTATCGTTTTTTGAGTTTTATGTTTCATCCAAGCTATCTTTGGTTTTCTTTTCCACAGAAAGATAAAGATAAAATCCTGGAGTACAAGAGACAGATGACGAACTTGGTAAACAAATCGAAGAATATAGTCCAGCTAAAACCACGTAACCCACTTACCAATGCTGATCAACGGTCCGGGAACAAAATCATTCTCAAGGCTCTCTGCGACTACAAACAAGATCAGGTATAATTTCTGGATTGAATTTCACTTCCTACCCTCTTCAGTTCAATCTTTCAATAGAGCTATGTGAAATGGCCAGTAATCAATAATTTCAAGCCCAGAATTAATAATAATAATTATAATAAGCCTTGCATTTGATTTAGTACCTCATCATGTTGTTGAAACATCTCAAAGTGCATCACAGAATATACTGTAAAGTGAATTAACTGGCAGCCAATTGCACAGCAGTGTCCCAGTCATGGATTCAGTGACTAAATTTTTTTTTTGAAAGGATTATTACTCCCAGAACACAATCCGCCAATCGACTAACAACCAGATTCTGGCTGCTCGGTAAACAGAGGTATGTGGAGTCCTGCAGCTCAGTGGTTAGAGCATTCGCTTTGCAAGTAAGAGACCTGAGTTCAATTCCAGGCAGGGTGAAACCTTGGGCAAGTTTCCTTACTCCACACGCCTAATAATAATCCCTCCAAAAAACCAAAAACAATAATAAATTGGTCATTTTCAATCCATGACTGTTTGTGGGACATTGCTGTGCGCAATTGGCTGCCGTGTTCGCCCACAAATATACAGTCAATTCACTTTACAATATATTCTGTAAAGCGCTTTGGGACGTCCTCCCGACGTGAAAAGCGCTATATCAAATGCAAGGATTATCATTATATGTGGAGTAAGGAAACTGGCCTACGTTTTCGCCCCACCCGGGAATCAAAACCGCGTCCTCTCGCTTGCGAGGCAATGCTCTAACCAATATGATACAGGACTCCATCTACTCTTAGCCAATGAGATTATTTTGTCTTAACTTTTAAGATTTTGTGGAATTGTTGAAATTTCTTACATTCAATCTCAATTTGGAAACCAGTTGCTTTTTACAAACTGCACAAAAAAAACTATCAAATGTAGATTGAATTTAAAGATTTTTCATAGTTCTGCACAATCTTAAAAAAATTAAGATAAAATATTCTCATCAGCTGAGTTATTGGGCTCTTTTTTCATTGGACGGGACAGATCTGAATTGCAGGGAAAATCACTTGTTTGCTGTGCGAGTAAACCAAGCTATTCTGCATACCTATCCTCGGTTGATATCACCATCTGAGTTCCACTTGTAAGAGCAAGCTGCTGAGATCAGATGGCTCAATGGAGTCATATTTAAAACACCGGTTACAAAGTAGTGTTGGAGGTTGTTATGGGGATCTGGGTTTGTCTACCTGTATTCTGAGGTTAAAATTACATAAAAGTAAGAAATTGTGAACCAATATTGTTTTGTTATATATTTGAAGTTAATTGGGTCCTGAACCCAGGCTGCAAATTACAACTACAACAACAAGATTTCATTTATAGTGCGCCTTTCACGTCGGGAGGACGTCCCAAGGTGCTGGACAGTTGGGTCAGGACCCGAGCAGGGGAGAAATGGTCAGGATGAGGGGAGGGGAGGGAACTATTTAAACCAACACATCAAATTCTTACTGGCAAGCTGTGTTTTCACAGTTGAAAGAGAAATAAATCCTGGTGCAAGTCACACCTGATAATCAGCCAGAGTTTAGGATCAGTGTAGCGTTTCTAATACAATTGCATTGAACTTTGTCTGTAACAACCTCTTTGGGACAGACTTCAAGTGAGCATTTTAGGAGGCAGTCGCCTTATGGAACACTGAGTTTGAATTCTTAGTTTGCTGTCGGAATTGACCACTTCTTATGGACTCTTCCTATTGAGGTGGGAGTTAAGACGTTGATATGCAACAATACTTCATTGTACTTAATGTAATCTTGTTGTTGTTGGTAATGAGGGAATACCATTTCTCTTTTCAAATAACAATGGCATGCAACGACTATAATCTCACTCAAAAACAAGTCGCTGGGAACACTCAGCAGGTCAGGCAGTATCTATGGAGAAAGGAAAGTGAGTTAATGTTTCAGGTCCACAACCTTTCGTCAGAACTGAAGTTCTGGGTTCTGTTTTTTTTGTTTGAGATTTCCAGCATCTGCATATTTTGCATTTTGACTACAATCTCACTTCCTTGCAATGTGCATTTTCAGAAAGCGGTGCATAAAGACGATAAATGTATTTTATTGGACAACTCGCAACGCAGCAAGTGGAAGGTGATTGGCCCTGGTGGAATAGAAATGATGGTTCCATCTGTTTGTCTCCTCATCCCACCTCCCAACCATGCTGCAAATGATCTTGCAAACAAGTATGAAACAATTTCCTTCAATTTCTACAACTGAAACAGTGAAAAATGTATGGGCGCTTTATTACGAATATTGAAATTGTTCCTCTTTTTTTTACAATTAGAATTGAACAATACTATGAGGCAATTCTCTCTCTGTGGAATCAATTGTACATTAATATGAAGAGCTTGATGTCTTGGCAGTACTGCGTCATGGACATGCAAAAAATTCGCAGTTGGACTTTATTAATGGTAAGTGGTGGAAAATGTCTTGAAGCAAAATAAGTGTTAACTAATTCCTTGCATTAATTATGCCACTTATAATACACGTTAGTACAAAGAACCACTTTGTCTGGTATGAACCACAAATAGATTGCCAAGTTGATGTTTGATGTTGTGAGGAGATGCTGGACTTACTTGAATCCAAAATCGAGGAAATACGTTCAGCCACCTCCGCCACCCCTGTCCACCACCACCCCCACATCACCTCTCGCTCATGACCCACCCCCGCACCCAGCCCCCCCTATACTCCTTTGACCCTATCTCTCCCTCCTCCCTCACTGCCATCGTTTGCAAAGTCAAACCCACCACCTGCTCCCTCGATCCCATCCCCACCTCTCTCCTCATCTCCCAACTCCATCTTCTGGTCCCTCTCCTGTCCGACGTCATCAACCTCTCCTTGTCCACCGGTTCAGTTCCCACCCCCCTAAAAACAGCTGTCATCACCTCCATCTTGAAAAACCTTCCCTGGACCCATTCCTGCTCTCCAATTACTGCCCCATCTTGAACCTCCCATTCCTCTCCAAGGTCCTGGAACAAGTCGCTGTGTCCCAGCTCCGCTCCTTTCTCTCTCGCCATTCCCTCTTTGAAACCCTCCAATCCAACTTCCACGCTGCCCACAGCACGGAAACAGCCCTGGTCAAGTCACTAATGACATTCTGAACATCTGTGATCAGAGCTCCCTGTGCCTCCTTGTCCTCCTTGACCTCTCTGCCGCCTTGGACACTGTCGACCACTTCATCCTCATACACTACCTCTCTTTACTTAACCTTCGCGGATCTGCCCTTGCCTGGTTCGATTCCTATCTCTCTCACCGTCTCCACTTTATTGCCTCTAACAGTTTCTCCTCCAGCCCCCGCACTGTCACATCTGGCGTCCCCCAGGGCTCTGTCCTTGGCCATCTCCTCTTTAAAATCTACATGCTCCCCCTTGGTGACATCATCCGCAGACATGGGGTCAACTTCCATATGTGTGCAGATGAACCCAACTCTTATCTTTCTGTCTCCACCTTCAACTCCAGGACCACTGCTGTCCTGACAGACTGCCTGTCGGACATCAAGTCCTGGATGAGGGCAAAGTTCCTACAGTTGAATGTGAACAAGACTGAGGCCCTCCTGATTGGCTCACGCCAGCACCTCAGCACCTCAGGCTCTGGCAACATCAACCTCCATGGTTGCACATTTCAACTCACCAAGCCAGTCAGGAACCTCGGTGTCTTGTTCGACCCTCAACTGTCTTTTCTTCCCCACATCCAAGCCATGACGCGCTCTGCCATCCCTCACCTCCGTAACATCGCTCGACTCCGCCACTACCTCATCCCTCAGGCCGGTGAAACTCCTGTTCATGCCTTCATCACCTCCAGGCTCCAGACTATGCAAACGCCCTGCTTGTCGGCCCTCCTAACTCCTCCCTCCACAGGCTGCAGATAATCCAGAACCTCTGCAGCCTGTGTCCTCTCCCGCACCAAACTCCGTGACCCCACCTCCCCCATTCTCGCCCGACTCCATTGGCTCCCTATCCTTCAGAGGATTCAGTTCTAGATCCTGATCCTCACCTACAAAGCCATCGCCCCACCCTACCTCTGCGACCTCCTAACCCCCTACCAACCCGCCCGTTCCCTCCGCTCAGTCAGCTCTGGCCTGCTCCACGTCCCCCGACCCACCATTGGCGGGAGGGCTTTCAGCTACTCTGCCCCCAATCTCTGGAATTCCATCCCCCAGTCACTCCACCTCGCCCCCTCCTTAGCCTCCTTCAAGTCCCACCTCAAAACTCTCCTCTTCGACCATGCCATCAGCCACCCCCCTTCTCCTCCCCTCCCTTCTCCCCCACCCAGACTCCAGCTCGAGTCTGAAATGCTGTACCCTGACCAGCGCCTTGGGACATCCAAATGTAATATACAAATGTAATTTGTTGTTGTTTAAAATACATTGAAAAGGGTAACTGGAGAGATCATGCAATCGAACCATGTTCCTGAGTAGGAAAAGCTGCACTGAGCAACAGGATAACTAACGCCTGGGGGTCATGCCATGGGCTCGGGCTTTGACTTGTTCAGAAAATCCTGCAGGAAGAAACCAAATAATCTTGCATTTTAAAGCAGTTGGTTTAGGCAGGAGTGTTTTGTCTACTTGACCATTTATTTCAGTCAAGTTCAGTTTGGTAACTGGAGTTCACTGTACAACAACAACAAAATTACACTTGTAAAGTGCCTTTCACGTCGGGAGGACGTCTCAAGGCCATCAGTGCAATACATGCTTATCACTAGTTAGCCCATGCAGGATAAATGTAGTGTTTTAAAAATGAACAAACGAGGCTAGTTTTGAGTGTGTGAGGAGCAAAATTGTTGGGGGCAAAAAATTGGTCTGTACACATTGGTCTATACACATGTGTCTGGACGCACAGGTCCTGTGAAGGTTTGTGAATTGCTGTGACCAAAAGACATGGGGAAATGATTTGCTCCTCAATTTTGCTCCTCACACACTCAAAACTAGCCTCGTTTCAAGTTCAATGTGCAGTCTGCATACCTTTCATAATTTACCCCCTCCACCCTCTCCTTCCTCGGTTTTAGTATCAGCAGAAGATCAAACTGGAATTCCCTCTCAAGTGTTTACATTTGTAACTATTTTGTATAAGCAGCACTGTAATTCATCATTACCTCCACCATTTTGGTGTTTGTTCTAGGAGCGGCGAGTGTAATGAGAAATCAATATAAACAGACATGAGTGTGAAGCAACACAGGCAACAGTTTATATTTTGTGATGACTCTTTATTTGTAGCTCCAAGTAATGCTCTACCTTCTAATTTAAAGCTGAAACAAATGTCTCGTGAAGATTACGAGACGGTGACCAAAAACCTGGAGCTGAATTTCCAGGCTTTCCTGAAGTACAGTAAGACTTCCCAGTTCTTTACAGAAGCAGACCGAACAGAATTGCAGAAAGACTACAGCCATAGCCAGACCCACTTCAGCAAACTAGTAACTTCTTTGGAGGACGGACCACCTGATCGACAAAGTTAGTAATATTCATACTCGGTTTGCTTTGCGACAGTACTTAATAAGAATCTTTACTAAGAAATCTGAGTCATTGAAATGGGTCTCCTACCACGAATATAACAAGTCAACCCATGGAAACTCTGAACAATCTACCTCTAAATACATTTTTCTGTGGATCTGACAAATCTTGGAAACATCTTAACGAATACCCAAATTAGAACCCTATTGTGCTTAGCTACAGATTTTATCTTCAATGATTCTGCCCTTGTAAAAATAATAATAATTCCTGCATTTATATAGTACCTTTTACATTAGGACGTTCAAAACACTTGGCAGGATTTTACCATAAAGTAAAGTGTAGTGACTGTGTGTTTTGTACGCGAATGCCTGTTAGAAATAAAATGGCCAGTAAAATATGTAGAACAAATCAACTGATTGATTGATGTGATATCGTTTAGCAATAAAACCTATTGTTATTTCTGTTTAAATCAAGTAATCATGTTCTTCAATTGTGTTTGATACTCACCTTGGTTTAATTTTTAAAAAATCTAGTTTCCTTCCTCCACACGCCTCTGTTTACCTAGCAGTAAGTAGGAACCCAGTTGTTAGTCAATTGGCGGATCGCTTTTCTGGAGATAATAATCCTTCAAAAAATATATAATAATTTGGTCACTCAATCCACCACTGTTTGTGGGACACTGCTGTGCTCAATTGACTGCTGCGTTTCGCCCACAAATATAGTCAATTCACTTTACATCATATTCTGCAATGCGCTTTGAGATGTCTAGAAGATATGAAAAATATTATATCAAATGCAAGGATTAGTATAGTTATGGTCAAGATTTGTAAAAGGGGAAACGTATTACAAAGAGTATTCAACACTGCAATTTGAGCTAGAATCTTTTTAGTCCAAAGAGTCCCAACTTTGGAACTCTCTTTCCAAATCCTTTTGCCTCGCACCTTCTCTCCTTGCCTTCAAAACCCTTTCAAAATTTTACAGCTTTGATAGTGTCTTAAATTATTCCTCTCTTCCATGCTCAGTGTTCTCCAATTTTTTTCTCATGAGCTGTTCATTGTGTGAAAGTGCGAGATGTTGTAAATCGTTTTCACTTTTAATTCTATGTGAATGAAAGGAGATAATCTTACATTTGGTATAGTACCTTTCACATTGAACATCACAGGATATACTGTAAAGTGTAGTGGCTGTGTGTTTTTGTGGCTGAAAAGGTAGAACAAAGCTTCCAGAGACAAAATGCTCACTGAACATGGAACAATGTGATTTTTGTTTCCAGTTCAAAGATGATAGTTTATGGACAGGCACCAACAGTCAAATACTCAGTAGAACACAATGGTACATGTGATGCTAAGACTCTAGATGGTCATCGGACTGTTTGGGGTGTAAGAGTGGATTGATATTTTACGGTTTTCTTTCTTCACCATTGGGAGTTTGAACAAAGGTTTCACACTTTATTCTGGAGCTTAACTGTGTTTCCCTGTTTCAGAAGGTTAAGTGGGCTGAGTAGAGTTAGCTATGTATATACATGTGTGTGTTACATATATGTATATACACAGGGCATATCTGGCAATAGAAGGTGATTAGTGTTTTAATGCCATTTCTTCACAGTTTCAGTTAAGGTTCTAGGGCAAGGCCCACCACAGTCAGACAGTAATTTCCATCTTGCGCTCCAAACGATACGCCACCGTTTGGAAGAGAATGAACAGTTATTGCTGCAAAAGATACACCTCCTTATCGATTCTGCATCAACTTTCAACAACACACGAAGGACAGCTGAATTGGAGGTGAGCGTAAAACAGTAATAGTCTGACATTTTCCTGCTTTTACTTCAAAATATTCTCATTTATTAAAACTTGCCCTTTTTATTTTGTTTTCTGTATTCTAATTTGGGAACTGTTCAGATTTTATTTTGAAAAACTCAAGTGGATTTACTGGGTGCTTTGCTCCCATTCTGATATACGTTCTTTTATTTTTATCTAGCTTACACTAGATGACCTAGATGCAATTGATAATGACTTTGTCAAACTGCAGAAGAAGTGGCACTTATCAAATCCATCATTGGAGTCTAAATTATTCTTTGAAAAAGAGTTTCTCTTTATAGCTCAGCGGCTGAAGTCCGCCAGCAGATACTCCACAGATTATTTAGAAAGGTAAGAGGTGCAGATGATTATTACTTCATTTTATTTTGAACTGGCGAATGTTTTGCAATGACAGCAGAGTCCTGTAGCTCAGTGGTTAGAGCACTCGCTTTGCAAGTGAGAGACCTGAGTTCAATTCCAGGCAGAGGGCGAAACCTTGGGCAAGTTTCCTTACTCCACACGCCTAATAATAATCCCTCCAAAAAAACAAAACAATAATAAATTGGTCATTTTCAATCTACGACTGTTAGATTGTGGGACATTGCTGTGCGCAATTGGCTGCCGCGTTCGCCCACAAATATACAGTCAATTCACTTTACAGTGTGTTCTGTGAAGCGCTTTGGGACGTCCTCCTGACGTGAAAAGCGCTATATCAAATGCAAGGATTATTATTATTATTATTATTGTACAGAAGAGATTGTATATTGTACAATATACATTATTTCAAAATACAACTGTCATGATCTTATGTCAACCCATTGTTTTTCCATGTTTGATACTTGTTTTTTAAAATCCCCCTCCGCGTGCGCACACACACATACACACACACACACACACAGCCAGTTATGTATGAGTGGCTCATTTTGGGCCATAAATGTCAGCACAGCTGTGATAGCAGAGCTGCTATGACAGAATTGCTGTTTCATTTGGTTTCTCACACTTGCAATGAGGTGGACAATTGCTACATTTGTGCTGGTGTGCAAAATGCTGTGTACAAATGCTTCCTGAAAGACTTTCATGCCTTTTAAAGATAGAATGCTTCTACTTCTATCGAAGACATAATTTGAGATCTTGATAAACAGCAACATTTACCGGTTCAAGGGAATCTGAGTTCGATTTTTGATGTGAATGATCAGGAATGCTATCCCTTGAGCTATTGGGCCACTTGCGTAATTCAATAGTTAATAAAGCTGAGTGTGCTTTGATGAGAGTCTAATGATTGTTTGTAATGCTGGAAGTCATACAGTATCTCTTCCAGCAATAAGGTGATCAGGACCAAGAAGTCAGATTTATTCCTGCCACATGACATCAGCCAAGGCTGAAGAAAGCTCTTGGCCCTGAGTCAGAAGGTTGTGTGTTCAAGTACCATGTCAGTACTTTGAACTCAGATAGTCTAGGCTGACATTCTAATGCAGGGATATGCTACATTGTCAGAGCTGCTGTTCTTTGGATGAGACATTAATCCAAGGTCCCATCTGTCTGTTCGGATGGACACTAAAGAACCCATGGTACTTTTCAAAAAGAGAAAGGAGTTTCTCCCAGTGTCCTGACCGACAATCCCCCAAATAATTGGCCATTCCCTTGACGGCTGTTTGTGGTATATTGGCTGCCGTAGGTTTGGTCACAAAATACAAGGTCAATTCACTTTACAATATATTCTGTGAAGCACTTTGAGACGTCTCGAAGATGTGATAAAGCGCAATATCAAATGCAAGAATTATTATTGTTATTGCTGTGTGCAAATTGGCTGTTTTTTATTGGCTACAAAATACAGCAGCTACATTTTACACTAAATCCTGTGAAGCACTTTTTGATATCCTCGTGTGAAAAGCAAGGATTATTATTAGTTTTATTATATTTTCCTTATCAGACTGGGTCGACTGAATGTTCTCAAAACCCACAGCTCCCGTCACTTTTGGGCTGTTCTAGGTTGTTCTTTTTGTAAAACTTCTGATTTTGTTTCTCTGGCTCTTCTTACGGGCAAGAACATGGTCTTCACTCAGGATCTCTTTCTTATTACATAACCCAATATCAGGAGGTTGTGAGGTTACAGATTTAGATGTTAACCTTGTGGCCCAGCTCATTGTCAATATTAATTTATCGTTTCAGCAGAACAAAAAAAACAATGCATATTTACCTAAAGTGGTGTCACTTTTATTAGGCGTGTCGTATGTTAGGCATGCCCTATGTATTATTTTTATTATTATATGGTCATTTAAAATATATATTTGCTTATTTTTTTGTAAGTTGCCAACAATGGATAAGGTTAACCTGACAGATGGCTACTCTGACTATATGGTGAACTTGAATTTATTGAAAGTATTTTGGAATATTACCAGCTGGCTGAGGGTTAATGGATTTTATATGAATGATTTACAATTTATTGCAACTCTTTATGTTTAGAATGAAAGTACTGAATTTACTCATTCAAAGTATTCTTGAGGTGGAAGATATTGTAAAAGTTTATGAAGCTCGACTAACTGAAGAGGAAAGTGTTCCATTGGATCTGGATAAAATAGAGCCTTACAGATTCTATCTGAAGGTAATTCAAATCTTGAGTTTCTAGACTGCTGGGTTTTCTCTCTGCACTATGCAGAGAATAAAGAATGTTTCAAATTCATAATTCGCATGAGAATTAAACGGCCTTTTAAATGGTCCAATGCATGAATGACATTTTGGTGTAAATATACATTGCATGTCAATTTCTGGTTACCGCACAGCCTGTGAAACAGCCATTTGATTCATGGTGATTCAATGTTCAAGGGCTAACTTTTGAACTAAATCATTTCCACTTGCCTATAGACAATGAGAGGTGAACTGGATATGAAAAGGGACTTGCTGAAGCACATGGATGACGATCTGAACCAAGTGTTAAATATCAATGAGCGGATAACATCTTCATACAAGTGTGACATTGACATTGACAAATATAATGAGAAGGTCACACAACTGAAGGACCGTTGGCAAAGAATTTACAAAGAACTTGATTCCAGGTTTGTTTGACAACCTTTTGGAAATTGTTTTTTAAAGTAACTCTAAATATAGAAATTTCTAACCAAACTACAGCTTAAAGAAATGTTTCATGTTTTAAAAAAAACTTTAAATCCAGAGTCGTTATCATGCAGATAGTTATCCTATAAAGATGTGATATTAATTATTGTTCTTACACATCGAAAGTGGTGGTCAAGAGTTTTGGTCTCGCCACTACCCAAATGACTGTACAAAACATAGTCAGAAAGCCAAAGTTATCGGCTAATAAAGCAGAGCCTGAGAGTATGGACCCAGATGACTGCGATATTATGGGGTTGCCCTCCATTAAGTGCAACAATCCAGTCGCATGATATTTAAAAGGAATCCAGGAGCTCTTACAAAGTCTAATTTATTTTATTAATTGTAATAATTATGGATTCAGAATTGGTTTGTTTATTACTTTTTTTTTATTCCCCTCCTTTATGCAGATATTTAGACTTGGATAAACATCACCGGCAGCTGAATGATTACAAACAATTATTTGATGGGCTTAACAGATGGATTGATGTAACCAAATGCAAACAGGATGCACTGCAAATCAATAAATTTGGGCATGCAGAAGCTATTATAGCTCAACTACAAGAGCAAAAGGTTTATTCAATTTGTGACCTTCCATGCGTTTGATTTTTCTGTATTTGCCAGATGCTAACCACTGCATATATGCTAATAGGCCCATTAGCACTCATTCCACTTGGAATTTTAAAAAAAATTCAGAAATAACATTTTTATGTAGGAGCTAAAATTCCGATATGTGATATGGAAATTGTTATCGTGTTGGTAAATGTGGTCACCGATGTCAGTCAGTATTAAAGAGTGGCTACAGGTGACACCTAGTCTCCACCAGAATGATTTAAAAAAAATATATGAAGCATCACAAAGATGAAGCTCTAGTGATGACCACATTGGCCATGCCAGCCCATGGGTCATATCATTAGAATGCCAGTCACAGGTAACATCTTAAATCAACAAGAAAGAGTCATATCAGCTGATATTTCAACGCTTCGAAACGAGTTAAAGGGCGCTATATAAATAATAATAATAATCCTTGCATTTGATATAGCGCTTTTCACGTCTTTTCGACGTCTCAAAGCGCTTCACAGAATAGACTATAAAGTGAATTGACCGTATATTTGTAGGCGAAACGCGGCAGCCAGTTGTGTACAGCAATGTCCCACAAACAGTCGTGGATTGAAAATGACCAATTTATTATTGTTTTTGTTTGCAAGTTGTTGTTGATATCCTGGGGACTGATATCTCCAATAGCCACTAATGAGACTTTGGACTGAAACATTGTGGTGGAGTTGGCTGGGGAGGGTCAGTCACAACTAGGGCCAGTCATTAGTTATTGAATGACCTCATTGACCACCTTTATGACCAATGTGATGATTCGTACATGATATGTAGCAATTTTCACCCTGTAATAGATGGTTAAGTCGGACACATTCTGGTGGAGACAATGGTATCACCTGTGGCCACTCTTTTAATACTGACTGACGTCGGTGACCACATTTACCAACAGTATAACAATTGCCATGTCTACATTTATTAACACATCACATATTGCAATTTTAGCTCCTACATAAAAATGTCATTTCTGAATTTAGCTTTTTAATCGTTAAAAAGGTTAACCGAAGTTCCATTATCTCCTCCTGCCCACCAGAGTAGCGGTGGCGCCTCCTCCCGCCCATTGCCGTTTCCACTGGACGGGAAGGGGACCAACTAGCGGTGGCTCCAAAGTGATTGACACCTTTGGAGCCGCTTGTGAATGGTTGAGCACTTCACCCATTCACAAACAGCTCCAGCTGTCAATCAATCGTGATTTGACTCCTCCTATTCCCTTGTTTCTTTCCCGTTCCTCCGCACCTTCACTGATTGACAGCCCAATTCCAGCCGCTTGTGAATGGCTGGAGTCTGCTGTCAATCAATCGCAATTTGACTCGTCCCATCTTCTGCCTGGAGCCCCTCGTGGCTGAATGGCATCGCCTGAGACACAGAACACACAAGCAACTGCAGTCAGCAGCGAGGAACAAGGCATTGTATCCAGATTAACCGGATTGTTGTACGAATTGACAAGTATATTTAAAACGGGTAAGAATACAAATGAATCGGGGCTGGGCGTTTGGTCCAATTCACCTGTTGTCTGAAGTTAACTTGAGCCTGGCTAAACTTTCTTCCACCGTATTAAAAACAAACTGGTATTATTGTGCTAATATCCTTTTTTTGTTACTGAATAGAACTTGCATTCAGAAATAAAGAACAAACGAGTCAATGTTGAAGAGTATCAAAGTGACGCGGACATGTGTGCAACATCTATAAAGGTAAAAGCTCAGTACAGTAGAACCCCATTGTAACGTAATTGGAGTCCATATAATCCCAACCAACAATAATAGAAGGGTGTGAGCACCAGTCAGCTCTTCTGCATTCGCTGTGCAGGTAACCAGAAAGCTGGCTGATTTCCCTTGTGACAGCCAGCTTCCTGAGCTAAAAATGGCCAACTTTTGAGTCATCAGTTAACCACCGCCAAACTCCCAAGTCTTGCATCATTGGGTGTAAAATACGTGTCCTCCAGGGAAATACGTGTACATGACGCCAATTGCAGGAACATAGCTCTGAAATAAGATCTCATCTGAGCCAATTTCTCACGGGCGGGCATGACATAAATGGGGTTCCCTGGAGAAGATGCATTGTACATTCCAATGTACCATTTTAAACTGCACATTTGCTGATGAATGCTTTAAAACCTCATTGTTTGTAAATGGAACTGTGAGACATATACATACATATTCTCATATTTACAGGATTATGAGCTTCAGTTAGCATCATTCAGTGCTGGTCTGGAGACGCTACTTAAAATTCCAATCAAGAGGCAAGTGGCACAGTCAGCTTCCACTAACATTCTTCGTGAGGTAATTCAAGTAGTTTTTTTCTTGTGCTTTTGCTTTGAGCTCAGTGTTCTGCAGTCTACTTTGTCTTAAATTAAATGACTGAATTATTAAAACATCAAACATCACAGTTCAACCAAGTATTACAGTCCAAGTTATGACTGAAGATGCTGGGGTGGGTATTCTGGAGGTATGAGATCATGTGAGCTGAAGGGCCTGCATTATCCAAATTAGTCTTGTGATCCTGTGATTTCCATACATTTCTTAAACCTATAAATGTTAGCCAGACTCAGTTGGTAGTATTCTCACTTTTGAGTCAGATATTATGGGTTTACGAACCATGTCAGAGCATTGAAATCAAATAGTCTACGCTGACTCTCCAATGCAGTCCTGGAGGTGTGCTGCATTGTTGGAGGTTCCATTCTCTGGATAAGACTTTAAATTGAGGTTCTGTCTGTCTGTTCAGAAGGATAATAAGAATCCCCTATTTGAAAAGAGAAGGAAGTTTCTTCTGATGTATTGGCCAATAATTCCCCATATGTTTGTAGGCCATTGCTGTGCACATATTGACTACTGTATTTGTCTACATAATATCACTACACTTTACAGTAAATTCTGATTGAGATGTCCACCTGATATGAAAAACGCTTTATTAAATGCAAGAATGATTATTATTACATTTGAAGTCCGCGGTAACATCTGTGTATCCTATCTCATAAATAATCCTTACATTTGATGTAGCACCTTTCACAACAGAATAATGTCTCAAAGCACTTCACAATATATAAAGTGACTGTGCGTTTTGTAGCCAAATACAGTACCTAATTTGCACCAGCAATGTTCAACAAACAGCCATGAAGTGAAGAACCAATTGTTTATTTGGGGATTGTTGGCTGGGACACCTGGAGAAACACCCTGTTCTTTCCAAATAATGCTGTAGGATCTTTAACATGGAAACTTAGCTTACCATCTCATCTAAAGTGCGGCACCTCTAACAATGCAGCACATCTCCAGCAATGCATTGGCATGTCAGCTTGGACTATAGGAGTTCGAAGACCTGACATGGCTCAAAGTGCTACCAACTGAGCAATACTGGCACTCTATAATTATAAGTCAGTGATGCAACTGAGGAAAATAAGCAAGATGCTTTTGATAGACCTCTGAACTAAAACTTTGCTTAATTGCATTTCTGTTTTTGGCCCATTTTCTTCTGCAGTTAAAGCTAGTAACGAGAAAAGTCCCGCAATGTTTGTTTTGTAAAATAATTCTAAATTATTTTTAAGACTTAAATGCAGCTGTTGCTTGTAGTTTTGTGTTATTGTCATGTTTTAAATTCTCCTTTCTCCTCTACTAACTAAATAATAAGTGAACAATCCTTGATGTAGTGCTTAAAGGAGGAAATCTCAGTTTCGTTTGGATACTTTCAAGCATGGTGATAGGTTTCCGCATGTGTCAAGACACCCACCTCAACAAATAAATTGCTGTCAAATACTGTGATTGTGTTGCCTCTGGACCTGGCACCCTAACAGTAGTAGTTCTACGAAGCTCTTCCTCTTAGAATTTATCAAACAGATTTCTAGCAGTGGCAAAAACCATCTACCCCTACAGGAAGTATATGGATAAGCCATCTATTGGATGTCTGCTAGTTGTAGTGTATGATATATGGTCTATGACTAGAACTAGCAATACGCCAGAAAATTTATTTTCTTTTTCCACCCAGTCACCTCTCTTAGTTAAGAAACGAATCCAAATGTTCATAAGTTTAAATGTATTTCTTTATTCACATTTTTAAGATGCAATTCATTGTTTCCCCCCCCCTACAGTCTGCAGATCTGCAGTCTCGATACATTGAACTTCTTACAAGATCAGGTGACTATTACAAGTGTCTCAGTGAGATGTTGAAGAACACGGAGGAAGTAAAGGTAAATTTAATTTTTACCCCTTTCCTGGAAACAACTTCTTTAAATCATCGTTGTCCTCTATATTACTGTAGTGGCAATTTGCAATTTTGAAGTAGGAAGTAATGATGTTCTGCTCTTTGTAATGCAGTGCTAATGTGTGCCCAGTAGGACAGCCTCTGAGCGTTTTGCTCTAGAATGTAACCCTGGTCGCAATCTGTAAATGAGTGTTGGATTTTAAAAATTGTAGGTGATACAAAGACAAATATTACAGGCCACTTCCATTAATTTTAATTATACAGATAAAAAACACAAAAATAGAACTTTTGGAAGAGGAACTTAAGCATGCCAAGGGTGAGAATGCTGATAGTAGCCAACAGAAGAAGTTTTTTGATCAACATTTAAGTCAGATTCAAGTTGAGATCACAGAACTGAGGAAAAAGGTTGTAATCCTGGAGGAGCAGAGGAGAAGTGCTGAAATGGAACGTGATAATGCGAAGCACAGCCTAGAGGTAAATATTAGTCAGATGAAAGAAATCAACGAGAAGATTACAAGACTGACATTTGAACTTGAAGAGGAAAGAAGGCTGAGAATATCGAGTGAGAAACTGAAAATTGAGCAAAAAGATGAGCATGACAGTGTTTTCCATATCAAACAAAAGGAGTTGGATGATGTCATTTGGCTCAAGGTGCAGATTGAAAAAACACTCAAGGAGAAAGAGCATGAGATACAGAGGCTTAGAAAACTGCTAGAGGAAGAGTCTAACACTAGGAGAGAGATTGAAAGTGAACTAGTTAAGATTAAGAACAAACATGGATTTGAAATGACTACGTTGAAATCACACTATGAAACACAGATCAAGATAAGTGAATCCACAATTGAGCAGCTCTCTATCGAAAAGGATGATACTTCAGGGCTAAAAATAAAGCTGGACAACATTTCAAGAGAGAAAAGTAATCTCCAAGAAGAAATAGAACGGTTGAAAATTTCCATCAAACAATCTGAATTGCATAGAACAAAGGCAGAAGAGAATATTGCACAGCAGAGAGCATCTGGTACTCATGAATCTAGGAAGAGATTGGAGTTGGAAAGAGAACACCAACAACTAATCAAAATTAGATCAGAAGAAATACTGAGGCATAAAGCTTTCCAGGAAGATACTTCTAAGTGTATTAGTGACAAAACAAGGGAACTCGAAAGAGTGAAAGTTTTATTAGAAGAGGAAATTTATAAACGGAAAAATCTAGAAAATGATAATGACAAACTGAAGCAACTGAACATGGAAAGTCAGAAGAAGACCACAGACTCATTTACCAGAATTCATACCGTAGAGGAAGAGTATAAGCGTATCAAAATGGATTATGAGAGAGCATCTAATGAGAAGAATAGGTCATTGCAAGAAATTGAACGACTCCAAAGCACTATAAGAGAAGCAAACCATTTTAAAGTGAAGATAGAAGAGGAGATTGCTCAACAAAAGAGATATGTACTTGAAGAGTCTTCAAAGAGAAAGAAGGCTGAAGAAGAGTTAGAATGCATTAGGAGAAGTTGTAAAGAATATACAATTACAATCAGTCAGCTCACACAGCAGATTGAACAGATTTCATTCACAAAGAAAAAACTTGAGGATGATCTGAAAGAGCAAAGGATATCTTTTGAACATCAGTTTAATGAGAAGAAGGTCAGTACAGAGGAGCTCAATAGGCTGTATGCTGAAATAGAGAAACTGCGTCACCAGTTAACTCAGGAACAAGACAATTTAAGACAGGCTCATCTGAGAAATGAACATTGTCAGAAAACTATTGAAGATAAGAGTAAGAGTCTGAATGAAAGCATAACCGAAATAGAAAGACTTCGTTCACTCGTGGAAAAACTCACAAAAGAACGACTGAGGTTAGAAGAAGAATGCAGAAATATAAGGATTTCTCTGGATGATTTTCAGAATAAACAAAATGAAAATGAAGGTGAAAAGGGGAAATTGATCTCTGAACTCAAGTACCAACTTGAACTGACTAGCAAGAGAACAGCTGACCTGCAAAAACTCATTAATGAGTTAAAGAATGAGAGGGAAAAATTGAAAGTGGAAGTTGAGATATTCCAAAAGCAAGCTCTAGAGGTATATACAAGTTTTACTGTTTTACACTGAAAATATTTTGTGTAAGATTTTTTTTATCCACAATCTTTGGTTGAGTAGAAAAAGTATAAAGTATAAATACTAATGCACTGCAGCACTCGACTATTTCAAAATTATGTTTAAGATATTTTAAGATTTCCAGAATTATGAAAATAAGTCACATCTGGATACTTTGATCAAAAAGAATTAGTGGAAATGCTATAAGGGTAACTGTCTTTCACATCAAACAAGCTGATCTAAACAATGAGGAATAAGTTCAATAAAGCATTCAATGCAAGTGTTACAACCCGAATATTTCATAGAGGTCTGCGACATGCTTAATTTACATGAAACATCTAACTATCTCATGAGTTCTAAAACCAATTTGTGGAAATAACACTGCTTCTTCATTTGCATCCTGCAGATATCATTTAAGGAGAGCTCATGCCATGCATAAGTGACACCCTTTAAGATGTTTTCTATATCTGTGATGTTGAGATATTGTGACTTCTGTCCCAGCCACTATAAAAATGTACTCCTGGATGCCATTATGCCTTACTCTATATTTGAGCATTAGGGAGGCATCTCATCTGATGAAGTCTAGTAAGCAATGAGGTGAAAAGGTGGAGTCGATGGTCCACTGGTCCCATTCCAGGTAGTAGGTCTCTTGAGAACCAGGAAAAGCTCTAAAAGACTGTCTGTAAGATCAGTATGTTTTAGATCTGCAACTCGTGGTATGGACAGGTGATAAACATTAATGTAGCATTGTATTGTTATACATGGGTCATTAAACCATACTGACAACATAAATACAGACCAAGGAATTAGCCTCAACCAAACTTGAACACCATCCAGAAGGTCCTCTTTGAAGCAAAGTCAGCATCATTTGTCTTGGCATTAATAATGCTTAGAATAATAACCTATTTAGCTTTAGCTGGTTGAACTCAAGCAATACCCCATCTCACACAATTTGGGGACTCTAAGCCTTGGCTGTACACGAGAGAGAGAGGAGAGAGAGAGAGAGGAGAATTGAGGAGTGTATAGAAATGTTAGGGAGGTGGGATTAGGAGGGGTGGAGGCTCATGTGGAGTGTATACACTGATATGGACCAGTTGGACCGAATGGCCTGTTTCATTGCAGTAGATTCTACTTTTGTGATTCTATTTACGCTGCCAATCTGGGTCCAGTATTTTCTGGAATTAGGTAAGCCTTCATTGTATCTAACTCTTGTGCTTTGCCACAGTAAATCCATGTCCATGGATTGATTAAAAGGCTCCAGCAATGACTTGTCTTATACTGAGATTATGGTTCAAACTGACAATGCCATTCAGTGTTTAGTTTTCAATGACCGACCTAGGTATTTCCAAAATTTCCTTTACATTTGAGATTTTTATCCAAAAGAAGCATTAAAACAATGTAAGATCTTTTGATAATTCATCAATTATAAATGCAAAAAATACTTGGGGAAATCTTCCTATTAGTGAAATGATAGTTTCTCCCATTAGGGAATGAAAACATTCTGATTCAAGACAAACAAATTATACCAAATGCTTTATGTAAAATGAATAGCATTTTTCAGGCCATTATATGAGGTCCTTTCATCTTCCTCTGCGTCCCCCTCTCCCCCCCCACACACACAGAGGATTAACTAAATGTTGGCATTGAATCCGATTGTGACATCCTTCTACCCAACAAGGAACTGTCTAACAATAATAATCCTTGTATTTGATATAGCAGTTTATCATGTCTTCAAGACGTCTCAAAGCGCTTCACAGAATATGCTATGAAGTGAATTGACTTTTGTGGGTGAAATGGATTGAAAAGATTTGTATTAGGTACCCTTTCTGTAACAATTGTTACAAACCAAACATTTGGAAATATCTGAATCAGTTACGTTTTGGTGATTAGGTTGAAGTCATTCTGGAAGGCCTAAAAATCTGACCCTCCATTTCCTAGCACATTCCTTTGCTCTTTGGTTTTGGCTACTGGTAAGAGTTGCCTTCAACTTCATGGAAACCATTGGGAAGAAAAACTCCATTGGTAATAACATCATTGTTATTGATTAAATGTTATTCAACTTGATGCGCAGCCATAACACGGGCCAAGTTTAAGATCGTTATGTGGAAATAATCTGGAAGGCTAAATTAAAACAAATGTAAATCACATATTTACCAAGGGATTTTCCTTGGACTTATTTGTTTTTAGGTTATTTCTGACTACAGTTCTTTGTTGAACTATGGATGATTTGTCATGCAAAAAAAAAACTAATACCTTAGCTAGAATTGATGTAGGACCAATGACTCTGTGTCACAGATCTTAAAAACAAATCTTAAAGGATATCACTTGTGATTCTCCCTATTGATATTCTGAGTTTATTCCAGTGATATGTGGCAATTGATTCCTATTAAATTAACAGATTATTCTATTCCTCAAGTAGGTAATCATATTTTCCATAGCCCTTTGTCTTAGTTTCAACCTAATCATACATTTTAAAAATAGCTTTAGCTATTGAATAACTGCTCCTTACTCTGAAAGGTTTGAGTTTATGCTAAGGTCACTGTACACTTGAGCTTGCTGAATTTTTAGACAAACCATTCAGGCGACTCAAAGGTACATAGATTTGATGTGGTCTAACTTGGATAACAGAAATTAAGTTAACTGTCTACGATGCTGCAAAACAGATCAAAGACTAAGTGCAGTTGATTGGAAGCTTTGAAGATACCCATGGTCTACGCCATTCAAGTTTCCTGAATCAGAAATATAATGGCAAAAAAATCCAAAGGATCATGGCATAGTTTGGAAAGTATTATTTTGTAACAACTAATGGCTCAAATGAGTATAACAATATTTTAGAATGAAGGCCTTTGAATTTGCCCTGAAATCTACACTCTTTGATAAAGTAAGTCATATCTAAACATAATAACTCATCCAGTTTATAATGAACTGCTTTTAATTGTCAGAAACCCTAAAATTGTGAGAAAGAAGTCTAAAAAATATTCATGAAAATCTAACATCTTATTATTTTTGTTCATAAATGTCATGCTATAAGGCATTTTAAGATCATTCTTGCTTAAAAGACAAATACAGAATTATACATTTTGAAGCCTGAATTCTTAAAGTCAAAAAGAAATAGAGGAATTAAAAATGTAAACTGTGTAGTAGAATGGGTTACTGGATATGTGGAAGTTGGGTTACATCATCTGAAGCCGTTTTTCATGTTAGAAAGAACAGTATAAGGTGAAGAATTCTAGAACTTGTAATGTATATGTAGTTCAGGTTAAATTACAGTAAGGCTGGCCGATTCTGAAGCTAAATTTTGATACCGGTTGACATTAAAATAAAACAAAGAAAAAAAGTTTAAGAAAATTATGAAAAAATCAAATGAGAAGCATTGTAAAATACAGATCTGAAAAGATGTTGTCAGAAATATCACAAGACAGTGGGCAGTGGGTTAGTTGAAGTGAAAAGCTTCAGATGTCTTTGAATAATAATAATTATTATAATTAGTATAAGATGTATTTACACATTCAAGTTATTTATTGGCTTTCACCTGATCTTTGAGAAACTGATTTCTAATATTCTAAATAATAGGATAAATTATATACAAATTAATAGGATTTTTTTGTTTTAGAACTGTTAATAGATTATGGTATACAATAGATATGGGAAATGGTTATGAAACCAAGAAGAAAATAATTGCTTCCAGTTTAAATATATAACAAAATAGTGTTCTAGTCATAAATAAAAGTTTCTGTTAACCAGAAGTTTGCCACACTGAATGTGAGGAACTATGCTCCAGAAGTAATTGTACTGGAGTAGAGTTCTGCATAATTACAAAGAATGTTCTGCATGGAAACAGGCCAAGCAGTCTGTTTCAGTGTTAATACTCCATATGAATCTTCACTTGTTCCTTAATCCTCCCATACACTTCTATTCCCCCTCTCCCTATGTGAAAGTCAGCTTCTTCTTGAATCCACACCATCTGATTCAACCACCATTTCAGGCAACGAGTTCCATAATCTATCTCACTACACTCTGCATGACGTGTTTTTTTCCTATATTCTTGTTTAGATCCCCTAGTTTCTATCCTATACTTGTATCCCTTGTTTATGAACTCCCCAAGCTCTGCAAATATATAATTTTAAACACCTTGGTAGTGTTGGTGTAATGTACTTCTGAAGAAGTTGATAATAATAGTATAATAATGGTTACCTGAAGAAGTTGATAATAATAATCCTTGCATTTGATGTAGCAGCTTATCATGTCTTCGAGTCTCAAAGCACTTCACAGAATATACTGTAAAGTGAATTGACTGTATATTTTGTGGGTGAAACATGATTTTAATGATTTCTAATACAATTTAGGATATCTTTTAATTATTTTAAGAGATTAAAACATTAAAAAAATGTGTTTATTTTGACATTTAGGCAACTAATAAGATAGAAATCACGCGGATTTCTCGAGAAGAAATCTTGCATGAAAAAGAATCTCTCCTACTGAAGATCAGACTTCTGGAGCAGGACAAATCCAGACTTCAACATTATGAAGATGAATTGAGTCGAATAAAAGCACTCCTGGAAACTGAATCCCGATCGAAGTTGCATATGCAAGATGAGATTCAACATGTCAAAACTGATCTAACCTATTGGAAGAGCCAAGCTGAAATGAAAGACCAGGCAATCAGACACCAAGAACTAGATAAAGGAAAGGCAACTAGTGAGCTTGATCGTTTGAAAGCTGAAATCACCAGATTGGAAGAAGAACTGAGGATGCTGGAGGAAAGGTGCAAGTGGAAACTAGCAACTGCTGATAGAGAAAAGCAATCTGAGTTGGAAGCTCTGCGCATCCAATTACAAATGGAAATTCAAAGACTCAGTGAGGTGCCCAAGAAGGAAATAAAATTACTAGGCATTAGAGACCATGTGTCATTGCATGAACTTGTGAATTCTGAAGTTATAGATGAAAAAACAGCTAGTGATATTGAAACTGGGAGAATAACAGCAGAGGAAGTTAGCCACAAGTACCAGGACTTACTCCAAGGTAAAAGTAGCATTGCAGGCATATTTGTAGAAGCCACAAGGGAGAAGCTTTCAGTCTATCAAGCTATGAGAAAGGGCTTGATTAGACGTGGCACTGCTCTTGAACTTTTGGAAGCTCAAGCAGCCACAGGCCATATGATTGACCCAGTCAAAAACCTAAAGTTGACGGTTGAACAGGCTGCTCAAAGCGGGCTTATAGGTCTAGAATTCAAAAATAAACTTCTCTCAGCTGAAAAGGCTGTTACTGGTTACAAAGATCCCGAAACAGGAAAACTCATCTCCTTGTTTCAGGCAATGAAGAAAGAATTAATTGAACCAACTCATGGCATTCGACTACTGGAAGCCCAAATAGCAACCGGGGGAATTATAGATCCCACCCAAAGCCACCGTTTGCCAGTTCACACTGCTTACAAACGCAATTACTTTGATGAAGAAATGAATCAAATTCTCATTGATCCAGGTGATGATACCAAGGGCTTCTTTGATCCCAACACAGAGGAAAATTTAACCTACCTTCAGCTGATGGAACGATGCGTTACTGATAAAGTTACCAACCTTTGTTTATTGCAACTGACCGAAAAGAAGAAAACGACGACATCTACATCAGCGGTCAGAAAACGTAGAATTGTCATTGTAGACCCTGATACAAACCGGGAAATGTCAGTACGTGAAGCATATCACAAAGACTTGATAGATTATGAAACTTTTGTGGAACTTTCTGAACAGGAGGCAGAGTGGGAAGAAATAACAATTTCAGGATCAGATGGGAGTGTAAAAACAGTGGTGGTTGATAGAAAAACTGGCATCCAATACGACATTGAAGATTATTTGAAGAAAGGTTTAATTGACAAAAAGAGTTTTGATGACTACCGCGCTGGAGTTATGTCACTTACGCAGTTTGCAGAATTGTTTAGTGACAAGACCAACGTTGATACACGGAATGTGAGTAAACTGCATCATTCAACAAACAGGAGTCCCAGTCCATCTCCACAATTTACAAAAACACTATTTGTTTCTTCTGATGAGTTCAGTCCCATTGCTGCAATATTTGATATTGAAACATTGGAAAAAATAACAATTTCTGAAGCTGTGCGTCGCAACATTGTTGATTCCATTACAGGGCAAAGATTGCTCGAAGCCCAGGCCTGCACAGGAGGGATCATAAATCCTGGCACTAACCAAAAATTACTTATCCAAGATTCTATAATTCAAGGTATCATTGATGAAGATATGGGAAAGCGTTTAAAACCAGCACAAAAAGCATTTGTTGGTTTTGAGGATGTTAAAAACAAAAAGAAGCTCTCTGCAGCAGAAGCAATTAAGGAGAATTGGCTGCCATATGAAGCTGGAAATCGCTTCCTTGAGTATCAGTTCATTACAGGTGGGCTGGTCCTGCCAAATGTTTCAGGGCGAATCCCTGTGGAAGAAGCAATAAGAAAAGGCTTGATCAGTGGCAAAACAGCTCAGAAGCTTCAAGACTTCAACAGCTATTCAAAAAATCTGACCTGCCCCAAAACAAAGTTGAAGATTTCATACAAAGAAGCAATGGATCGTTCTATGGTTGAGGAGAAAACTGGCTTAAGGATGTTAGAGGCATCATCTTTCTCTTCTAAAGGAATCAACAGTCCTTACAATTTGAGTTCATCTGGACCAAATTCTCGTTCAGGCTCCCGTTCAGGTTCACGTGGGGGATCAAGACGAGGAAGTTTTGATGCTACCTCGTCTACCCTGACTACTAGTACTTCGACAACTTTTGTTAGCAATATTTCTGTAAACTAACCATTCTCTATGAAAACCTAAACAAGTAACAAAATACAGTAAAACTTGCATAAGTCTTATCTGTATAAATCATACAATCACCCATTCAATTTCTTTTTAAATTCACTTATTCCTATGCACTCGTTATATTAATCACTGCATAACTCCCACACTTGCCACTACCACACTTACTGACTGGTGGGTCAAAACTTTGCCCGCTTGCCTAAAACAGAACACCACACATTCGCACCCCAATGCTCTCCATGCCCTCCTCCCAGGGATGTAACATCAACATCATCGCGTACAGGAGCAGGGAGAGGAAAGAGCATTACCTGATCACAGGTAAGCGAGGGGAACCCGACACGACATGCGCACTTACCGGCCTTGAAGTAGCTCCATGCGAAACAATTACGGGAACCTAAGTCCCGACCCGTCACCTAATGCGCGCTTACTGGCTGCAATGCCTTCAGCTGATGGAATGATACACATCGAACAAGGATGGAAGACAAGGTTTTGACCAGTCATCGTGGCATCAGGCAATGCAGATACCCCACCTAAACACAAATTAAGTTTATATTCTATCAAAACAGTTCTGTTGGTTTGGCAAACCTGTTTGGTTGTGTCATTCATTGTACAGTACATGTTTTCCGCAATGTGGTACAGTATCTTTGCATGGAAAGAATGGGCTACCATTGCTTTAATATGCAAGAGTTAAACATTGTTCGGAATCCTTGCCTTAATGTCCCCAGTCAGTACAGTACTTATGTATGTGTTATGTGTAAGTTATAACAAATCTGACTTATACCTAACTTTACATAAGTCATATATATGATATATGACTTCTCCAAGTTTGCCATAACTCATACTTCGCATAAGTCATAATACATGTTATAGTTCCAATACAACTTATGTGAGTTTTACTGTACAATGGTTGTTTTTAAAATTCATGAAAAGCCCAAATTGTTCTCTTCATTATATTCACTTGTCTTTGCAAATGTTTTAAATGTATTTTATTATACACTGGTGCCCTGTTAAGATCATTATCTATTTGCTTAAATGTAGTTCATCTAGAGCAAGATTTTAACATTGATCTCTCTGATATCCATTATAATAATGAAAATGAATAAGTTGTGCAAAGGTTCTTTCTACCTCAAAATATTAGAATTCAACAATTAGCTAAACACTAAATCCTATTACAGTTTCAATTCAATAAAAGACATCTGGTCTGAATTAATAGCTATGGTACTTTTTTGATTTGGATAGTTCTTTTCAAAGAGCTGGCACAGAAACGATAGGCCGAATGGCCTCCTTCTGTGCTGTATAATTCTTATGATTTTTTTAAAAAATCATGCCATTGTGAAATTCATATAATTTTAGCAGCAATGAATTTGTGGCATGAAAAGGAGGAAGCAAGCAGCTGTAGACAAAATACAACACTTCAAAAATCATTGAGTTGAATAGGAATTGATTGTACAGATTGATACCTTACATTGCAGTGAACATAGTTTCTGTTACTAGAAACAAATTGATCTTAAATGGGCTCCACTGTATAGATGAGCTTTTTGGTGGTTTGAAATTGCAAGTTTTTTGGGGGAGGGTAGAAAAAAATCATACTAAGTGTAATGCAATTTATAGTTTAGCATATGATTATTCACATATATAGCCATCAGAGCAATATGTAATGAACTTTGAATTTAAGAGCAGTAGTTTATGTAGTATTGAAAGGGGGTTTTGAACATCGATTTTGTATCAGTCTATAAGCATGCTGAATTTTAAGATGGTGCATTCTTGCTTCTCTTTATTAATAAAGTTGTCATTTCAAAATTGTTTGCGTCTGCTGAATTATATTTGTATTTTCACATGTTGAAATTTCAGAATAGTTTCATGCACTCTGAACCAGGCTGATGCAGGCTAGATGCAATATTTGAGAAACGTCAAGCAATATTGCACAAGCAATATTTTATATTTTATTTCCAGAAACATTACGAAATTTACACAGCACCTTTTTCACGTTGGAAGGACGTCTCAAAGCGCTCAACACAGCTGCCAGGGCTGGGGGTGGGAGCCGAGGGAGGTGGGATGTACGTTTGTTTTACATTTCTCAGTTCGATCACTCAAAAGTACCCAGGTATTATCGTTTGTTCAATTTCATCACTCGAAAGTATCCAACAACAACAAAATGACATTTGTAAAGCACCTTTCATGTCGGGAGGAAGTCCCAAGGTACTGGTATCCAGATATTATGGACGTCCAATTCGATCTCTTCCCTTCAATTCTTTCTTCGGATTCTCTTGACCTTTCACCTATTGTCTTTTGCAAGATGGTTCCTTTGCAAAAAAAAGTACAGCACAGCTCTTTCACCAGCTGCAGACCATTTTTTTCATGAGAACATGACTGATAAGGACTGAAAACAGTTTGTTCTTTATAAACAGTCTTGTTTCTTCTGCAAAGCTAGTCACAACCAGCTCCCATCATATGAGATTGATCATATATCTCAAATATATAAACATCGCAAGTATAATTTGAGATATTATTTAACACATTAATTACAGAATCTTACAGTCCACCCTGAAATGGGTTAAGGTTACAAACTTAAACCCAATTTTATTACTGTAATTGATGTAAAATTGATACAATTCTCCATCTACTTCACTGCATTCGATCTTCAACCTATTTTAACATTTTTATGATTCTTAATTGTTCATAAAAAAACATTTTACATCGTTTTTTTTATCGGACGCATAATCCAACAATTACAGTAAATCGTTAATAATTATATAAATAAAAATAAACTAACAAGGTCATACTTAAATTGTATTACCACAAAAATTAAAATATTACTTCAGTCCATTTTCCCATTTATCTACCTTTTCCCATTATCCCTCAAATCACTCATTTTCAGATATCTATTATATTCCCTCCTGAAAACTAATGTGGATTCTGCCTCAACCAACACTTCTGCAAACCCAAACAACTTTGCAAAACAATTTCTCCTAATCTCCCCTTTGCTTCCATTTGTTATAATTAAATTTGGCAATTTAGCTCAGTAATGACATAATCATCAAATCAGAAGAAGTTTTCAATTTAGAAAAGTACTTATCTCCTCTTTCCCCATCTTCACATCGCACCTGAAGACCTTCCTCTTCGACCGTGCTTACGGTCATCTCCCACCTCCTCCCGGCTCCGCCACTGTCAAATGTGCTGTGATGCTACCCTGGTGAGGGGTGTTATATAAATCAAGTTGTTGTTATAGATTTCAAAGTTTCTAAAATAATAAATACTTTCATCAAGCATAATGGCTTAAGTCACAATATCTTCAAGCACTTAATGACAACAACAATTTATACGTCAGGAGAATCTCAAAGCGTTTCACACCACAATACCAACAACTTGCATTTATATAGCGCCCTTCATGCCGGAAGGCATCCCGGAGTGCTTAACAGTGGCGGAGCCCGATGCGAGCCGGGGGAAGGTGAATGTCAATGTCATGGTCAAAAAGGATGGTCTTGAAGAGCGATATGAAATTGGGGAGAGAAGAGGCAAAGCAAAGGGACTGAGGGAGCTTTGGGGCACAGTGGCTGAAAGCACTGCCACCGATAATGGGGCAGAGGGTCTGGGGGATAAGGAGGAGGCCGGAGCCAGTCGAGTGGAGGCAGCGGGTAGTACAGAGAGAGAGCAGGTTGGAGAGATAGCGGGATGCCAGGGCATGAAGAGATTTAAATGCAAGAGTGAGGATCTTGAAATCGACCCAATGGAGTTTGACAAGGACTGGGGTAATGGAGGTACGGAGTTTAGCACGGGTGAAATTGTGGGTGATGGAGTTTTGAATTGGTTGAATTTTGTGGATAGTGGAGCAGGGGAGACCAGCAAGGAGGGCGTTTAAGTAGTTGAGGCGGGAGGTGCCGAAGGCGTGGATGAGGGAAACGGGCTTCGCTTCACTCGGAGACCCCACTGTTATGATTGTCTGTGTCTCTCTCTCTATGTGTTTGACTGTCTATGTGAGTGTGTCTCCTCTGTATGCTATTGTTAGTGTCTGTGTGAGTGTCTCTATGTGAGTGTATCTGTGTCTCTCGTTCTTTTGTATGTATGTGTGTGTTTGTTTGTGAGTGTGGCTGAGTGTGTCTCCTCTATATGTGTGTTTATGAGGTGTCTGTGTGAATGTATGTGTGTCTCTCTCTGGGATGTTTGGGGATTTTGGGACGTTCTCCCGACGTGAAAGGCGCTCTATAAATGTAATTTTTAATAAATGTAATGCGTGGAGTCCTGTAGCTCAGTGGTTAGAGCACTCGCTTTGCAAGTGAGAGACCTGAGTTCAATTCCAGGCAGGGCGAAACCTTGGGCAAGTTTCCTTACTCCACACGCCTAATAATAATCCCTCCAAAACTAAAAACAATAATTAAATTGGTCATTTTCAATCTACGACTGTTTGTGGGACATTGCTGTGCGCAATTGGCTGCCGCGTTCGCCCACAAATATACAGTCAATTCACTTTACAGTGTGTTCTGTGAAGCGCTTTGGGACGTCCTCCCGACGTGAAAAGCGCTATATCAAATGCAAGGATTATTATTATTATTATTATTTTGTTGTTGTTGTAATAGTTGCTCTCTGTGTGTATGTCTCTTTGTGTTTATGAGTGTGTGTCTCTCTCTGAGAATGTGTGTCTCTATCTGTCTGTGAGTGTGTGTGTGTCTCTCTCTGGATCTGTGTCTGTGTATGGTGCCAGACCTTGAGAGGCAGGAGGTGGTGAGCTCCTATAGCCCAGCAGTTTCCTCAATGTCTTTTTTCAGCGATCTCCAGGCCCTTTGATGTGTGCACCCCACCATGGGCCACCCAGTTTTTGTCAAAGAATTTTTTTTTATTTTTTTGCAGCAATCTGATATATTATTTCCTCATGTTTAATTTTTATCAATAAAGTGAAAAAATGTAGGTTGGCAGTAAAATATATCCAAGTGCTGGAAAGTGTTATTGCCTCCCAGCAGCCCTTCAGGATAGTGTCCTAGAGCTCCCAGTTACACTACCACATTCCCGAGACCTTTCGGATTTCACTTTCTCTTGAATATTAACCATCTCTGTCCCAATTTTACTCCCAGTGCTGAAATCCTCACTCACTACTTTGTCACACATAGACTTGATTTTTCAAATGGTTTCCTCACTGCCCTCCTTAGCTTTACATTTCATAAACTACAATTCATCCAGAATTCCATACACAATCTTCTCTCCTGGTTTTCATACCTCCATCCTTGCCAGACTCCACTTCTTCCCTGTCCCCCAGCAATAAGTTATAGAAGAAACAAAGATAGATGCTGTATCTAAATAGCAATGAAGACCCAACTCAAGATTACATGAGGTTGAGAAAATAGGCATTTTTAAAAAAAGTGTTTCCGAGACTTGTACTTTCTATAAAATTGAGAATACTTTGAACAATAAATACTCTCTTTTTCTTTTAAAGGTCAGAACAAACACCAGTTATAATTTGCATAAACACTGAAAAAATAACTTAGTTCCCTCTTCTTTTCACTTGCTAGACTCCCAAAACTGTTATTCATACTAAAAGGCCATTATCACTGGCATGGATCATGCATGGGTTTCACATTGCTATTCTGACTGACTGCTTGTCAAGACACCAAGCCCTTGATGTGTGTTAATTTTCTTCAACTGAATGCTATCAAAACTGAAACAATCTTTTTTTTTAGCTCTTGACAGTGCCTTCTTTCCTTTGGTTTGAACTCTGTTCGTCTCTCTGGCTACTCACTCCAGCTAATCAAGCCAATGTGTTCTCTCCATCCTCGCCTCCAACTCCAAATACGAGATGATGTACTTCCTTGGGTCTACAATCAAGCAGATTCACTCAGCTGCCTCTGCCACCACCACCCCTTCTCCAAATCTTCCCTCAAAACACGACTCACCCCTCTTTCCACACCTTCAACCCCGTTGTCCCCTCATCCCTCTTCTTCCTTACGAAACCCACCACTTTCTCCCTTGACCTCTCCCCAGTTTCTGGCAAACCAGAACCTTGCTTTCCTGCTGGCCAACCTCTTCAACCGCCACAATACTGCCTAGTACCACCCACTTTCATAACTACCGTTACCACCCATCTCCTCAGGAAGCCCTTACTTGACCCTACCATGCTCTCCAGGTACTGACCCACTTCTAACCTGCCCTTCTTTTCCAAGATGAAAAATACTGCAGATGCTGCAAATCTGAAGTAAAAACAGAAGTTGCTGGTAACATGCAGCAGATCAGGCAGCATCTACGGAGAGAGGCAAATGAGTTAATGTTTCAGGTCTATGACCTTTTACAAGATTCTGGAATGAATCTTACTTCCCAGTTTCTCTCCTTCTCTCAGTTCTCCCTCAAGTCACTCCAATCTGATTTCCGCATAACCCCTGTTCGAGTTCCCAATCCTGTGTGGGAAGCACACTGAAATGTCCTCTCTTGTGAAAGGCACGATATTGGTATCTGATTTATGCGTGTTATGAATTTGCCTTCATGACACTCTATGGATGGATGTATTTTGATGTTCATGTATTTTTTCCTGCAAGCTTAGAGACGCTTTTCTGTTCAATGTGAAAACAATTTAAAAACAGAGACACAAAGGATGTGTACGTATTTGGTGACATTCATTCCTATTATCTGGAACTCAAGAAACTTACTGCATGTTTGTCATAAACTTATTATAATAATTATTCTTTCATTTGATGTAGCGCCTTATTACATCGTTGAGATGTCTAAAGCGCTTCACAGAATATAATACTGTAAAGTGTAGTGACTGTGTATTTTGTGGGTGAAATACGTTTGACCTAAAAGCTGTTTTTCTTTCTTGCAACCAAATAACAAATCTTAGTGATAAAGAAAATTGACATCAATTATTTTTATTAAAGCAATTGATCAATGGCTAAATGGAATGGGAATATTAGTCCTTTGATTACCAGGAATGGAATTAAAATGGAACAATAGATCCTACAAATTGCTCTTGGACTGAATGGTATTAAGAGATCATCAATCAAAATTTGCGTAGCCGTTGTCGCCATATACTTCTACACAAGTATACTCTTTGATAACTTATTTATGTGTATGTAAAAATTCAGTTTCAGCATCCGTTAACATGTAATTTTTATTTAGTAACAGTAAAATCTGGCTGTGCATTAAAACTGATGTGAAACCCCTTTGCTACTATATTTAATCTACTTTGTGGTTTAAGGCATTATGTAAAAATCCTTAGTAATCTGCAGTTAAAATTGATATCATTCAGCTCTTCTGCCCCCACTGTTTGGAACTCCATCACAGTCCTTCCGTCTTGCTCCCTCCCTTGCCTTCTTCAAAACAGATCTCAACCTTCCTCTTCACTTTGGCTATTTTAATTGCTTCTCCTCCTCCCAGTCAACAAGAGTCAACAACAACAATACATTTGTATAGCGCCTTTCACGTCGGGAGGACGTCCCAAATCAGTGTTCCTCAGAGCTCTATTGTAAATTCCCTCTTTTTCATCATTTATATGCTCCCCTCGCATCATCTGTAGAAACGGGGCTCGATTCCACATTTACAGATAACACATGACTCTATTTCTCTGCCCCTACCCAATTCCTGAGGAGTCCTGTAGCTTAGAGCACTCGCCTCGCAAGCAAGAGACCTGAGTTTGATTCCCAGCAGGGTGAAACCTTGGGCAAATTTCCTTACTCCACACGCCTCCACAAAAACAATAAATTGGTCACTGCAATCCACAACTGTTTGTGGGACACTGCTGTGCGCAATTGGCTGCTACATTTTGCCCACAAATATACGGTCAATTCACTTTACAGTATATTCTGTGAAGTGCTTTGAGACGTCCAGAAGATGTGAAAAGCGCTATATCAAATGCAAAGATTATTATTATTCCGTGATCACTGCTGTTCTGCTCATTGCCGAGTCCTCGATGAGTTCTAACTTTCACCAGCGAGTTGTCAGCAATACTCTCTCTGTGGTGTCTCTCTCTTTCTCTCTCGGGGAGTGGCGGGGTCTCACTCTACCTGGGGGTGGGGGTTCTCTCTGGGGAAGGGTTCTCTCGGGAAGGTGGGGGGTCTCTCGAGTCTGGGAGGGAGGTCTCTCTCTGGGGGGGCTCTCTCTCTCTAGGGGGGTCTTTCTCTCTGGCGGGGCTCTCTCTCTGGGGGCTCACTCTCGGGGGGGTCTCTCTGGGGTGTTCTCTCTCTCTGGGGGGTGGTCTCTTTCTCTAGGAAGTTCTCTCTGGGGGGGGGTCTCTCTCCAGGGGGGAGGGGGGTCTCTTTCTCTGGGAGGGGTCTCTCTCAAGGGGGGTCTCTCCCTCAGGCGGGTTCTCTCTCTCTCAAGGAGGGGTCTCTCTCTTGGGGGGGGGGGGAGTGGTCTGTCTATCTCTCTTTCTCGGGGGGGGGTTGTCTTTCTTTCACTCGGGGTGGGGGTCTGTTGGTCTCTCTCTCTGGGGGGTGGTCTCTCTTGCTCTCTCGGTGGGGGTGGGTGAGTCTGTTGGTCTGTCTCTCTCTCGGGGGGGGGGGGTCTGTCTCTCGGGGGGGGGGGGTTCTGTCTCTCTCTCATAGGGGGGGTCTCCCTCTCTCTGAGCGGGAGTCTCTCTCTTGGGGGGGGGGGGGAGTGGTCTGTCTATCTCTCTTTCTCGGGGGGGGTGGTCTCTCTTTCTCTCGGGGTGGGGGTCTGTTGGTCTCTCTCTCTGGGGGGTGGTCTCTCTTGCTCTCTCGGTGGGGGTGGGTGAGTCTGTTGGTCTGTCTCTCTTGGGGGGGGGGGTCTGTCTCTCTCTCGGGGGGGTGCTGTCTCTCTCTCGGGGGGTACTGTCTCTCTCTCGGGGGGGGCGGTCTGTCTCTCTCTCGGGGGGGGGGTTGTCTCTCTCTCGGGGGGGTCTGTCTCTCTCTCGGGGGGGGGGGGGGGTTGTCTCTCTCTCGGGGGGGTACTGTCTCTCTCTCGGGGGGGTACTGTCTCTCTCTCGGGGGGGGGTCTGTCTCTCTCTCGGGGGGGGGTCTGTCTCTCTCTCGGGGGGGGGTTTGTCTCTCTCGGGGGGGGGTCTGTCTCTCTCGGGGGGGGGGGTCTGTCTCTCTCGGGGGGGGGGTCTGTCTCTCTCTCGGGGGGGGGGGTCTGTCTCTCTCGGGGGGGTGTTCTGTCTCTCTCGGGGGGGGGGTCTGTCTCTCTCGGGGGGGGGGGTCTGTCTCTCTCGGGGGGGGGGTCTGTCTCTCTCGGGGGGGGGGTGTTCTGTCTCTCTCGGGGGGGGTCTGTCTCTCTCGGGGGGGGGGGGTCTGTCTCTCTCGGGGGGGGGGGGTCTGTCTCTCTCGGGGGGGGGGGTCTGTCTCTCTCGGGGGGGGGTGTTCTGTCTCTCTGGGGGGGGGGTCTGTCTCTCGGGGGGGGGTGTTCTGTCTCTCTCGGGGGGGGGGTCTGTCTCTCGGGGGGGGGGTGTTCTGTCTCTCTCGGGGGGGGGGGGTGTTCTGTCTCTCTCGGGGGGGGGGGTGTTCTGTCTCTCTCGGGGGGGGGGGGGGTCTGTCTCTCGGGGGGGGGGTGTTCTGTCTCTCTCGGGGGGGGGGGTCTGTCTCTCGGGGGGGGGTGTTCTGTCTCTCTCGGGGGGGGGGGTGTTCTGTCTCTCTCGGGGGGGGGTGTTCTGTCTCTCTCGGGGGGGGTGTTCTGTCTCTCTCGGGGGGGTGTCTGTCTCTCGGGGCGGGGGGTGTTCTGTCTCTCTCGGGGCGGGGGGTGTTCTGTCACTCTGGGGGGGGGGGGTCTGTCTCTCTCTCGGGGGGGGGGGCTCACGCTCTCTCTGTGGCTGTGACCCGGAAGCTGTTGTGTTCAGTCTGCCTTTCCCGGCTGGTGAGGCCGAGGCTGTGGCTGAGGCCTGGTGTCTCGGGGTGAGGCTGTGGCTGAGGCCTGGTGTCTCGGGGGGGGGGGGCTGTGGCTGAGGCCTGGTGTCTCGGGGTGAGGGCGGGGCTGTGGCTGAGGCCTGGTGTCTCGGGGTGAGGGCGGGGCTGTGGCTGAGGCCTGGTGTCTCGGGGTGAGGGCGGGGCTGTGGCTGAGGCCTGGTGTCTCGGGGTGAGGGCGGGGCTGTGGCTGAGGCCTGGTGTCTCGGGGTGAGGGCGGGGCTGAGGCTGAGGCCTGGTGTCTCGGGGTGAGGGCGGGGCTGACAGTGTTATACACAGTGACGGGCCCTGGACCCCGGGCCCCAAACCCTCAGCTCCAGTATAAACCCGCTCGCCCACTGTGAGCGTCTGTCCCCGCCGCCGGGCCCCGGGAAAGTTCTGGTGTGGGGCCGGGGGGTGTGAGTGTAACCCGAGGCCGGGGCTGTGCGGTTTGTGCCCGGGACAGATGGCGGCGATGGAAGCCAACATAGAATATTCCAGACAGTTGCAGAGCCGCTGGGAGCGGGTTACGGAGTTGGCGGAGTTCACCGAGCGCTGCGCGGCCTCGGTCCAGGATCTCCTCACTCGGCTGGGCTGGAGCCTGGGCCTGGGCCTGGACCTGGACCCCAGCAACCCCGAGCCGCCGGCCGGGGGCCCGGTGAGAGCTACACGACAACTCGCTTAAACAGCGGTGTGTTTCAACACCGAGTTGGGGGAGGGGGCACAGGCCCGGATTGGAGACGGGGCAAAGCGGGGGGTCAAGATGGAGGGGTTCGGGCAGAGAGTCGCACAGACGAAAGTCTGGGAGGAGGGAAGGGAGGGAGGGAGGGAGGGATGGTGGACACCACAGCACGAGAGGATATTCCTCACTCACCCAGTGAGCTGGAAGCTGTGGGGGGAGGGAGGGAGGGAGATGGCCGAGGAGGGCAGGGCCAAGAGAAATCCAGTGCCGAGGTGACGAGGCCGCGGTTGGGGTGAGGGCCGGGGATGGAGGCCGGGCCTGGCCATGCAGCACACCTGCAGGTACAGACAGGGGGGGGGACAGCCTGGAACACAGCCTGAAACACAGCTGATGATTGAACAAACTCCCAGGCTGGAGCACCGGCCGAGTGACTGCAGAGAGCAGCCCGAGAGTGACACATGTTAACATGACGATATTATTATTATTATTATTATTCATTAAACTGAATAGTTGTGTAACTATTTTTTGAACTTTCCCAGCTTGAGCCAATGGCTATTTGCCCACTTGATGCAGGTCATAGAGTTCCTAAATCATCTCTAGAAAAACACGTTACGTCCTGCAGACTAAGAAAACTGGGATATTCCAAAGAAGAGGAGGTTTGTATACAAGTGCGAGGCGTTCATTTAACTGAGCTACTGGCCCAGGAAGTCATTGTAAGATATTTGACTTAAGATCAGTTTCTGTATCATGACCACAAACGGCTATTCTGATGTACACAGTTAGACATGTGTTCACTTTCTGAGAAAAAGAATGTAGATATATGACAAAGACAATCTTTGCATTTGATATAGCGCCTTATCACATTGGCAAGATGTCTCGGAGCACCTCACACAAAAATTGAGACTCAGTCTTACAAAGAATTACGTAGAATGATATAACACGAAAACAGGCTATTCAGCCCAATTAGTCTGAACCTATGTTCATATTCCACATAAGCCTCCATTCCTCCTTATTCCTTCACACCATCTATTTCTCTCTCCCTCGTGACAAACCTTAGTGTGCTTTTCAAAGACCTATTTCTATTTTGGGACAATAGCAATTTATATTATTTTGTTGAAGTTCATTTAATATGGCTCAGGCTTCTTGATGAATATCACGTAGGTCATAAGTAAAGCATATCTCAATATGCCAAGAGGGAAAAAATTCTTGAGCATGTAAATATTTACCCATTGATTATCCAAATATATTTTAGTTTATAATTGTGCATTTGAAAATCATACTTTCATGGTTCTGGTATAGTATGCTGACTAATATTCAGACACTTGGAGCATTTGAATTGCATAATATTGATGTTATAGTGAAATGTTTGTTTAATCCCCCCCAAAATCTTATATTTTAGTTCTCTCTCCGTGCATGCAAAATATTATGAAATTGATAGCATTTAGTGATCTGTGAAGAAGCTCAATACATTTTTTTAAAAAAAATTTGAAATGTAAATTCTGGGTAGTAGGGAAGGGTTTTTAAAAGAAATGTTAATAGATTTTTTAAAATAATTATCATACATTTTCATGCCCTTTTAGGATAAAATGTACGATTCCTCATTTTTCTACGAGAAATTTCTGCTGCCCACTCTGAAAGTTGGTAAGTTCATTGTATCTGAACCATTCACTGAAATTACAGCTTTGGAAAGGGACATTTCATATTTTCCTAAATTAGTTTAACATTAGAGATTATTGACATTTGTTTAGTGTGAGTAACAATTTGAAGTATGAAGCAAATTACTATTTTAAACCAATCAATCACATCGAGTAATTTCTCAAACGGATCCCCCAAAATACCCAATGAGTCAAATGTATTATTTTTCCAAGGCCATTAACTTATGACAATAACTGTTTTAATAGCAAAACACAGTAAATGTTCTATTAGCACTAAATATATTGGAAGGTGACCCTGTTATTAAGTGTCACTGTGTTACAACTAAATTGCCCAAAACTTAAAACTTGAATTATTTTGAATACATTTTCCAGCTCACATGTGTGTATTATAATTTATCATGCTTATTTCTCAATGATGAATACAGTGATTGCTTGTTGAAACTAATTAAGTTGTTTTTTGTACAGCATTCCTTAAAACTTTTAATATTTTTGTCCCAGTGACCCATCATGTCACAACTACATGTTGCTGAGACAAGAGCCACAGGTTGTGTACTATTGTTTAAGATTATGAGACTAATTTGGAAGTATTTGAAACTGACAGTTTATTTTGTTTAGATAAAGAACTACAGGCTCAGATAATTCAGAAGGCTAGAAATGATGCTCCAGTTGGAAAAGAGGAAAGGCTGTTCTGCCAAAGTGAGTAAAATCCAAATTAGAATTTATATTACTTTTAAGTCGGATTATATGTGTAAATAGAATTTAATACAAGGAGCTAACATTGGCTGACTATTCATATCTGTGTTTCCTATTTTACAATAACAATGTTATCAGTGTTCATTAATACATCTGAGGCATTGGTTATACCTTTACTATATCTTTATAACATCTATATGTTCTGTAAGAGCCACTTAAGTTAGCGTATGTATAACAATAATAGCATGGTAGATAAATACAGATGAAACTATTATAATTACATAGAACAGGAGTAAGCTGTTTAACCAATGAAGCTTATTCCACCTGTTTATTAGATCTGGATAGACTTTTAATCACAATATCTCTTCATTTTCCAATATACCTTAAAGCTTCTACTACCCCAATATCTGTTTACCTCTTTGATGAGGTAGCTGAAAAGCTTATACAGTGCCAGTAATGATGTGCTCTAATTGGATCTATGATTCACCTACTTGCTTAGGGAGTGGTTTTAGTGACAACTCACCACAAAAGTTAAAATGTAAAGTCTAATTGGAATTGAAAGTTTAGAATTTACTTTTTTTTAATTACAGTGATTCTTAAAGCTTTAGTACTTTATACCCCCGTGTTGCTATTAAAAAGCTTTGACATGAGTTAAATATTCTGGGTACCAGTTTTCCTCGTGATGCAGTGCAAATTATCTTTTTGTCCAATTGTGGAACTTTGTTCTTGCTTCCCAGTAGTAGAGGTAGACAGCCGATGGACAGGTAGAAAGAGCAGTATTAAAAAGGTGGTTGTACCTGAAAGGTATCAGATGAAAACGCCCTTCTAGTACAGAAATAGCTAAAACAACTGGCAATAATTGTTGAGAGAGAAAAAAAATATGAATGCTTGAAGTACCCAGAAAGTCATTCAGCATATGAAAGCGAAATATAGATCCTGCATTTGAAATGCTCTTTCTTGAACCTCTCCAGCAAGATTCTGAAAAAAAAATCGTTGTCATTCTTGTGCGCACACACATACACTATCATTCAGATTTTAATGGGGCTTTGTGTACATTTTCTGATATTATTTTGGAAATAATTGTTATATATATTGTTTGTGGTTCAGCGATGGTAATGAACAGGAGAATTGCTACCTCATTCTAATTAATCCCTGTCATTACTAGATTGCTGCACAACTAGACATGGTGGTCTATTTTAAAAAAATCAGAAAAGCTATTTAGAAGAAATACATGAGATTATAACTTTGCCTGGTCAAATAAAGTTGGTGACTTTGTGAAATGTAGCAAGCTAAACTCTGAAGGCTGCAGTCTTGTTATTTACAGGCAGCTGGTCATTCTGTTTGTTTAGATATCAACTATTTTTGTGTGTGTGCATTTAATTATTTCTTAAATGGAAATAGTATTGTCACTGAAATCAGTTTGGATGGAGGGGAGAATTGTTCCAATGAAATTCAGTAGAAGTGATTCATATTATTATTTTCCATAGATATTTACTACAAACTCCAGGTGTAATTTCATCTTGTATTTCTACATAGAATGTAAAAGATCTGAACTTTACTTATTTATCATCAGCTTGTGATTGTTTTGGAGTACTTTCTGAAATCTTACTTAACAAAGGTAAATTCACCTGATGCTTTTGAACAGATTTTCAGAAACAATCAATCTTTACATAATTTAAATTGTGTTGGTGCAGATTTCACTCAGTATTAAATTTCTTTTGAATGTGATAATTTAAACTTTGGTTTTTCTTTTTCAGTAACAGGGGTGAGTATATTTGACAGAGGAATGATGAACATGAAAGAATGTTCTCCTCATGTACAGATTTGCACAGACTTTTACTTGATGTCTGAAATACAGTATCCTTTCAAAATTATATCCTTTAAATATGAACCTCAAAATAATGGAATGGTTAACTATCTTAATAAAATTCCTTTCAATTCTGAAATTGAAGATCTGTGCTTGATTTCTACTAAGTAGACCTATTGCCAGATTAATATATGGACAGTTACTTGCGGGTCTGAAATATAATTGAGGTTTTATTTTCTGGGGTAGCAGATGTCTCTGACAATTACATTTACCCACTTGTGCTGCATTTATATGACACCTTAGGAAGTGATATGCACAAATATTCAATATAGGTAGTGGTTACTTCCTGACACCTGAAGGAGGGCATTCGGGAGTGTTGATTCTCACCTACTGCAATTTGTAGATGGTGGATATACACTGGACGGAGTTTGGACCTAATGGCTGCCCTAATAACCTTCAACAGGCTGATTTCTAATGCGATTAAAGAGCCGGATGGGAGATTGATTCCTTAATGTTATTGAAAAATTAATATCTGAGGTGCAGAATTCTGAAATAGTTTGTGTTTATACTACTCCGATTCAACACTGAACAGTGTAGCTATGTTATAATGTGCATCTATTTGATTTAGTTATTACAGGGTTGCACTGCACTGTGGACCCTATTCACTGTGAATTTGCATAGCTGGCCGTTTCCTACTTGCCAGCCATCTTTTGCGCTAAAATGACCACATTCTACATCATTAGATCACCCTTGACATTACTTCCTAGGGATCTTATGACCTGGAGTGAGGTTTTTTTTAGTGTGGGAACAAGCCGGCAGGGAACAAGGCAACTGTCCAGCCAGCTGACTACATGCACATTGAAACCAGCTATCACGCCTCACTATACAGTATGAGATTTTAGCAACCCTGTTATGAGGCTCTACTGAATAAACTTAAGTTCCAACTCCGTAATGCTTTATGGCTGAGACTAATGCATAAATGCAGCATTAATCAAAACTACAAATATAGATTTTGGATTAATGTCTAAAAACTCATTTGCATTCTGGGAAGAAATGCGATAGTAATGAAGAGAACATTATCCTATTTAACTAGTCATGAAAACATCAAAAGGAATTGTAAATTAGAGGAATTCCTTCCTGTCTTTGTTTAATTTTTACTGGTTTATTGGTGCTGTAAATTCAGCACCTGGTGTAAGATGTAAATCTTCACTTGTCTTATTTGTAACACATTGTCAGCTGCTGCATATGGTGTACAACCTCTGGCTGGTATGGTTGCTTCAGCTAAAGGTGTTCTGCGACTTTTTTTGGGTGAGGAAGAGGGGGAGAATTATTAATTGAGATGAAAATACCTCCTATTTTGGGTGATTTACTTTGTTTGCTGCTCTTCTGCTTAGTGCTATAACCGAACCTGCAATATGAATATCCTCAAGAAATTCTCATGTTCCTGTTTTTTCAGACTGAAACAATTAATTGAGTTTTTTTAACTCTGTATAATACACTTTTGTGATCTATAAATCAAAAGAAGTTTATTTTTGTTAGAGGAAAGCTTGGTATATGGTTTGCAAACAATCACGTTGTTCTCCATAATTTCCCCTTGCCGTTAGCCCATTCCGCCAGTTGGTGGGATAGATCAGTAAACACTGCTGACTTCACAAGCATTTCAGTGTGTCAGTATGTAATGTAAGACATTTGTTGTGGAGTAAGGTAGAAGAGGCTTCAGTAACAGTGTTCGAGAAGGTACAGTATCACAAGAGCTTCACCGAGTGGTCTGGCAAATAAATGACAACCTTCATCATCAAGGCTGGCAGATTGGAACAGTGCTGTGTGGATTGTGAATTCACTACTCGTATAGTTATAACAATGAACTGCTTACAAGTGCTAACATGCAAATCTGTTGAACTCTTATTTGAAAATGTGTTACTGGTTGGTGTGCACAAACTAAACTGTCCAGTCTTTCCTTATGAAGAAATGCATTGAGAAAGAAAACAGGCATGAATGCTTTTTATTTTCTTGGAGAAAATGCATATGATGGTTCATTTTCCTATACTTAACTGGGAATAGGACCATTGCACTACGATTTTAAATTATTCACAAATAACTGAACAAACTGTTAATATATTTAGGTGATTATTCATCAGCACCTTGTGAGGTTCCTCAGAATCATAAGCGTTTCGTCTGTGACCTAACTCCAGCGGATCGTCTCGCTATCTATGAATATGTTGTGCAAGAAACCAATCAGCAGAAAACTCGAGCTTGCTCTGTTGAAAATGACAGTGATTTGTACGTGGACCTAGCTGCAAAACTCAGTCGAGGTTTGTATTGAAATTTGTGTTTTACTTGGGACAAAATTGTTTGGATCACTGCACCACATGTTAGTGTGTTACAACTTTAATATTGAGTCCTGTAGAGTATAAATTAGAGCACTCGCCTCGCAAGCGAGAGGACCTAGGTTTGATTTCCAGGCAGGGCGAACTTTTAGTAAAGTTTCCTTACTCCACACGCCTCTACATAGCAGTAAGTAGTTGATTGGTGGATCGCTTTCCGGGGGTAATAATCCTTTCAAATAAATGAATACATAAAATTATTTGGTCACTGAATCCACGACTGTTTGTGGGACACTGCTGTGGACAGTTGGCTGCCATGTTTCGCCCACAAAATATACAGTCAATTCACTTTACAATATATTCTGCAAAGTGCTTTAAGATATCTCAACGACATGTTAAGATGCTATATCAAATGCAAGGATTGTTATTAATAATATTCGGTGAAAGATTTTGAGAGCATTAGCAATCTCTATACTAGTGAAATATAACCCTTAATCTCATCATATTTCCAACATTCTGACCATTATCTCTCTTTTCTCACCGTAACCTGCAGATGAAGAACAGAAGGAGCCTAAGTCTCACCTGGAAATTCTTGCTGAAATGAGAGATTACAAACGTCGTCGCCAATCTTACAGAGCCAAAAATGTTCATATAACAAAGAAATCGTACACAGAGGTGATTAATTCAACCAAGTTATATTGTGATACTGCACTGTTTAAAACTGCTGTGCTTTATTTGTTTTGAATATTGTGCCCAGTTTGATAGAAATATTTTGGCAGGAGCCCCTCCCCAAACTTTCATTATTCTTTCTTTCGTAAAGCTGTATATTGATGTGTTTGGCCAAGCTTGTAAATGTACAAGTGCTTTCAAGTCTGGTGTAGCATGGGTTGTATACAGGATAAGTCTTCCTTCATGATGTACTTTCATCCCAACTTCATACCCTCCTATGTGGAAGCTTATAAATGTATATTTTAGGGATCTGCTACACAGTATTCTCTCCAGCAAATGAACATCTCTGATCATAGCCTTTTTCTCTACATAGACTATTATGCAATACCTTTAATTGATGCTACTTTAATACCTTCCTCACCAGTCATTCCAGGCCCAGTGCCCACAATCTACAAATGATTCAGAATTCCACCAGCTGTATTCTCACCGATACTAAACCTTGTTCCCCCATCACAGCAGACCTCGCCACAGGCTCCCTATCACTGAACGGATCGATTTCAAGATCCACTCACTCATCTACCAATCCCTTTGTGCCCTGTCACCTCCCTACCTTTCTGACCTGCTTTCTCCCCACTGCACTACCCACTGCCTCCTCCCAGCTGGATCTGGCCGCCTGTTTGTCCTTTGCCTCCTCTGCTCCATTATTGGCGGCTGCACTTTCAGCCACTGTATACAAACAGGAGTAGGCTGTTCAGCCCCTCGAGCTTATTCCACCATTCTATAAGATCATGGCTGATTAACTCCAATTACCTGCCCATAACCCTTATCCCTTGATACCCTGACTTAACAAATATCTATCCACCTCACTCTTTAAATGTGAATAGATCCAGCATCCACAGCCTTTTGGGGGAGAGAGTTCCAAATTTCTACTAAGTAACGAAAATACCACTAACCTAAATTTAACTGAGCTATTGTGGGTTATTCATTGAATGAGCAGTTCACTTGGTTTCAGTAGATAATTAGTGTAGCCTGCAAAAAACAAGCAGAAACCTGTAAATAGGTGTGGTGTAAACTGATTCACTCTACACTACTCCAGTAGAGCCTTTTTACTAAAATGGGTTTGAGTCATAAATGGGAATTTTAGCCACACCAGTGGATTAGGTCAGAATGGAGTTGCACAAGATTTAGGTGGGAATAGAGCACCCATTTCTTTTACTTGTCTTTACATCAAATTCTTTAATTTGTTTTCTATAGTTCTTCTATTTTTGTCTTGAATGAATTTGCACTTTCTGATTCTATTCAATATAAGAAATTTTCTTACAATTAAGTACAGTAACAGAGTTCTACTATGCACTATTTAAAAAAAATCAGTTGCCTTTTCCTTGTCTTCATAAAAACTGATCTCTATAAGGAACCTTGTTCCCTTCCAGTACTTGATGTGATTTAAATTATTTTTTGATTTGTGGTTTACATTTTAGAATTGTATAGGTATAGTGTTCTTTTTAAATTATGCCCTGTTTTACTGTGCCCAAATAATTTACAGATTATTAGGGATGTTATTAATGTACATATGGACGAACTCTCCAAATACTGGAAAAACCAGAATGAATCTGATCACTCTGAAGAACATGAAGAACCCAGCCCTTCCATATCATCAAAAACTTCAACTTCTCGACGGTAGGCATGCTACTAATATCACTATCTGGATTTGGCCGAGAAATCGCAGGTGAAATCCAGGTAGTTTACGGTAAATTTCAGAGTAGAAGGAAATTGAGACATTTGGCCGCTCTAACCTTTTAAGGTTTTCTGTTTTGCTCCAGTCAAAATTGACATTTAAAGTGACTGGAAGCTTAGTGAAGTTGACTAAAACAGCACCTTGCACATACAAAGCGCTTTTTACTGAGCAACCCACTCATTGCCAATCCAATATTGAACAAAAAAACACTTTCTTCATTCATTAAATTGTGAGCATTAGTACAGTTGGAAATGCGGCAGCCAATTGCGCACAGCAGTGTCCCACAAACAGTCGTGGATTGAGTGACCAAATTATTGTTTTTTTATTGTATTTTTGGTGATGTGTGTGCTCAAGGGCACCACACTGATACCAGTAATGCAGTATAAGAGTAATGTAACTTGCTTAATATATAAATTGGAATCTTAAATGGTAGCTGTGGATTGAAGAGATGGGCTACTCTGCTACACAAGCCCACAAATTGGCCTGATAGGAGAATAGCCATTATTTTGCAATGTTTTTCTGGAAATATTTTTCTTTTTTCTAGAAAAAGATCTGACGATCGAAGGTCGCCGTCAGTGGAATCTCGACTGTCTACTGGGAGCAGTAAAGCTGTAGATCGTGTCACCCGCAGAAAAAATCGAAGCAGAAGTCCACATGATCAGAGAAATCCAGAACGGGGGAGAGAAAGAGATGGACGAAAAAAACGAGAGAGGTATATTTAATGGAGGAATCACTTAGCTTTTGGATTACTTTAAATTTTTTCTAACAATGGAATTCTCATTCAATTAAAAACAGTAAAGTATTTTTCATGCGCAATTTCAGGAAGCATCACTCTCGAGATGAAGATCGGAATCACAGTCATAAACGACGGAAATGAAGTACAATGGAATGGATAACTGAAGTAAAAGTTATGGAAAAAAGTGTTTTGCATATAATGTGATGACTGTCTCAAACAAGTATTCTTTAAATTTGTAGTATTTAAACCTGGCTATTAACTTGTCAAGCATCAACTGGAATACATGGCACAATTCTAAGGCAGTAATCTTATCTTGGGCTTCAAATAATGTATACAATCTGCCTGTATCATTCTTATTCTCTGTTGCCTCTATCATATGCTTTACAATAACTAACGCACCAACAGTCTCTGTCTGAGCCTCGGAATCCTCAGTCTTAGCACTGACTTGAGCATTACTGCAGAGTAGACTGGATGTTCCTCTGACACTTGCAATTACGGAGTCCTGCAGCTCAGTGGTTAGAGCACTCGCTTTGCAAGCGAGAGACCCGAGTTCAATTCCAGGCAGGGCGAAACCTTGGACAAGTTTCCTTACTCCACACGCCTAATAATAATCCCTCCAAAAACCAAAACAATAATAAATTGGTCATTTTCAATCTACGACTGTTTGTGGGACATTGCTGTGTGCAATTGGCTGCTGCGTTCGCCCACAAATATACAGTCAATTCACTTTACAGTGTGTTCTGTGAAGCGCTTTGGGACGTCCTCCCGACGTGAAAAGCGCTGTATCAAATGCAAGGATTATTATTATTATCATTCTTATTCTCTGTTGCCTCATCTGAGGACCTTGATATTATTGCTTCTGGCTATCATATTGTAATTCCTTTAGTTCTTAATAGTATTTCTACTGGTTTGTGGTTTTGTCATTGCCTCCCCTCTCCCTGAGCCACTAGTTGAACCATAAATTTTGCATGAGGATAAAAACTGACACAGATTTTGAATGGTTTGGTTTAAACACGAGCATTAGCAGAAAACATAAATGTTAAGTTTGTGACCCGAAAAAAGGAAATTGTGTCTTCATTTGAGATGAACATGAATGTTCATTATCTGCATTGCAGTAGCTTGTAGATGTATTGCATTCCATTCAGAGATTGACCTTTTAACTACATATGTACTGTAATCTCAAAAAGCAAACATAATAAATTGGTCATTTCAATCCATGACTGTTTGTGGGACACTGCTGTGCGCAATTGGTTGCTGCATTTTGCTCACAAATATACAGTCAATTCACTTTACAGTCTATTCTGTGAAGTGCTTTGAGAAGTCGAGCAGATGTGAAAAGTGTCATATCAAATGCAAGGATTATTATTAAGATAAGCTGCTCTTGCATTAAACACACTATTATGTTAGAGGGATAATTACAGTATTTTTCTATCCCTACTTTTTGCTGCACTCGCCTTTGTTTTTACCTTCCAATATTTGACTGCCTCGGTTTGAACCAACTATCTATTTTGATTTAAGAATCTTCACTATATTTCATATATTGTGGAGTCCTGTAGCTCAGTGGTTAGAGCACTCGCTTTGCAAGTGAGAGACCTGAGTTCAATTCCAGGCAGAGGGCGAAACTGTGGGCAAGTATCCTTACTCCACACAGAGCCTAATAATAATCCCTCCAAAAAACAATAATAAATTGGTCATTTTCAATCTACGACTGTTTGTGGGACACTGCTGTGCGCAATTGGCTGCTGCGTTCGCCCACAAATGTACAGTCAATTCACTTTACAGTGTATTCTGTGAAGCACTTTGAGACGTCTAGAAGACGTGAAAAGCGCTATATCAACTGCAAGGATTATTATTATTATTATGGGTTTACAAGTTTATATCTAGGGCTTGGAATCCACCTTGATTGGTGTGTGGAGTTGCTGTACTTCTAACTGGTGCAACTTGCTTAATAGGTAGGGATGCGTATCTGAGCTGTGGGCAGGAAAATAATGGAACACTCCAATGCATTTCATGCTGAGTTTTCCTGTTCACCTTTATGCTCTCAGGGAATTCCTGGTATTTGCCTCTCACCTAGTGAGAGGTCAAACTGCGCTGAACTAGCTCCAAGATAATGTGTTTGGCATTGGAATTGGATCAGTCCTCTGTGGCAATCTTAGTAATCTGGTTCTTGAGTCAGTGGGGTCTGCAGTATTCCAGGGCACCGCTGAATGTCAGCTCCTTGGGACATCTTTCTGACATGAAAGGTGCTGTATAAATGTAATTTTGTTTTTGTTGAAGGCAGACCAGCCATTGCTGGACATTGGCAGGACCTGGAGAGGGATTTGGGGCAGGGATTTTTTCAACTCTTCCTGTTAACCCTGCAAGCCAAAGCCCTAACAGGTATCCCAGCTGGCCAAGCAGGACATTGTTTTCAATGGCAAGCTATACAGTTTTAGCTGGTTAAACTGCAGCAGACCCCAACCACACTGGGGTCCCCAAGCCTTGGCTCTTGCCAACCTGAACCAAATACTCTCCAGAACTGGGTAAGCAGGGTGAGTCTTCTGGGGAATATTCCACTCCAAACCCGGGGATTTCCATCTGTAGGTGGCATGCGTAGAACTCATACTTGGTTTGAATGCTCCTAAGCTTGGCGCTAGGTTTATGCATGTGTCAGACACTTGCCTGACCACAAAATAGATTAATTAAAGAAACAAAAAAAACCTTCAGAACATACTTCTCACATTTTACATTTTTGGTTTGTAAGAACAAAAGAAATGCCAAATGAAAAAAGACAAGGTCCATCTAGTTCACCTTCCACCTTCCTGGTGTTTGCATGCACATATATCCCAAACTACCTATGTACTATATCCATTAATATAAATTATAAAATGAGTTTATAAATTATTTAGTTTCTAATTATTCGAATTAATGTCCAAACATACATAAAGATACTTGAATCCAAATTAAAATGAATATAATTGGTTGTGAAGGACACAAAATACTAATTGACCAAACAAAATAATTAATGTTTGTGAATTCAAGATTATCTAAATATAACTAGAAGAAGCAGCTAGAATTTTCTTAAACCAAGTTTGAAAGTTTTATCCTTTTGAATCGAAGGAATGGTTTGGAATTTTTAAACGCTTATGTGGTAGTGAACCTATAAATCATGACTTTAAACATTGGAAGTTAAAAATGACGCAAGCTGAATGTTTGCATTTAAGAGCTGAAGTATTTCACACGTCTTGATCGATGGCCCTCTGAAATGAGTCTGTGTGGAATGACATAGTAAAAGGCAGATAAAACTTGCATTGAATCACTGGCACACCAGAAACCTGGCTGATGGTTGGTCTTGAATGGAGGTTTGACAGAAAGAAGATTTTGATTAATTATGAAAGAGAACTTTTAAACTTTTAACGTGGAAGTCAGTGTTTTTTGTGTCGACAAACGTATCCTGCACATTTGAAATAATGGCAGCTTCAAAAGCAAAGGTAAGAATGACATTTACTGATATTTAACAGTGCCAAGTCTTGAGATTTCTTAGTTAAAATGTTGGATTAAGACCACCTTCCTGACAATTAAAATACTTGTTTCCTTTAAAGTGCCTGTTTGTGTTTATGGACAAGAGTATGTTTAGCTTATGAAGAACACCACAGCTTGTATTATATGTACTTGGCATTAAATGCAATAAACAATATCATCATAGGTCCTAGATCAATTGTTGTACATAACAGCCAAGGCTGGCCCGCAACATAGCGATGTGGAATAGAGTTAAGCTTTTTTTCCATTATTTGACAGTACAATGAATTAAAGTAAATGAATTGAGATGAGCACAATTTTTAGTGATAGAACCTACAATTTCCAAATGCAGAAAACTACATATGGAAGAAAAGATTCCAGATTGTCTGAGCTCACCCAATCACTTTGGTGAAGAGACCCATATTATATTCTTTATAAAATTACAAGTGGGAGTTTGGTAATGTATTGTGGCATATTATGAATGTTAATGTATCTTATTAAAATATATAGAATATATCACAAAAAATATGAATGCATTTGTTTTTGGGAAGCCAGATGTCTTGATACACTGATACCCATCACCATACTTAACAGTATCCAAGCATAGCTCCAAATTAATTGAACAATATGTGTACATGTATATTTATGTATTCCATGGCTAAAATCTTTCCAGTAAAGTCAACTTATATAGCTCTATTTAGAAGAATATGTTTACGTCTCAGCAGTTTTGGTTAATATTAGCATTGATATTTTAAAACCATAAATATTTTGTTGAATATCAAATGAGAAGATAAAAGTTTTAAAATCTTTTGTTTACTTTGAAGCTCGTAATGATGTGAAAATAAAAGGCTTTTAACTATTTAGGACGATCAAAATGTTCTTTGTGACTGATATTGAGCATAGTATGAATTTGTAGGTTTTTATAATACTATTTCTAGCAGTCAATTTCTTGGGGGGAGTGATTTTTAAAAATATATACTATGTATGTGTGTGTGTGTATATATATATATATCTATGTGTATATATATATCTATTGTATATATATATATAGAGTACTTTCACCATTATGAAATTTTAATAAAAATGAATGAAATTGGAAGAGAAGAGCTTGAATATTCTCGTTTCACAAATCTTCCTGTCTGTATTGTTAAAATCTTAAGGATGTTTGTCAGATTGTTGGTTTATTGAAAACCAAAGTGTTTTAGTACAGGAGAGATGTTAAGAAGCAAAGCGAACAATTTGGTCTTCATTCAGCGACAAACATGTTTCTTTTTTTTTGTACTAAAAGTTTATGAATATTTTTCTATAATGAGTCTAGGTTTATATTATTTATAACTTTCAAAAAAGCTATAATATATATAAGATCTTTATATAAGCTATTTAACTTTAAAAAATCCTAAGGAGGTTTATTGGTAATATCTGAGTCAAATTAGAGATTTTGTATTTAGGTATTGAGTTTGTAAATAAGTTTTTCCAGTTTCTATTGTCATATATTCAGGATATCTTGATGGACAGTGTTATTTGAATACATGCATGGAAATTTATGTTAATATAGGGAAAGTTAGACCGTTACCCTAACAAAGAATGTGCTTTGTGACATTTAACCACAATTTTAAATTGGGTGTGGAGTCCATAGAAGAAAGACCTGTCTATATTGGAACTAATAGAGGCTTTGTTTGTTTCACAAGGTGGAGTGAGCAAACTTTAACCTAAACAGTCAAAGCAATGCTGAAACAGCTTCTTTGGTCCTCATCGATGAAGGTCAATTTTTGTTAAGTGTGAAATGTTAATCCTGCATGTGAAATGTTTCCAGTGGTACAAGTTTTGCCATTATTGCTTAAACTGAATGATAAAGAATTCCATTTGCAGCTTTCCACCCAAGTCACCTGCAAACATTTACAAATACCTAAAATCTTTCATTCATCTAGTTAAGTTATACAGCATTTGTTTTCATGAAGGAATATTGATTGAGGTTTCTCTAGTTTTAAAAGCTGTAAGAAGGAGCATTAAGAACTGTCAGTGGAAGTGATCATTTTTCATTTTGGTTTGACATCAACACAATGTATTGCAGTGGGTTTGCAATCTTGAACTCATACAATATCACTCCCTATGGCTGTGATTTAAGTAGTTGTTTGCCCTTCTAGCATGTATTTGGTCGGTTTTGAGAATTTAAAAATGTACTTCTCCTATAGCCACCACACTGTCTCATGTGGAGTTCCTCAGGGCTCTGTCCTTGGTCCCCTCCTTTTCAATATCTCTATGCTCCCTCTTGGTGACATTATCCGCAGACATGGGATCAATTTCCACATGTATGCGGATGACACCCAACTTACCTCTCCGCCTCCATCCTCGACTCCAGGACCACTGTTGTCCCGAGAGCCAACTTTCTTCAGTTGAACGTCAACAAGACCGAGGCTCTCCTGATTGGCTCCTGTCAGCGCCTCCTCACCTTAGGCGCTGACAGCATCATTATCCTTGGTTGCACACTCCACCTTACTAAGCCAATCTGGAACCCCCATCCCCGCCCGACTCCACTGGCTTCCCATCACACAGAAAATACACTTCCAGATCCTGGTTTTCACCTTCAAAGACCTCCATGGCCTTGCTCCCACCTACCCCTGCGACCTCCTAACCCCAAACCATTGGCATCCTCTGCTCAGTGAGCTCCAGCCTGCGTCACGTCCCCCACCTTGCCTGCCCCACCATTGGCGAGTGGGCCTTCTGCCACTTGCCCAACTCTGGAACTCCATCCCGCAGTCCCTCCGCATCGACTCCTACCTTGCCTCCTTCAAGAACCATCTCAAGACCCTCCTCTTCGGCCATGCCTTCAGTCACCCTCCTTACCCCCCCCCCCCCCCCCCCCCGATCCTCCCTATTCTCGACCCCGAGGTCAGGTCCAAAACACTGACTGTCCAGCGCTTTAGGACTTCACAAAGTGAAAGGAGCTATACAAATGACGCCATGGCACATCTGCATGGTGCTTTCAATTGAATCATTTGGAATCATGTAAAATGCATAGTAATTTAGTAGCAACATAGAAAGAGAAGTACATGCATTGTACAGTTACAATAAAAAGTATAGATATGAAAATAGTTGAATGAATAACTATAGTATTTGAAGACAATGACTTTTTCTAGACTGACATTCCGGGTGTGCTGCATTGTTTTCATGTTCAAATCCATTCACTCCCTGGCACCTCCCTACCTCTTCAACCTCCTCACTCCCCTCAACTGGCACCAATCACTTGACTGGCACTGGTCTCCTGCTCGTCCCTCGCACCCACGGCCCCACCATTGGAAGTCATGCTTTCAGCCATTACACCACGAAACACTGGAACACTCACCCTCAATCCCTCCGCCTTGCCCCCTCTCCCCTCTTTCAAGTCCTGCCTGAAAACGTTCTCCTTCATCCGTGCTTACGGCCACCTCTCCCCGGCTCAGAGTCAGGCTCCGCCACTGTTAAGCGCTCTGAGACACTACCCTGCAAGTTGTTGGAGGTGCTGTCTGTCGGATAAGATGTTAAACCAAGTTTGCATCTGCCTGTTCCTGTGGACATTTAGCCATGGCACAATTCAAAACAGAAGGGAATTTCTCCCATTGTGCTGACAAGTATTCAGAGAAAAAATATTCGACAATCACTTTGTGGCTGTATGTGGGACATTGCTGTGTGCAAATTGGTTGCCATGTTTGCCTAAAATACATGGCCACATATTTCACAGTAAATCCTGTGAAGAGTTCGGATGGCATGAAAAGCCTATATCAAATGCTATGATTGATATTGCTGGGTAAGCATCTGAATAGCAATTTTACTTATGATTAACACAAATACTTATATTGTTGCCAAACAGCAGAAATGTTTTTTAAAAAGTCTTGTAATCGATTACATATACTGAAAGAAAGTTATTTTTTTTATTCAGGTGAATGGACCCTGCATGCCAATGAAAAGATATGTAGAATGTACATCCAGATTGTAATATTGTCACATCTATTTTGCTGAGTGGGAATAAAAATCCCCAAACCAAAAAAAGGAGGTTTGTTTTCCCTATAGGATTTAATGTCAATTTATACAAAACTATTTCCTCCCAGAATATCTTATTCACTGCCATGTTCTTTCAATTCTGTGAGAAATCCCCCAGAAGAACACTACAATATAGAAGTATTGGACCTGTGTGTTGGAGGTGGCTTATTTTGGATGAGACTTCAAACTAAACACTGTTCTATCTGTTCAAGTAGACACTAAAGATCCCAGGTCACTATGTGATAGCATACTGTCAAAAGAGAAGGGAATATCATTTGGTGTCCTGGCAATCAAATTAATTGGCTATTCATCTCATTCCTGTTGTTGGATCATTCTGGAACAAATTCCTATCATGTTAACCTGTAAAAATCGTAATGATTTGTTAAGTACTAAAGATGTTTCAACATGATAATACCTATAAAATGCAAGCTCTATCCAGAATTAATAGAGTGGTAAACTGTCCCATATTGTCATCACTGACTTTAAAAGGTCTTCCTTGTGAACACAAAAAAAATTCCCTCTTTGACAGTCTAATTTTGTTTTATACAAAAAGGGCATCTAGAAATATTTAAAAAAAATTAAAACTCAGTGAAATGTGTCAAAAATGAAAATTTCAGCCGAATTAGCAAAATTATATACAATTGAGAGAATTTCCTATTTTCAACTTTTAAGATGGTATGTAAACAAGTGTAAACACCCAAAATTTCCTTTGGATGATTTTTGTTTGGTCAGCCGGGTATCTGGCACATGCAGAAACCTATCATCATGCTTAAGAGTATCCAAACCAAACTGAGATTTCCATATATCCCACCTACACAAGGAAATTCCAGAGATAGATTGTTGGAATGGAATGCGCAATCTCTCCCTGGAGGGACGCATCCTGCTAACCTAATTCAGAAAGTATTGGGCGCAGGTTGACAAGAGCCAAGACCTGGGGACACCAGAGCGTGCATTGGAATCTAACCAGCTAAACTGCATAGTTTGCCATTGATACTGCTGTCTGGCAAGCTTTCCTGCTGCTTGTCTAGCTAGGACCACCCTACACATTAGGGCTTTGGCTTGCAGGGTTAATAGGAGCTGAGGATGACTCCCTACCTTGACTGGTCTGCCCTTCCAGGTCCTGCTGATGAGCCAGGCTGGCTGTACTGTGAACCCGCCTGACTCAGGAACTGGACTACCAAGCCAGCCACAGAGGGCTGGCTCGAATCTAACATCCCATTGCCAAGAATGTCACCTTGGAGCGAATTCAGTTCCAAGGAGACCCCGTTGGTCATTCGACATCTGACAAGCGTGGGTTTGAGCCCTCACTAGGTGGGTGGTAGGTACAAGGAACTCCCTGCGAGCTTCCCAGTGAGCAACACAGCTCAGCATGAAATGAGCATTGCCACTATCTTCATGTCTGCAACTCGGGCACCCATGCCTTCCCATTGAGAAATGGTTCCACCAATTGTAGGTGCGGAGTTTAAGCAACAGCTGCTTGCCTCGCTGCAGCCCAGTCAAGGTGGATTCCAGGCACGGAGTTAGTTAGCTGTAAGAGAATAAAAACAATATTATTAATGTTAACACATTAATTTTAAGATATCACTGCTGCTGTATCAGGATGGTTATTTTCCGGCCTGTCTCCAGCAAGCTGTTCAGATTCACACATTTTAAATGTTTTGTTTTACACCTAATAGAAACTCCTGCGTCTCCCTATGTTCTGCACTATCTATAGCTAAATGGGAGGGCAGACAAGTTCCTCCCATCAGACTGCCACTGTAACTGGCAGCTAGGAGATATGGAAGAACAGCTGGTGGTAGTACTTTTCTCACCCTTTTGTGAGTGCTGGGCATTCACTTGGTTTCTTCCCATTAGAGTACATTTGAGTTCAGTAACTCCAGTATAATATGGAAGATATGCTCCACCATTACAGTAATGTTGTTCCTTGGTGACTATTTTAAAAAAAGGAGCTTGTGATTCCAAGTCATAAAACAGATGGAAAGTTTAGGGATGTTTGTAAGAAAACACTACACTTTGATCCACTGCTGAGCAAAGGAATGCTACCTGTCAAATGCAATAGATTGAATAATGTTAGATTGCTGTCCTCAGCTTCACTTGATTGCATTCATAGTCAGGAAGAATTTCACAATTTTCTTTCTGTTGCATCCCTTAAGAAACTCAGTAATGTAGGATTTCATATTATTCATAGGTTTAAAAAAAGGTTTTTATGATGATAAATAATTTACAACTGTAATAATTCTCAATCTGGCATCAAGAAATGTATAATTAAAATATCTCTCGTCAATAGAGAAAATGATTAGTTCACAAATGACTTGAGGATGGAAGAGCACTTTGCTCTTTAAAAGAAAATTTGTGCAAGAATCAATCTCAAACCTAGCTCTTCCTTTATCTTAAAACAATACAAAACACCTGTAATTGTGATCAATTATGCCAATCCATTCAATTACACACAAAAGATATATGTGCTGAACACGTAAATTATGGATGTTTTTGAACCAACTGTTTGTTCAGCGCCTTGTTGATTGCCAATGGTTATTATTTCATCCATATTATCCAGACACCCTTCAAAGAAGCTGTTTGATTCGTTGTCATTAACTAAGATATATTATTGATCAGTTGATTTCAATATTATAATTGAATGTAGTCATGCTAGATTGAAAGAAAGGCTGGATGATTCACTGACCAGGCTTGTGGAAGTTGGGCAAATTACAAAATGCAACCATGTCCCAGAGATGGAAGCACAATATTATAATTTAGTGTGTCAAACCAATTATCTAATTCTTATATCGTTTTTAACCCAAACTTGCAGATTTTTACCATACCTGGGAGGATACGTGAACTGTGTCTAATTATTTATTTCCTCATTGTTCTGCATTCACTTCATGTTAGTTGTGAAGAGTATTCCGGCTATGTTTCTGGTGAGTAAAGATTGAACAGCTTACATTTATTATCAATTAATTTAAAGTTCGTTGTTTCTCTTATGTGTCCTATTTGTTTTTATTGTTCCCTGGAATTACATTTTATTTCTATTAAAATATAGTAATTCGAAATCACTTGAGATTGATCACCTGAGCACATACCCAATCATTACTGGGGCAACTTTTCCATGTCTGAAACCTGAAAGATTTTTATTATCTAACACATATAAAGCATTAACACACTATTTTGGTGATCTATTTTGCAGAAATGTGGCTACTTTTGACAACCCTGTCTTCCTAATATCAATGATACCTTTGTTTTCCACTCAAATGCATGTGGAGGCGAATGACGGAATTTATCTTTCTGCTAATGTCACAATTAGGTGGTTACAAAACAATTGATTTAAATATTAAGCCTAAAGATTTTAAGTACTTAAATTTAACTGTGTTCAATTTAATGCCTGCAGCATGCAACTAACAGCCCAATTTCCAGATTTTCTCTAAATGTTTTCTATTTTGCTAAATCAGGTAAAGCTATAACAAATGTATTGATATTTGTTTTATGATCACGTGGAGATAATATAGAGCATGTTAAATGCATAGAAAGTGTTTTGCATTATATTTAATGATATTTTTCTGATGTTTTGCAGTTTATTGTAGGAGATATTGTTTTATAATTTTATTAAGTTTCTAGCTCAGTCTATATCAAACACACATATTGCTTAACATCAAGACTGTTGCATCATATTGGTCCATTAAGAAACTGGAAGACAGATGGTGGAAAAATACTTGCAGTCTGCCTGAAGGCATTCTCTGGTAGATGGTCAATGTTGAAGATTTTTGTGGTACAGTACTGAGGTTGTCTGTGTTCATTTATTTTTCAACATCTCATTTTCTCATTTCTTTCCATTGAGCTGAACTTGTGAAAAATTCACAAGTACACCCACATATCCTGTACAGTATAATTCAGAAATGCTTTTACGCTCATTTTAGATTGCTGTCTTGGGTTGGCTGGGCTTCTCATAACTAACCAGTCCACAGTGCAAACATCCTGATAATACATGTGAATTTCAAGGGAAACATTTATTCTGTTTGTCTATATCAAACAGCTTCCTGCGTAATAGAAGTTAGAGAAATGACAGAAGATGTAATATATTTTGAAAGTGATGTGTAGATCTTATGAATAATTAGATCCTTCATTAACATTTTTCCTATCAAAAACATATTACTGAGTATGTTTTCTATTTTTAAAATATATTTTTAAAACGTTTGAGCAAAATCATACAGATGGGAGTGGAATGTGGTAAGGATAAAAAGGGGATTTTTCTAATGCCAAATATCATTAGATTTGTGTCCTGCAGGTTTAGATTGATAGCTGAAGGGATTTATTGTCACAGTAGTAGGTCATCATGCAGTTATTTTTCTTTGAGATTACTATAAAAATATGAGGTATAGTTTGGTACTGAAATCTTTAATATAATGACCAATGTAATATTCATAATATTCAAACTTGGAGTAAAAACAAGTATCTAAATCAAAATGTGGACAATTGGTAAACCATTAGAGGCTGTGTGAATATGTTAAACGTTTATTGAAAATGACAACTGGAAAAACAGACAGAAAAGTTGGAGATTTTGAGAAACCTTAATGTTGCTGGTCTCCTTTGGCATCAATGTTGTACAAAGATTATTCTGTAATGGAATATTACATTGCTGTTTGGACTGCAGAGAAGCCTCATCTCTTGCTTCTGGACTACGTGCAGTCAATCCAAAACCATAAAGACCATTGGATTGGATAAGATTAACCTACTCATTACCAGAGCCTATATTCTGTAATCCTGGAATCCGGCCTGCCAGCCTTTTACAGGACTCACAGATTGGAGTAACATCGCATGAGTTGCTAGCACTTATGCTAGACCGCTACTAGGAACACAAGAGCTATTGCATTTGAATCCCAGCCTGTTGCATCAATTGAAAATCACTACTGCATATCGGCAGTGAAGCTTTACACAGCGCTTCCCCTGGCAGGCAATGTTGCCACCCAAATCGTCACCTTTGTATGTAGAGTACTAGGCTAATTCAGTTATAATCACTATCTGCTTAATTTGTATTGTTGGAGTGAACAGTGGCCAGCATGAACTCTCTTGGCCTTTCACACTTTAACAAACCATCGGGGTGAAGTTCCTGAGACTTCCGGCCTCAATACAGTTGCCTCTGGTTGAACTCCATTTTAAATATCCTCATTAAATGCCCTGTAACTCCTCAAACCCAGCTTTACTCAAGGTTGCTGCTGAAGTTAACTATTTTTCCTTTAGGAGATGGTGACAAGCATGCCTTTGAAGGGTCAGTAGCTGGAGACTTACACAGAGAGCCATCAGAATTCATCGAGTCAGGAAGCGTTCCCTTTGAGGAAGAAATGTCTGGCGATGACTTTGTAATCACAGCAACACATATCCCAGATATTACTGAAAGTGGATCAGGACTTTATCCTGAAATGTTAGTACCAGATCCTGATGACGTTTACGCCATCGCTTCTGGATATCCAGACATTTCAGAAACTGGTTCCACTGGGCCCGCGGTAGAGATGAGCACAAATAAAGGCTATCCTTACACTACCCCGACAGTTTCTTATACTACTGCCAAAGAGGTCATCACCAGCACAAGAATATTCCCATTCAGCTATTCCAGAGAAATGCCGCAGGTGGAGGAGGAGTTGCTGCCAGTCCCTGATGTGGGACAGAAGGAAGGTACGTGACAAGGCTGACAGGGGCTGCCACCAGTGCATGCAATAAAACAGAAAATATGTGTTTGCGTTAGTAAAATGAAGAAGGAAGCGTTGGAATGAACCTTGGTCTTCAAACCAAACACACCTTGCAGCCGAAAATAATTCAGTCGCCTAATATTTTAATGTGTTCTGTAATCAACAGCTTTTAGATATGGAGGGACAAGGAGCAGGAGAAAGGCATAATTTCAATGATCCCATGTTTCTCTTCTGTTCTCCCTTTGGTAATTTTATTTGACTTTGTGTCTTGTGCCACACACCATTCTCATTAAGAGACAGATGGATAATCTGTGAGTCGTGCACTACCAGTTGCCTCTTGATCCAATTGCTAGGCCTATCAAGAAAAGCCCAAGACAAACCCACCCACCAAATTTTGACACTTCACCAATGCTCACCTTGCCTTGTGATAATATGACTTGGTTTAGGAACCCATGGGCCCCTCATCATTATGCAGTTCAACATACATGACCATCAACACATTGCTCTTCTACACCATCTTCTCTTTGCTACTCTTCAGGAGGAGTGAAGATATATTTCTTAATGCTCAAATCTGTTTGGCACATCGAAAAGAAAATGCACTTCATATTTAAACTATTCTTGAGCTAACATTGAAACTTATTTAAGACCAATTCAGAATAGATGACCACCATTGAACAACATCTGGAATGTTAAACTGATTAAATAATTGTAGTAGAGACTTAATGGTTGAATTTCAACCCTTTGATTTTTCTCATCAATTAAGACTAATGTTCATTTTAAATTGCCAGTGATGCTCTATACTTGCTTGTGTGGAAACATAAACATTTACACCTGATTTTAAAAACCTTTGAACCTATAATTTTTTGTTCTTTGAAAAATTTGGAACAATATGCCTTTACACATTGATTTGAACTACTTTACTAAAACCCAGGATTCACATTGAAGGGCACATTGCCACAATCAGTTCGATCACAAATTATTTCTGACAGTTTCAACTCTAACAACAATGTTCAAACATTCTGAAGTTCCTAGGATTACAAAAGACTTGTGAATATTGCAGGAATAGGTGATGAATCTGATACATTCTCCTGTTGGTCCTGACAAACTGCTGTGGAAAATCCCTAAGGACAACTGAACTCTTGTTTTGGATGGAATAATGTCAAAATATGAAAAAAAACACAAAATGTGTTTTTAAATGCCAACATTAGATGGGAAGAGGTAGTAATTTATTGATAATCAGAAAGTTAAATAAGCCCCAAAGGACTTGAAACTGAACATTCACAGTACTCAGGAAAAGCAAACACATTTCTAACCTAAAAAATACATAAATATGGAATTTCAAAATTAGAACCGTTTATTTCTATATATTATAATATTTCCATATATTTATATATAAAAACACGTATTGTGAGGCACAATTCTGTCAAACATTACAAAGCGAAAACTGATCCATGTGCAGTCAGTTCACTGAGATATCACCTTACCTAAAATACACTGCAGGATTGGAGCTGTCCAGGTGCAATGTTCCAAGCTGGATTTCTTCATAGCACAGCAACATGTGGTTCAGAACACTTGCCAGAGGATTGTATTTGTGAGTAAACTATTTAAAGTTTACAGTAAAAGAAAACCGAGTTCACTTTCACCTTAAAAGCGATACACTGTATTATCATTCATTCATACTCACCATTAACACTTAGCTCATTGCATCATCGTCACTCATATATCATATTTTTAACTGATCATTATGATTGTTGCTTTTTTTTGTTAGTTTTCATTTGAATTTGCAACAGCTTCTTGCTCACAGCCTGTAAGTACTGCCCATTGCTCATTGCAGACATTGTTCACTGTTCAGTACCAGAAAATGCTGATTAGAACAGTGAATGATGCATTTAAAATATTGAATTATCTTTTATTCCCAGAACAGACTATATTAAGATTTTTTTTGTTATTTATAATAGATGTTATTATGTTATATTTTAAGACTGTCTTTAAAAACTGAAATAACCTTGCAGCCATCAAAGGATTTAGACATCCAAAATCAAGACCTTCCATAACAATTGTGCATTTCCTAACTATAAGCTGTGTTCTGCCTGATATTTCAATATAATAATAATAATTATCCTTGCATTTGATGTAGCGGCATATAATGTTTGAGGTGTATCAAAGCGCTTCACAGAATATACTGTAAAGTGAATTAACTGCACATTTTGTGGATGAAGTGCGGTAGGCAATTGCGCACAGTGATATACTCAGAGTACTAAATAATATCCATCTGTCAATTTTGTTTACATTAAAATACTGGTTGATGGAATTTAAAAGAGAATCGTGATTTTGTTAATAGACACATTTACCCTCTGTTCCAGTTACTGATGTGCTAGATACATTAAAAATATTGAGCATACCAGGAATTAATGTAGTGGAAGGATCCAAAATAGGCCTAACAGCCTATCGCCTAGAAAGAAGTATACAGATTGGGAAAGAAACAAGGTATGTGATGTATGAAAGGGCTATCATTTAAAGGTTGAGAGATTTGTAATATAGTGTGTTTGCTTTTTTTATTCATTCCCTTCTATTTAGCATAGGACCTCTTATATCAGAAAGACTTCACAGGATTTAGTGCACAGCACATTCTCCAATGTTTAGTTTCCAACATTCACTAACATTATTTTATTTACCAGTTTTTAAGATGAGTGTTTCCCAATTACCTACTTAAAATGCATACATTGCTTACAAGAAATCAGGAGCAACATTTTAATAATTCTTGTATTTTATACAGCCTGGCAAGACATCACACTCCATGGTGAATTCCTGTGAAATGTAGTTACCATGTGTTTGTAGATAATCCAGGAGCCATTTTAAACAAAGCAAGGTCCCTGTGAAGGGAATGAACAATTTATCTGAAGGATTGTCGACCAGAACATTGGGAGAAACATCCTTCTCATTTTGAATAATATTCTGGGATTTTTAACATACACTTGAACAACAGATGTGACCCTGGTTTAACATCTTATCGAAAGGATGGCACCGCTTACACTATTGTGTTGCACCAACATTGCACTGGAGTGCCTATCAGCATTAGGAGCCATCAAGCTTCAACATAGAGTTTGAACACACACCTTTTTAACTAGAAGCAAAAACGTTGAGCTCATTTTATTACTGCCATGAGAACAATGATGGTACAATGCTTGGTGCTGTTGAGAAAATGTATAATGAAACTGGAAACATCGACTTAGCAACTACAGTTGGACTGTAATTTCCACAAAAAAGAGAACAGATCTCTGTATTTCCATCATTTGCCTTCTCACCTCCAGGTTTGACCTCCTTGGCTTCCTTCAAACTCAACAAACGAGTGTGCAACATTGATATTCAGTTTGATCTTCAGCTGACATTCATTCCCAAACCAATACTACATTTCTTCAACCTCTGCATTATCCATCTTTATCCTATCTCACATCAAATCTGTAGAAACCCTCATTCATGTCTTTGTTATCTCCTGACTAGACTTTTTAAATATATTCCTAAATCCAGCTAATACAAAACTCCACTGGCTGTACCCTCACCCGCACCAAATCCTGCATTCTCATCCAGGGGCCAAGCCAGGGTTTACAATTGTGGTTGCTGGGCGGGATGTCATTAGTGAAGCCACTTTCTTGTTGCTCTCTAAGCTGCTTCATGCTTCCCACTCTGGCTCTCTTCCTGTCGCTCTCCATGCTGCCTCTCAAGAGATTGGTATGAGGCATGAAGCAACGTGAAGAGCAACATAAAGAGAGGCAGAACGGGAGGTATGAGGCAGCGGGTAGAGCAATGGGACCAGGTATGAGGCAGTACGTAGAGTGACAGGAAGAGGGGAGGAGTGGGAGGTATGAGACAACAACAAATTACATTTGTATAGTGCCATATCAGTGTGCCACCAGAATGGAATTTATTATTTCATTGACAAGTTTGAAAAAGCTTCACATTCACCTTTAAAATATGTTTTCAATTGTTCAGCAAAAATATTATTTACATTTTACAGATTTGTTCATCCATATGGATTCCCCAAAGAATTCTCATTGGTCTCGACCTTCAGAATGAGAGAAGACACTCCTGAGATGGTGTGGAATCTATGGGAAGTGACCGATAGAAACGGGGATGAGCAGCTCCGACTTCGCCTGTATGGAGAGACGAATGCAGTTGAAGTCTACAATGTGGCAGCTGTGGGAGAGGAGATCACCATCTTTGAGAACATAGGACAGCTGTTTGATGGGGCCTGGCACAAGCTGTCATTAAGCGCCAAAAGGAACCAGTTAACTTTGCTTGTTGACTGTCAGCAGGTTGGCACAGCCCCCATTAGACAGTATGGATCTATTACTACTGATGGATTTACCTCTCTAGCTACAGCAGCAAAGGCTGATTCTACACTACTAGTAAGTCTTTTTCCGTATATGAAGTCTATTCATTTTATTAACTGTTAAATATATAGGAGAGCTATTCTGGTAGCTCGGTTGGTTCAGCAAGGGGTAGGATTCTTACTGTTTCCACTCAACCCTTTATTCTTTGGAGCCTGACAAAATTTGTATCATATCAAAAATGCCCCCTCTTGAGGAGAAGTAAGCAGGGTCTGCTTGGGGGAGATGCCTCAGAAAATCAGGTGGGTCTGCAGTAATATAATGTAAATGTAGAGGTGACATTATTTTAGCTCACAACCTCCATCAGGGTAACATCCTAGAGAGCTGAGTGGCATTGGAGGAAATGTGTGAAATGACAAATTTAATGATAATAACAGTGCAATGAATCAATAAAACAGCTTCTTCTTTAGTTTTCACACTCACAAAGAGCCAGATTGAGACTGGCCATAACCATTTGATTCACAGATGTCTGGGAGAGGAGATTTTCATGCCATCAGTTTGGTCTGGATATGAAACCTTGATTTGAAGCAATAGTTCACTAACCCACTGAAATGTACCTCCATTCACCCTACAATATTGTTTCTGCTTCAGGTGGATCTACAACAGTTCAAGATTTATAGTAATCCAAATAAAGCAGCTGATGAAAGGTGCTGTGAAATTCCAGGAATTGTAAGTACTGTGCAAAATGCCTGAGAAAGGAAAATCTTCCTATTATATATTTTCTTTCCCATTTGTTGTGTTTCCTTATATCAATGCAAGTTATTATTTATTAGAATAAGAGACTAACATTTGCTTTAATTTTCTTTTAATTTCTTCATGAATTGCACCTTTTTTTTGGAGGATTTACTGCTCTCTTTTTACCTGAATTAGTTTCTGTCATGAGCTTGTCTGTCGGACATCAGGAACTGGATGAGCGCAAATTTCCTGCAGTTGAACGTCAACAAGACGGAAGCCATACTCTTTGGCTCCCGCCGACGTCTTCCGTCCCATGGTTCCGACCTCCTCAACCTACCCGACCTATCTTTAATACTCTCTGAACCTCTGCGCAACTTAGGCATCAGGTTCGATCCACAGTTATCCTTCCTCCCCCACATCTGGTCCCTGACCAGCACTGCTTTCTTCCACCTCCGCCACATTGCCCATCTCTGACAATACCTTACCCCAAAAGCTGCCGAAACCCTTGTCCACCCGCCTTTTTCACCTCTTGGATGGACTACTCTAATGCCCTCCTCGCTGGTCTCCTCTCCTCCACTATTCACAAAATCCAGCTCATTCAAAACTCTGCCGCCCGCATTTTCATTCGCACCAACTTCGTAGCCCGATTACTCCAGTCCTTGCCAAACTCCACGTCTCCTCCGAGTTCCCCGAATCCTCCGCTCCACCATCGGTGGCCATGCCTTCAGCTACTACGCCCCGAAACCTTGGAACTCCCCCCCTCAACCCCTTTGCCTTGCCCCTTCCTTCCCCATCTTCAGGTCGCACCTGAAGACCTTCCTTTTTGACTGCACCTTCGGTCCCCTTCCCCCAGGCTCAGCCTTGGGCTCCACCATCGCTAAGCTCTCTGAGACCCCAGCCGTCTTGGAGGGCACTATATTGTGCAAGTTATTGTTGTTGTAGCATCTAAGACTGACTGCTGTTCTCCTGCTACTGCCAAGCATGCTCTTGAACAACTACTAGGAGGCATGCGAGATTCACCCAGAAAAGAGCATCGATCAGATTATTTCTCACCTGTGCAAGATGTGTATCATAGCCTTTGCAAGGTGCCTTTTGCACCAGTCTAGTTGAGATCAAGAACTCAGTGTAGAGGGGAGAAGGCTGGAATCAGACCTGCACACATCATTGCATGACTCTCCATAACAACGTTGGAACACATAGTAGTACAGAGGGATTGGGTTCTATTATGGCAATTCATAACAGGAATTGTTAATATTGCAGCCACAAGTAATAAATGAAGGATCTGGCTGATAAATGTAAGTGTGTCGTGCCCACTGACGGATAATCTGCTCTGACTGTGATACACTTCATTATACCAGCAGGGTACCCTAGTTTGGGACATGGAGTTGCTATTAATTCCGCTTGTTGCTAATTGTTGCTAACCCTATTATATATTTCATGGCGAAATGTTCTTTTACATTTCATAATTGTTTTTGAACTTTCACAGAAATAAAAATCTTGAAAAAAAAATTCTATAATTCAGCACCTTGGGATGTGCTCCTGACATGAAAGGCACTATATAAATGCAATTTGCTTTTGTTTCGTTTTGGATCGTTTGATTCATTAATTGTTATTCAATGCAGTGTGACGCTCTAGGAATTGAAACCGCCTCAGCAGAATGTGACTGTGTGGCTGCTATGTCTGGTTTCCCCGGTTTCCCTGGTTCAAAGGTAATATACTTCCACCACTTGAAGAATCTTTCCGGAGTTGGTATGCACAAATCAATAATGCTTTTGTCTGACGTATTGAGGTATATGTCTTTGTTATAGGGTTATGAAGGTGAGGAAGGTACCAATGGATTTCCTGGACCTCAGGGCAGAAAGGTATGTAAAACCACATCATGTTAGGTCAGAGTATTAAGGGATAAGGGGTAAGGGCAGGTAATTGGACTTGGTGTACTGACCAGCCAAGATCTTATAAAATGGTGGAATGGGTTCCAGGGGCTGAAGGCCTACTCCTGTTTCTACAACAAAAAGTTACACTTATATAGCGCCCTTGACGCAGGGTAGCATCTCAGAGCACTTAACAGTGGTGGAGCCTGACTCTGAGCCGGGGGGAGAGGTGGGGCATGGGGGTTGGGGGGGGGAGGTGGCCGTATGCATGGTCGAAGAGGAAGGTTTTCAGGCGGGACTAGAAAAAGGGGAGAGAGGGGGCAAGACTAGCGAGAGCCAGAGCAGAATAGCTGAAAGTCCATCTGTTGATGGTTCTGTGGAATTGAATATAATCCAATTTCTTGCAAATAATCCAATTTCTATTCTTTTGCATCTATTTTCCAGCAAGTAGCACTGGAAAATGGGAATGGGCATCAGAGCTGGTTAGATCAGGCACTTCAGCACAGTGCAAGGAATCCAACCTTATGGTTTCTGTGGCTTAGTGTTATGCTATTCGCAAGTACGGTCTTCTCCATGAGCTCACTCAAATGAGGGAAATGCCACCTATATATACATGTTTGAAGCAAACCCTAAATGAATTTATTTTGTTGTAGGGTTACCAAGGTTTTAAAGGTGCCCAGGGGAGAAGGGGTGATCAAGGGGAAAGGGTAAGTTTCATTAACAATAGATATATTACATATATATCCATATATAGAATGCGCACATTACGTGTCTGATATGTGCAGTTAGATACTATTTGTCAGAAGTTAAAAACTTCCAGGGAGGATTCCTCATCTATTTGTGACCTGAAAGGATTTACACTTTTTAGGTTAACTGGAATTTAGGAGTTGTGTTTTCATTACCACTAATACAGTTTATTTTGTTATAATGTAATAAAACTAAACTATTTGTTATCAGTTATTAAATATTTAATACTTAATTAGATTTGCTCATTTTCATTCCTATAACAATAACTTCTCTGTAGAGATTAGTTAGATACCAGTTGAGTTGATCTTTCTAGGTTTATTATAGCGATTGCATTCTATGGTTTTTGCACCAGAAATTATCAGTCTGTGTATCACTGTGTTGAGCAAATCTCTATATATCGTACCACAGAGAACTACCAATCTATAAATAGATTTTAAACCTGAATTTGGATTATTTTAATGACAAACTAGTATTTTATTATTGATTCCAGAGATTTACAGAAATTTGTATCAATAAAAAGGGAAAATTATGAATGTATAAATAAAGGAACAAAGGAAGATGATAAATAGTGAAACGTAAAAGACCTAAAGACAAAGACACTCAAAGTGAAAACAATCTTCAATTCCCTGTCTCTTCCCTTTCTTTTCTGTGCTTCTTCTCGACTTTGTCTTTAGACACTTTCCTTAATTTTTATTATTTATTATCTTCCTTATCCTTTTTATTTAGATGTTGATATTAATTCTGCATTTAACTCAGGACAAATACTGCAGTGCAGCAATGGAAAGAAAGAAGCCAGGTTTGTCCTGAGGTGTCAGAAATACCCAATAATATAATTTTAATGTTGTGAGCATAGAGATTTTAGCACAACCAGCTCTTTAATAGCATTAAAAATAAGTCATTTCAAAGCTGATGAATTGTTCAAGGCTAGGAATGGAACATGGCAGAGTAAATCCGGTGTGAGTTACACCCACCACATTTATACTGTGCAAGTGTGAACCGTGCTGCTTCTGAAACCATTTTTACAACGTGTTGTTGGGAGCAGTGCTCCAGTATGATTGGAACAGCCTATGTGCCTTCACGCTTAAATGTTTGGAAGTGATTTGTTGCCAAATATACTGTATAAATGGCGCATTAATAAGATTTGGAAAGTAGCATTGTTGTGAACTGATGTTAGTGAAACTTGATTAAATTGAGCATTTATTATCTAAAAGCAAGGAATAATTTGTTAGTTCATATTTATTATGTTTACAGCACATGTATTTCTGCAATATACAATAGGTTTATTTTATTATGCTTTTCTTAGGGCGAGGAAGGAATAGAAGGATCTGAAGGGGATCCTGGTTACTCAGGAGCCATAGTAAGTATGAACCCACCTTTGCTGAAAGATATTTAAAATCCTTGAAGAATGCTTTACTATTTCTAATGTGTGAAACACTTAAACTAAGATTGCTTTGCATCCCAGGGACTCCCTGGTCTCCCTGGAGAGAATGGTGTTGCTGGAGAACCTGGGCAAAAGGTACAGCAAATTTTTTGTGCATAAACTGAAGTTTGCAAATGGATAAGAGAATCTACACCTCATGTACATATACTTTGTATCAATTCATCTTCTTCTCACCAATGGATTTATAGAGTATACATAATGTGGAACAGTGGGTATGTGCACTGTATTCAAAGACTGAAGATAGTCTGAAAGATTCCTGAATAAGTAGTGAAGGGTTACTTGTGGTTGGGATAAACTCTGCAACCCTGCATCAATAATTTTCATTTGCTAAGTGTAGCCTGGAGACTACTGAGATAATTTCCTGACATTTAATCTTGTAATTTCGTGAGTACATAAAGCCCGAATCTCATGTATCTTGTAAAAACATTTTGTTTTAAAATGTAAGGTTGCGCAGAATTGTGGAAAATTCTTAAATTTAGACTTGATTTGGAAATCATTGTTTCTTAAAAGGAACTGACTTATGGGTGAAGATGAGATGTGATTTTGCACCGATAACTGTTGACTTAAATACTGGTTTTAAGAGTGAATGGACTAGGCCAGGAACAGCGGTGAAATTTGCTAAATATATTCACTCATGAGAATAGCAACTGTTTGTGAAACATTACTGAGTTAACCAGAGTTCCTAAATGCCTGTTCTTCAGGTGGATATTAAAAATATGGTGATATTATTCAAAAAGATAAAAGGCTTATCCCAATATTTTGCTCAACAATTCTCCAGATTATTTGGTTATTCACCACATTGGCAGTTTCTGGGTCACTAGGTAGTTGCTGATATCATTTCCTGCACATAGTGTGTCTGTGCACAAGCAGGAAATTACATCACGACGCTCTCTGCTTGTTCAATGCACAGGAAGTGATGTCGGCAGTGACCTGACAACCCAGAAGCTAGCCATTTTTAGCATGGAAAGTTGACCAGTCACTGCCAAAAGTCAGGTGTTCTGCGTGTTTCAGTTAGTACAGATTCATTGTTAACTCTCACCCCCCCCCCCCCAAAGCTCAATTTATCCATTTACATAATTTCAAATAAACTCCCTCAAACGACGTTGTCTCTAATTTCCTTTAAAATGCATTTCATTTAAGATGGTGGGGAAGAAGCTGTTGTAATCTCTTCAACAATACAGGAGGCAGACAAATTAAACCCATTCACCAGTTTATTTGGTATATATTTTATGCCCTGAAAGGATTAAAAAGACAGTTTGTCTTTTTTGGGAATCTTTTAAGATATTCAGTGAAGAACCTCAATTATCTAAATGGTTTATGTATATATTGTTAAAAAGACAAGAAAACAAATTTGCAGGAATTAAATACTGTTCTTATCCTTCCAATTGTTGCCACCAACCTGAATGTCTTTTGTAGTGTGTTCAAACGATGTATGTTTTCAGATAAAACTAAGTCAACTTTATGTTAAGAAATATTAAGTAATTGAAAGTACAGTTGCATGAACTAGTTCATTTTTTGCAAAATCCCCACTGTTCCTTCCAGTTTGAAGTAACTTAATGAATGTAAAGATATGAACATAAGCACCTCTAAAGTCACATGCATGAAGGGAATGGATATGGAAAAGGCAATTAAGAGGGTTGGAGGCTCATGTGGTGTATAAACACTGGCCTGGATTACTTGGGCCAATGGCCTGTGTCTGCGCTGAAATATTCTATGTAATTTTATGTAAAGTCTTGCACAAACAGCGTACTTGCCATTATCTTTGTGGAGTCCTGTAGCTCAGTGGTTAGAGCACTCGCTTTGCAAGTGAGAGACCTGAGTTCAATTCCAGGCAGAGCGAAACCTTGGGCAAGTTTCCTTACTCCACACAGAGCCTAATAATAATCCCTCCAAAAAAAACAATAATTAAATTGGTCATTTTCAATCTACGACTGTTTGTGGGACATTGCTGTGCGCAATTAGCTGCCGCGTTCGCCCACAAATATACAGTCAATTCACTTTACAGTGTCTTCTGTGAAGCGCTTTGGGACGTCCTCCCGACGTGAAAAGCGCTATATCAAATGCAAGGATTATTATTATTATTATTATCTTGCAAATTGTTATGTAAGCGCAATAGTTTTCAAACTTCCTAACTAGATTGAGACAGATCAGGCACAAAACTTCAAATATTCTTAGGTTTGCTTTAATAGTAATCTTTTAGTGAAAATCACACGAATAAAATTGGTTATTCACTTCATGGCTATTTGTGGAACACTGCTGTGCATAAATTCGCTGTTGGTTAGCCTACAAAACACAGTCACTCCACTTTACAAAACAAATTTTACAACAAATCCTGTGAAGTGCTTTGAGACATTCTCCTGACATTCTCCTTACATAAAATGCAAGGATTATTATTATTAATAAAATAAATTGGCTTTTGTTTTAAAAGTAGTCCTGCATGTGATCTATAAGAGAGTTATTTTGGGAAGAGCAGAGAACAATTTTCACTTTGACAAAGTGTCCTACTGTTTGTCCAGTTAGAGCCATTCTACCCATTAAAGCTTTGTGTTTGCAGTGGAAGAATCCCTGCCTCAAGTCTTGCTTGTGAGTCTGTCATCCACAACCAAAATTTAAACAGTGAACTGTGTACTACGTTCAGATAATCATTTTAACAACTCCTAACTGTAGGGTTCAGTTGGACTTCCAGGCCCACGAGGGGAACCAGGATCCAAAGGTGAAAATGTAAGTATTCCAGTGTGCACTATTTTATTGCTGTGTCTTGATGTTGCAATGTTTCAGACAGATTGCAATAAATGTTGCATTTATTCTCAGGGTGATATCGGAATAGTTGGTGAAGAAGGCAGACCCGGTCCCTCGGGTGAAAAGGTAAGTGTTTCTTCGGGGAGCGAGTGGCCGATAATCAACAACAGCTGCAGGCGAAAATAAAAAGTTACTATGTTTACTTATTAAAAACTCCACAGTTTTCACTTATTGCTGTGGGCAGTAAGAAGACATTGCCATGATTAAATCAATTTTATTTGCTCTTTATAACAGGGCTCTCGAGGCAAACCAGGTGCAATTGGATCTCCTGGTGCCATGGGACCAAAGGTTTACTACGTATTTATTATTGTTCTGCTTAATGTTTGAACAGGATTCTTAATAATGCAATCTGCACAAAATAATTGTTCACACTGGATTATTATCTTTTCTATGTATATGCGAATATGACAGGGCTTCCCTGGTGAGCTTGGATTCTCAGGAGATGCAGGAGACCACGGCTATATGGTACGTTTGCAGAGTTCAGGCTGGTTTCTTATGATAGATTTAGTTCAAAATGTTAATTATCTGAAGATATTAATTTTCCTGAAGAAGTTAATAATGTGATTTTGTTTTAAAACAAAAACATTGGAAAATTATAAGGAAGGCTTGGATGTAGATGCTGGTTTGGCCCATCTCTACTTTCATCTTTTGCCAGAGTACCAATTCTACTGTCTTCCCATTTTGGCATCACGCCATGTCTTAAATCACTACATTGTCTTGGAATAAACTCCCATCCCCACCATTTCAGCTTTTGAATGCCGTCTGTGTACAGAAATGTATTGATTCCAAAATTAACCTTCATAACCCGAAGCTTATGGCCTCTTTTATTGCTGCTTCAAGCACTTTAAGTTGATCTATTATTTGAAAGGTGCTAAATAAATGCAAGTTATTATTGCTTGGTAGTAATAATAATAATAATCCTTCCAGTTGACATAGTGCCTTATCATATCTTTGAGATGTCTCAAAGCCCTTCACAGAATATACTGTAAAGTGAATTGACTGTATATTTTGGCGAAACATGGCAGCCATTTGCACACAGCAGTGTCCACACATAGTCGTGGATTGAGTGACCAAATTATTATTATATGTATTTTTTGGTATATCTGAAAGTATTGGATTTATTATTTTATATTTATTTATATCCTTTTAGCATCTTATGTACCCCTAGAACATCTTCTCTGAGATGTTTAGTTTCAAAGCTGAATAACCTTAGCTTGTTCAGTCAATCCTAGAATTCATCCCTCTAACACTAGACATATTGCCATATGAAAATAAGCTAAACAATGATTTTACTTGTGGCCTCTCAAGGATATTAAAGAAAAACTATGGGGTTAATTTGTATGCAGAATGTATTACTTTCTTATTGATTATTAACTATTTAGTAGTAGGATTTTAGACAATGAACTATGGATTAGCAATAGCAGTTTTGGACCATAGTTGTGGTGAGTGTATATATTAGATTTTATTGTGTGCTATCATTGGTGATGTGTCTCTTATGACATTAATTTTATTGGTAAATGCAACATCATTTTACTGTTTGTCTTTTATTTCCCATTCCTGTTGAAGGGATATCCAGGATTAATAGGACAGAGGGGACCACAGGGCAGAAAGGTGAAATCAAACAGACATTTCTTTACTGTTATCATTAATAGTTGTATATTGTGGATTTAAATCTAATTTTAGATCTCTCTTCCCTTCAGGGTGCTGTTGGACTCAGTGGAATCTCTGGTATAGATGGGGAGCCAGGCAAAGATGTAAATTGAAATTAATTAAGTAAAATGTTTTAAATCATTTTATCATCTTTTGTTACAAAGAAAGTTCTGATGGAAAGTGTTCAAAACATATTATGTGATCTGACTTCAGGGTCTACTGGGAGTTCCAGGTTTAGCAGGTGAAACAGGACAAATAGGAGCAAAGGTACTTTTTATTCCACACTAATTTGTTATGCTATTAATTCATTGTTACTCTTAGACCATGCATGTGAATAATTTACCTAATGAAGGATGGCTTCTATTTAACCATGTAAATATTAATATTATGTTAATACCTATGTAGGGAAACAGAGGGGACCCAGGGCCAAGAGGGCCACAAGGGCTGCGTGGTTTGCAAGTAAGTTTCTTGTTATTTTCCAATTTAAGTTACTGAGCTGGAAGAGAAAATGTAGCTTTTACATTCATTTATGAAATAATTTTCCAATTTTATATTCATCCCCCATTATGCAGGATCATTTCACAGAGGAGTGCGAATGGGTCATGAACTCCTCCACAAGTTTGGTTTCTACCATATTTATTTTGTAACTGTATGTGTACTCTACTGGAAACCTTTCACCTCCACTTGCCCTGCTCTAGTGGAAGGCTAGGATGGTCCTGTTTCTGGACTTCACTGTCATCAATCTTGCTTTCAGATTATTTCAGAAAGATGCACAACTCAAACAGAATGAAATGGAGAAGGACATCTTTCTGCCTCCCCCAGAAGTGAAATGGAATGACTTGATTCTATGCATTTCTTGATTTCTTTATGCAGTGACTGACAAAATAAAATTCAGTGACTCATGCGTACACTTGGGAGTCCAGTGATAAACTGCTTGAAGAAACCACAAAATTATTGTTCACACAGAGGATAATTAACAACTGGAGGAAGTGTAGTTGAGGCCAGAATGCTGGACTTGTTTAAGAAACTGTTTACTATTATGGGAAGATGATAGTAGGTAATCAGTATTCTGGAAGTGTATATTTTGGTCAGCCTGGTGTCTGACACATACAGAAATGCATCACCCTGCTTAGGAGTATCCAAACCAAACTGAGAATATCACGTATGCATGCCACCTACACGTGGAAAGTCACATGAAAAATTTTACTCTCATTGGAGAGCCCTCTTGCAATTATTTCAGCAGAAGGGGAACTATATTAATGTACCATTTCTTAATTTTCCATGAAATAAAGAAACCAGAGGATCCACATTGCTCAGAAAATCACTCCCAATCTATAATACATCAGAAAACCCTAACCAAGATTCTTTATAAATGCACAAGAGAAGGGAAATGGTCATGGGAGGAGAAAAATATGAGATCTTGCTCTTTGTATTTGGTGAAGTAATAATTTCACTTCTGTAATTTCTGTTCTGTTAAATGACATGAAGTCGCTACTATTTATTTTATTTCTCATACTGACAAAGATAGGGTAAATGAGAAATAACAACAGCAAAAATACATTATAGAGTATCTTCAGAAGGAAATAGAAACATATTTTGAGGGAATTCTGTAAAGTAATTCTTGAATCATTTTGCTTACCATTCTGATCTCAAGAGTACTATCACCAGTATCTCTTTCCCCTCTTACAGAGACTGGGATATCAGCCTATTAAAAAAACTGCAGATGTAGTGTGGATCACTCAAATAGTAGCGTATTGAGCACCAAACCAAAAAGTTGTGAGAACTCCTCCCAGGGTTGCCTGTCACTCAAGTTTATTTACCTTGAATTCAATGAATAATGTTGTAAAAGTGAAATCTTAACACCGATCAGATTGCTTCTTTCCAAACGCAATATCCTTGCGTTTTGATAGTGAAAGGTTACTCTTGACTACTTGTCAGCCAGGTGTCTGATGCAGGTGGAAACTTATCACCATGGTTAAGAGTATCCAAACCGAAATAAGAATTTCATGCATGCTATCTACCCATTGGAAGATCATGAAGAATTCTGTGAATTGAACTTTTCCTTTCTTATAAAATAGATTATAATAGACAAAAAAGTACATAATATATTTTATATATTATGTAGATATATATTATATATAAAATGGAGGATGGTGAGTGACATCAAGGATGAGGTGGAGCAGCAAAATACAGTCACCATGCTTGCTACTCTTTTTAACTTCTTTCCAGAAGAAGACTTTGTTTTTAAATGAATGCACCCCTGGCTAAGAGAATTGTTGGCAACTTGTTTGCAGGCTTCTGTTGTTATTTGTTGTTCTGAAACTGGCCACAAGAAGGTAGAAGAGAGTGGCCTGGCAGACCCTATTCTTCAATTGTCTCTGGTGCCTGCTACAAGGGCATGGAAGATGTCAAGTGTAATCTTGCATCTTATTGCTCCACAGTGTAAAAACAGACAAGGGAAGGATGTACCAGGCTAAGGATTGGTTTGAAAACCGAATTAGATAAATTCTGAAATGTTTTTATTTTTCAAAGCTGTCATATTTAGCTAACAACTGAAAAGTATGAACCGGTGTCAGCGTAACTCAGATGGTAGGAATTTCAGTGTCAGAAGAGTGTGGGCCCCAAATCGGGACTTTGAAGTCGTAGTCTAGTATGACACATTAATGCAGTACTTGGAGAATGCTGCATTGTCAGGGGTAGATGTTAGAGATACCATGGCACTATTTGAAAAGAGGAGGGTCACCTGGTCAAGAATCTCCCAAATAAAATTAGCTATTCACTTCGTGGCTGGTTGTAGGAAATTGGTGTGTGCAAATTTGCTGCCGCAATCACCTACAAATACAGTTACTACACTTCACAGAAAACCCTGCGAAAGACACCATCAGGAATTGTATCAAATGAAAGGATCATTATTTGTATAAATTAGATAAACAGTGCCATTTTTAAAGGTTTTTTTATTTCAAATATGATTTAACTTAACCTCAATTGGCCCTTTTAAATAATCTTTGTATTTGATATAGCGCCTTATCATGTCTTCTAGATGACTCAAAGCGCTTCAAGAATATACTGTAAAGTGACTTAACGTTGTGGGTGAAACATGGCAGCTAATTGCACACCACAAACAGTCGTGCATTGAGTGACCAAATTTTTTTTGAGGGATTATCGGGGAAATGTCTGAGAATCACACATTTTTTTTTGTTTGACTACAGGGACCTAAAGGCAATGCAGGGGAACCTGGAATACCAGGAAAGCCAGGTGCTCAAGGAATAAAAGGTTTACCTGTGAGTAGATTTCACAACAAAACCATGCCAATGTTTTTTTTGTAAACTTGACTTCCAAAAATATATTTTACTACACGTTGTGTTTGCTTTGTAATAGGGTCCACAAGGTGAAACTGGTCCCGATGGTCAAAAGGTGAGCATTTCTTCAGCAATATACAATAAGCGGGTCAACAAGGGAAACCATATAAGAAATTACACAGTACACTTCTTTGTAAGCTCCTGTCTCAGTGGCTCAATAAAATTGAAAGGTTAAGGTGAGGTTAAATTACACATATAGGTCTCATGATATTATTATCAAATGAAAGCAATCCTTCCACCTGAAGTTGTAAACTCACATGACACGTGACCCTTTGTTAGTGTGCAGTGTGCAATGACAAGGACAAAAATATCACATGACTGTTATCCCCAAAAACTGTTTATCCATTACTTTTTTCACTGAATGCAGTACTTCTTTAATTCACTTGTTGTGCCTCATTTGGATCAATATTTCAATTAAAGTACAGCAAATGTCACCCAACTATCTAAATGTTTATTTTAATTATTTTTAATTGAAGCTTTTTACATAGAAAGTTACACACGGGAACAGGCCATTTAGCCTAACTAGACTCTGCCTGTATTCATACTCCACACCAGATTCAGGATCCAGGAGCACTAAGGCAGATCACGTTTGAGGGCCCTTTAAACTATGCACACAAAATATACAGCAATATCTTTTGTGACTTTGTAGTTGCAACGTGAAATCTGAAACAGATTTGGCTGACTTGGCTAAATTGAGCCGAGGGATCTGGGGTCATCAGACGACTAACATTGTGACCTCAAAGCCTATAAGAAGTGCCATCTGTGAGCAGCTCCACCCTTCTGCCACCTCCCAATATTTCTCTGCCTTTGTTTCGTGTCAGACTCAATGAAATTTACTGAGGTCAAAGTGATTAGGGTATCATGAACCCCCTTCCTTGTCCCCAACCGATCCCCTCCACTGGCTCTCAGTATATCCTGTGAAGCGATCTAGGACGTCTCTCTGACGTAAAAGGCACTGTACAACAACAGCTTGCACTTATGCAGGGTAGCATCTCAGAGCACTTTATGTCAAATGTAAGGATGATTATATAGCTTTCATAATCATATTTAAGCGCTCCGAGACACTACCCGTGTGAAGGACGTTATATAAATACAAATTATTGTTGTTATTTTGTGTAAGTTGAGATCAGGTGAAGATATTTGTTATTTGTAAAAATGCTAATTTACAATTCAAATCTTTTTCTAGGGTGAGACCGGCAAAGTTGGTTTAGAAGGCAAACAAGGGTCTCAGGTATTCATATGTTTCAGTCTTGAATCAAATGCCAGTGTTTTTTCACAAATATCCCCACATGTCATCTCTTTTTTTTCCTCTATGTAGGGTGACGAAGGTGACATAGGTGATGAAGGCCAGGTTTGTAATTTTTTGAAACAAATTCCATTAGATACAAAATAAATAATGCACATTATTTACATTATTTGTCAGTCTATATGTGTCAGCCTGGCTCGGTTGGTAGCACTCTAGCCTTTAAGTCAGAATGTTGTAGGTTTAAGACCTAAGACAGGGTCTTTGAACTCACATAGTCTAAGCTGATACTCCAGTGCAGTGCTGGGGGTGGGGAGAGCGAGTTACAATGCTGGAAGTGCCATTCTTCAGATGAGACATTAAATTGAGGTCCCATCAGCCTGTTGAGGTGGGCATTAAAGATCCAGTGGCAGAGAAGGGAATTTCTCCTGGTGTTCTGACCAACAATCTCCCAAAATAAAATTGGTCTTTCAATTCATGGCTATTTTTGGAATTTGCTGCACAAATTGGCTGCCGTGTTTGGCTACAAATACAGTCACGCCACTTTACAAGATATCCTCTGAAGCGCTTTCAAACATCCTCCAGACATGAAAGGCACCACATCAAAAACACGGATTATTATTAATAAATGGAGAATCTCTTGCCTAAGTATTTAACAAGAATATTTCTACACTGTATACATGGCACTGTTACTTTTTATTTAAATGCAAAGGGCATTTATGAATATAAAACAAGTATAATTCACCTTTTAGTGAAATCCCATTTCAGTTAAAATATTCATTGGCAACTAGTTTGACTGTATTAAGAGTTGGACTATAAGTGAAATAAAGGACATACATTAAATTAGTCATACCTTCAAAATAAGGGCAAAAGAGAGCATAAGAACATAACAGAAGAAATACCTTTTTTTAAGAAAAAGAAAAATGTGATAGTGAAGAGAAAACAACCAGCATAGGTAGTGGAAAAAGAAACTATAAAAAGTTTTCAAAAAGGAACTAGATAAATTCTTACCAACTAAAATAATTCATGGTTATACTTCCAGAACAAAAATGTCAGATACATCAAGGTAGTAGAACAAAAGGACACAAGGTAATGGTTGTGAAGCTGATTTTAGGACAGAGCCCAGAAAGTATTTCAGTGGATCAATCAATAGTCAGGATGAGATACCAGGAAGGGCAATTGAGGCCACTGGAACTATTTAAGAATCAGCTTTAAGCGGTAATAGCAAGATTGTAGGAAGGCTATTCTGGAAGGATGAGATCAAAAGGGCAGCAGGGCTTTGTTTATCCATATGTTTGTTGTATTCCTGTGATTCATTAAGTTATACTATATGAAGAGGCAATAGAAAAATGATTTGAATGTAATGGAAATTGAATAAAAATTTTCCTCTGAAGAACATGAAGAACTGGAGAAAACTGAGGAGAAACAGTTGAGATAATAATAATAATAACTGTTGCATTTGATATAGTGCCTTATCACGTCATTGAGACGTCTCAAAGCGCTTCACAGAATATACTATAAACAAAAACAGCAAAATTACATTTGTAAAGTGACTTGACTATATTTTGTGGCTGAAACGTGGCAACCAATTCTACACAGCAGTGTTCCAAAAACAGTCGTGGATTGACTGACTAAATTTTTAAAAATGTTTTATTTATTTTCGTAGGGATTATTACCCCTGGGAAAGCGATCCGCCAATCGACTAATAATCGGGTTCCTACTTACTGCTAGGTAAACAGAGGCGTGTGGAGTAAGGAAACTTGCCTAATATTTCGCCTTGTCTCCGAATTGAACCTGCTTGCGAGGCGAATGCTCTAACCAATACGCTACAGGACTCCATTTAGGCAGCAAACATTCCAAAAAGGATGACAAAATTTGAAAATGATCAAAGAGAGATTGAGACAGTTTCCTGCACATGTTAATAGACCTTATCACCTTGAGTGGATATCAATAGCAGGGCTGCTCAGTAATTTCATCACACCAGCACAATATTTGGAATTGAGATATTGAAGTTGCTTTACTGGAAATTGCTTTGCCATACTTTCTGTTCTCTTTAAGCATATTCCATTAAACACAAAGAAAATGACTGCGCCACACTTTTGCTTCATTAGATAAAATAATAATGTTTTATATTTGAATGTCAGAACGGTAATTGATATGCAAATAATTTTGTTGGTTTTTAACTTAATGCCATTTATGTAGCAAGGACAGCGTGGGACCCCTGGTTTGTTTGGAATAGATGGCAGAAGAGGCGTTCCTGGAATCCCTGGACCACGTGGTTTTCCTGGTTCCATGGGAGAGTCGGGTGAACCTGGGCCAGCAGGAGAACCGGGATCTGAGGGCTCTCAGGTATGTTCAAACAATCCCCAAATATTACTTCTCAGGTGTCAGCCTGGCTCAGTTGGTAGCACGCTCCCCTTTCAGTCAGTGGGTTCAAACCTAATGTTGGGATTTTGAACTGATACTCCAGTACAGTGCTGCGGGAGGGGTGCATTGTTGGAGGTGTCATCCTTCAGGTGTCAAGTTAAACCAAGATCCTATCTCTCTTTTCAGGGAGACATTAAAGATCCCATTAGCACTATTCAGGAGGACATTCCAAGGTGCTGGATAATCTGTGTTTCGGACCCAAGCTGCGGTTTGGGATTGGGGAGGGTGGAGGGCAGGGGGGGAAGGAGGGTGATCTAAGGCATGGTCAAGGAGGAGGGTCTTGAGATGGGACTTGAAGGAGGCAAGGGAGGGGACGAGGTGGATGGACTGAGGGATTGAGTTCCAGAGGGTAGGGCAGAGTGGCTGAATGGTGGGGTGGGCGAGCCAGGGGACGTGAAGCTGACGGAGTGGGCAAGTTGGTAGGGCGTTAGCATGTCAAAGGAGTAGGGGGGAGTAAAGCCATTGAAGGCTTTGAAGATGAGGACCAGGATCCTCTGTGTGATGGGAAGCCAGTGGAGTTGCTTATTCCAAAGATAGGTGGAATTCTTCAGGAGGTGGTTTTAGCAATACTTTGATTCACCTCAATGTTTTATAAACACAATAAGTATGAATCGATTCAGGCTTCTTTCTCAATTCTTCAAAAAAGGACGATTTTTTACTATTGTTAGAGATGGTTGCACAATTGCTATATTTTTAAGAACACCTGATAATCTGATGAGGAGTAGGAGCTTGATGGCCGAAATGACCTGTTTCTGTACAGTCTATGATTCTCTGCTCTGCATTGCAAAGCAATATTACCTTGCTTTCCAGTAATAGATATAGGGTGGAAGAAGTTCTATGTTCAGTTATAGCGTGGTAAAATCATCAATTTTTTGGATCAACTGTTTAAAAGATTTTTGTGTTACCACCAGGGTCCAGGAATGCCTGATGAACAAGTATATGAGTTATGTAAAAGTGTGATAAATGAGCAGATAGCAATCTATGCATCAGCAATCAGACGGACATGTATGACAGCTTGTCCAACCAACAATGTAACACTGATGGGACCTCCTGGTCCTTCTGGGTTGCCAGGGAAACCAGGAGAGCAAGTAAGTCACTATTTATTACTCTATATTGATCAAAGATCAACCAATGTTGACCAAAAATTGGATTAGTTGTTTTATTTCCCTATTTATATTTGATATGATTATATATTTTTATGCTTTATAATTATGATGAGCAGTGTCTCTCTCACCTTGGCTTTCTCTTTATTGAGTTTTTGGAAAAACTGTAAAAAACAGTGGTGTCTCCAGGACATCGTGGGCTGATTCTTTTCTTTTGTTTATTGGCCTTATTTTCTGAAATGCTTCAGGCTAAATCATAAATTGCAGCTTTAAATTTAAAGTTGATGCGGAAAATACACATACCCAAGTTAGTTGTTCTTAAAAATATGGCGATTTTAAGAATATTTTGTTTTATTTTCTTTAAAAATAATAATTTTTTGAAAGGGTAAACCTGGTCTTGATGGATTGGAGGGTGAACGTGGCCCAAGGGGTAGAATTGGATTTGCTGGATCACAAGGAGCTCCTGGTGCTAAAGGTAATATTTATTCAGGTTGGTGCTTAACTTAAAAAGATTTCCTGTCTAGAACTATCTTTGGTGATGTTTAAAGAACCATATTTTTATCATTTTATAGGAGATCAAGGTGACAAGGGTGAAAAGGGAGCTCAGGGAGTTGGTCTTCCTGGTCCAGAAGGGTTTCAAGGCCCTAGAGGTAGGTAGCTTGATATGCTCAAAGTCAAACAAGTCAATTTCAGGGCTTCATGTTCGATCAGAATGAAAGAAAGATTGGCTTAATGATTTAATGGCAAACACTCTTTTCTTGCCCAGAGGGAGGAGAGACAGAAGTCGTTTGCTTCATTGTCATCATCAGAATATCACATACATAAGTGATGAGTTTTGTGTGATGAATAAAGATGAGTTTTGATCATTGTTTCACATGCTCGTAAACCAATGAAAGGTTTTCTAAACATGTTTTCAGGAAGATAGTACCATCTATTTTAGTATAATTGCACCATCCATTTAAACATTTATATACAATTACTCGCTCGCTCGCTCAAATACATACATACATACACACACACACATACTAGACAGACACCCTTATGCACACATACATTCCTGACATTAAAGAATTTCCAAGATATGAATTTTCCCCCATTCATTTAAACGTATGTGTAGACATAAGATTTCCATGACCAGTCGTGACCATACCATAGGATAGATTTTCTCCCCTTCTGGGTACCTTCTTCCCAGGAACAGAACTGCTGTTTAAGGCTGTTTCACAGCCACCATAACTTAATATAATTAAAATTCAGAATAGAGCTGTACTTTCTCCTCAGACAATATTTTATATCTGGGAACAGGAGACACCATGGAAAGCATTCAGACCTCCACAAAACCTCATTTCAAAACAATGCTACTAAGGGGGAGCAGTATGTTTGAATTGAACTTGTGGTTGAATATATAACTGGATGGTGAGAAGGTTAAAAGGCAAATTAAACTTCATGTGTTGATAGATCCTCATGAGAGACACCGATTTCATATATTCTCTTAACTCAAGCACTTTCTTTGTTTGCCTGGGTTGAACAAATGAGAAATGTACTGCTCAGGTGACCCCTATTTCAAAGCTACTTTATCTTTCTGTGTCCTGTAGGGTATCCTGGGTATCCTGGTGTTGACAAAGAAGGAAAGCCAGGTCCACGGGGCCCAGTGGGGTACACTGGGGCTCCTGGCCAGCTAGGATTGCCTGGTAATCCAGGGATTCCTGGGATTTGTGAAGCCAGAGACTGTGGAATTCATGCAGCTGCCCTTCAGGCTCAACAAGGACTCTTGAAAGGGCCGGGTTATTAACATTCAGCCGGTGACAAAGGTCATTTTAGAGTACAAAATAAACCACCGTACTTTGAAAGTTATAGGAGCTACAGGTGTATATCCAATACAAGGATTATCATTATTACGAGCTGGTGATGAAGCCAAGTACTACTGATCAGAATATAACATTTGATGACCCTAAGTCCCATAGTAAATCAAGTAATATTCAGGATGAAAAATGTATGTATTTCCTCGTTGTTTTTGAAATAGTCCATTTCTTATTAGAATGGTGCTTTGTTCTTGAAATTATGTATTTATGTAAATAGTCAAAGATTCTTCCTATAAAATTGTTGCTAACTTTTTTTTATCTGTTACTGTGTAAGCTGTCTGATAACAAACATAGCAAACAAAAAAACAACCTTGACTAGTTATACTTCTGACTTCTGAATGGTTGTGAACTCCTGTTCTTTTGTTAGTGGTTCTATTTAATTCACCTTTTTTAGAATTAACAACTAAATAAATGCAAATAATTCAACTGGGAATTGAAATGCAGAAGAAGCATTAGCTGACATGTTTTTCATATTTGGGTGAAGTTTTATCAAAAGTGACCTTTTTCTGAAGGAGCAACACAAATTTTGTATGGAGTGACTCGATAAAGAGAGACAATGGGATTCAAAATGTAGTCACTACATAGATTAATAGTGACTCCTGCTGGTAACCAGAAGTAGGTCCCGGGTAGAAACCTGCAGAGGATTGCTTTACAGCAGAATTCCATGGGGTCAACGAGACAGATTTCAGGATCACTACTTGCAACTCAGAGAATCACGATCCGTGAACCAAGATAGTGTATTTTCAACCGTGTTGAAAGAGCATATGCTGAATATAAAATGTCACTTTTATGGCTGTTCAGTATTTTCTTCAGGACGTTTGGTTTGCTGAGGCAAGGCACGTTCAGTATTTCACAGTACAATACACCTATGTCATTTCATGGTGGAGGACATAGTAGCAATTTTGGGCAGGAGTAGATTGGTCGACTTGGTCTACCCCTCCTTCTATGTATTTATCTCTAAATCTCATAAGCCTGAATCGGTTTAGCTGTTCCTTTTTGTAATTCTGTGCAATTTCTTCTTCATGTGCTAGTAGTTTGTTCCTCATGCTGATCACACTTTAACGGTTTCCTTTTTGTTCCCGTAATTTTGAAGTTATTAATCTTGTTTAATATGTAACCTTTATTTCATTTATAGTTCAATTTACCAGCTCTTAATAAAGTGAAGCTGCTTGCCTAATCAAACTCTTTCACAGCTAACAGGATTTCACTATAAAGGGTCTTATATCAAAATAGCTTGTGATAGTCAAACCAAAAGTACAGTACCTGTATCACACAATTGAAACTATTCACAGTAAATACTTGGGCTAGAGCCTGGGATGGTCCTATTCATAGTTTATTTAAATAAAACTTAGCCATAAATACTGCTGCTATTATTTTATCTTGTTTATCTCTAATATTAAATTGCAGATGACACAAACATTTCCATTGCAGAATTTCAGCTCCTTTAAGTATTTAATATAATTTCTTCATTCAACTGTTCCAGTGCTTAATGAGTAATTTAGTTTTCATTCTGTCCCTTAGTATATTCTGCTAACAGTTCAGCTGCTGTTAACTATGTACAATACGTCTCATATAATTTCCCTTTAAAGGAAAATTTAAAATCTCCACTGATATGTAATTTTATTCAATAAATATTGCATATTGTACCATCTCATAAGGACATTTTTCATCTTTCTGCTACAATCATATATTATAATAATAATCATAATGCTTGCATTTGATATAGCACTTTTCACGTCTTTGAGACATCTCAAAGCACTTCACAGAATATGCTGTAAAATGAATTGACTGTATATTTGTGGGCAAAATGCGGCAGCCAATTGCGTACAGCAGTGTCCCACAAACAGTCGTGGATTGAAAATGACCAATTTATTATTGTTTTGTTTTTTGGAGGGTTTATTATTAGGTGTGTGGAAAAGGAAACTTGTCTAAGGTTTCGCCCTGCCTGGAATTGAACCCAGATGTCTCGCTTGCAAAGCGAGTGCTCTAACCACTGAGCTACAGGACTCCAAAAGCACCACATAATTATTTTTATGTTTCACTTGTTCTACTGTGTTAGTCACATAACGGTAAAGCAGTGTTCTATTATTGTACATTACACGTCTCTAAATGACAATTGGATCCGGAACTATAATATATTGATAAATAATCCTTGCATTTGCTGTAAATTATTGTCTATTTCCACAGTAACAATAGCATATGAGAGTCCAGTTTCTACATAATAATCATAATCCTTTAATTTAATATAATACTTTTCATGCCTTCTAGATGTCTCAAAGCGCGTCACAGAATATACTGTAAAGTGAATTGACTGTATATTTGAGGGCGAAACTTGGCAGCCAATTGTACACAGCAGTGTCCCACACATGTTCCTCCTCCTCCTTGCCAGGCAAAAAGAAAACTAGTCTTTAGTTTCAAATAATGTTATTTTCCTATATTTCTGCCAAGGTTGCTCTGCTACTAAATACTATTAAAGAGATTTAGTTTTCTTTTGTATCTACATGCAAGTCATTTCAAATTATTATTCTTATTATAGATTCTTCCAGTGAACCCATGAAGAAACTTCCTAGTTTCTGAAACCAAGTGCAATTAGTCACTAACTTGCCAGATCATAGTATCATTTATACAGTGCTCATGATCACTGGTTCTGACAAATTCAATGGTCTCAGAGTTACCTTTATTTTGCTACACATGAAATAATGTCTGTTACAAACCTGGGGAAGGTACAAAACCTCAGCAATGTCAAAGAGTATATAGGAAAACGTTCCAACTCTTCACGTAACGAGCAAGTGCAAGCCTATTTATGCTCTATCTTATGCAAGTTACATGTGATCAGGTATGCATTGTGCAATGTTTTAAACTGAGTCTCATATAATCTTCAGTGGAATTGTTAGCTAGGGTGAGATGTATATATCCTACTACATTGTGTTGGTATAGGACTGTCAACTCTCCAGCAAACTGCTACAAAGTGATGGGATACAGGGTAGTGCCTGTATTACTTAAATGGAAAGATCTCAATCACACAGTTGAGTGAATAATCATTATTGTAATACAATCTTGGTCACAACTTTCAGCAGCATTTGGCTAGAATGTTATAAGATGCAAAAGAGCTGTGTCATGCTTTTGATTTACAAAAACAAGCACTCAAGAGATACTGCAACCCATTCATTACCTGATGACTTTTGCTCTCACTATAACAGTAGAGACAATGCCCTTGGTGAGCAGTCAGGAGTGTCTTTTGGTCATCATAGTCCCAACAAAGACTAGTAATATGTAAGCTACCCAAGGGTGTGCTTGAACAGAGGAGAGTAACTAAATGGAATAATAAAACATATTGTCTGTCCATATATCATTTATACACAACATTTCTGAGCTCAAAGTTTAGGCTGACACTCCAATATGCTGCTGGGGAACTGTTGCATTGTTGGTGATGCCATTCCTACAGATGAGGCATTAAACCGAGGTCCAATCTGCTTACTTAAGTGTCCATTAAAAATGTAGTCATTCATGGTTGTTTGTGGGACAGTGCTTTGTACAAGTTAGGTACCTCGTTCATCTTCAACAACAATTTGTACTGATATAGTGCCCTGCATGCAGGGTAGCATCTAAGAGCGTTTAACAATGGCGGAGCCTGACTCTGAGCTGGGGGTGGGGGGGTGGTGGCCGTAAGCATGGTCGAAGAGGAAGGTTTTCAGATGGGACTTGAAAAAGGGGAGAGTGGGGGCAAGGCGGAGGGATTGAGGGAGAGTGTTCCAGAGTTTTGGAGCTTAGTGGCTGAGAGCGTGACCTCCAATGGGTGCGAGGAACGAGCAGGAGGCTGGTGCCAGTGGAGTGGAGGAACCGGGTGGTGGATTGGGGAGTAAGGAGGTCGGAGAGGTAGGGAGGTGCTTGGGAGTGAATGGATTTGAACACAAGAGTGAGGATCTTGAAGTCGATCCATTTAGTTGTGGGGAGCCAGTAGAACCTGGCCAGAACTGGTGAGATGTGTGTATGGAGTTTGGTCCAGGGTCAGTATGCGGGCAGCAGAGTTCTGAATGAGCTGGATCTTTTGAATAGTGGAGTAGGGGAGACTAGCGAGGAGTGCGTTGGAGTAATCCCGGTGGGAGGTGACGAATGCATGCACGAGGGTTTCGGCTGCACTTGGGTACATTCGACCTACAAAATAGTCACTGCCTTTATTGTAAAACCCTTTGAACTGCTTTGAGATGTCCTCCTGACTGAAAGGCATTACCTTTGTTTTCTTTTAATGGCACATACCACAAAGTTTCAAAATGACCCTAAGGTGTGTTGTAATTTGCTCAACCCTTGAGTTCAGGTATATTGCTCCTCTATAATGGCCAATTGTGTAATCCCTTTGGGAACGTTTTAGCATTAAGTCTGTCAGAAACGATCACGCTGTGAATCATCATATCTCTAGGGCAGAAATTGTCTGAAAAGATGTGAAGACTTGTGGAAACATAATTTCACCTTTGACAGTAAATTGCCACCAATCGGAAATATTTGTTGTCACATTGTTTAATTTTTATAGTGAACAGGTCAGAATATTTACAGTTAAGTGTTTTTGAACATTAAATTGTCCGTGAGGATTGACTGCAGTGTCAATTTAATGCTACTGGCATGAATGAACAGCACACAACTGCCTGTGATTCAACAATAAAATTGACTAGTTAGTCTCCCTAGTGTTAGAAATGGAATTGTTACAGTGTGCAGTACAGAATAGCTTTCTGAGTTTGAGGTTAAAGCACACCATTGGGAAGAACAGAAAAAGCTTTACTACCATGTAACTCAAGTTGGATCAGATACAAGTGTTTAACCCTAATACTACATAAATAATTAACAAGTTAGGAAATGTTCCTTCCCCAATGTTATTGTCTGTCATCTTAATGAATCGTGTGTGTGTTTGTGTGTGTGTGGGAGGAGGGTGTTGTTGGGGCGAGGGAAGGCCTTGCTGTAAGGGTGCTATGTAAAATGAAAATTCTACAATATAATGGTCATAGTGGGCCCATAAACAATAGCATTGTTCATAACCAAAGAGTAAATTGGACTAAATTGCTAATCTCACTCAGAGAGGCGAGAAGGATAGACGTTGGGGAAAGTTAAAATCTAGCACTCGTGCAGTAAGGAACCTCTTTAGATCTTGGAATTACAATTCTTGTGGAAGAAGATTTACTGTGCAGTAAATCTAGTCCACTCTGCATTCAGTGCATGATTGCTT